GCCCATCTGACCAGAGATTTATTTACCTATGTAGGCAATGCACGCCCGTGCATATATCAAGTTTGGAGGAGGAAAAAAAAAGGGCGGGAGGCACTTTGTTATGTCCTATATGGCCCTGCTTACGTTTCATCGTTACGTAACGACGGGTCGACGAGAGCGGACGGGAGAGCGGGCGGAGGGTATGAGAGTGCCTGCGTAAAATCCGGTGACCGACCTCGAGCAGGAGGGACGAGACGCTCTAGACCCCGATGATCATCTGCTGTGAGCCGCATGCTGCAGGCGCCACACCTTACCACTACCTGACCGACCGACCGCATGAAAATCGTGGTATATATAAAACTTGCCAGGGGCGCTAGGTCCGGCGCTTACCGTCCCCCTTCAAAAAGAGACGGAGACGGATATGCCCATCTTTGAAGAACCCGCTCTGTCGGCCTGTTTCATGGCATCCTACTTTTTTATGCTGGGGAGAACGCCAAGCCCTTACTAGCCACTGGTCCCGGCAGCCCCAGCAGCCCCGTCAGTCCTGGCCCATCCCTGATTCCGTTGCCTGCTACTGCTACGCATCGACAACTTGATGTTGGTGAGGTTGGGGCCGGCAAAACGAGGGACGAGATGGACGAGATAGGCGAGACGATGTGGGTAACCCTGTGACAGCACTCGCGCACTTATAGGAACGGAAAGGTCGACTCGATTAGCTGCCCACGTTGCATCCCATAACATGCGTCTGTTAAGACGCCGTGGGTAGCGTGTTTACCAAATGTCGATACGAACGAGCGGCCCGGCGCCGTGGCACCCAATACCACACCGTCATTGCGATGCGTCACTTTGAGACGTGTCCATGCTTGCCTCCCTCCCCATCTCCCCCACTCTTGCCTGATACTTGGGACTTAGGACGGCACTGCATAGCTGCTCATGGGCGATAGTAGAAGCTAACCTTGTCGCAAATACGCGTGGGGTTGCTGAGCTATCATCCTACGACGCCCGTCATAGCTTGTCGCGGAAACGGTCCAGCCCAACCCAATGTATGCACACATATGTGGCGGCGCTATTTGGATACCCAGCACTAACGCGGGCTAAGGCTACGGTATGAGCCTTCGTTTGGCTATACGCACTCGGGGCAGTGTACTGAGACCCGGTCGGCCGGGCCGGAACAGGCCAAAGGATCACGGCCTTCGCATCATGTCACCAACGCGCTAGAACTCACAGACATAGCATCCGTGCCTCTTCATTGAGATGAGCGCGGCCTAACCACGGCCTAGACATGGCCTAGGCATGACCTAGGCTCTCTGAGAGAGAGCTCACTACGTGACCGATAGCCCACGTGTCAAGACAGCGCCATCCACCCTCGCAGGCATCCTAATAGAACTCGACTGGCCGTCCCAGGTAACGGCTGACGAGTACCAACGTTGCCGATCCGAGAGATGCCCCAGCCGACTATCGGCAGAAGTGATCTCTCATTTGCTCAACAACCATCCACGCACATATCGAGGTATACTTACCTATATGATATAAGCACTTAAATATGCACGCCAGATGCTTGTCGATCCGCTTCGGTCAGAGCTCTATGCTTACCCCCTTTCTCGAGTCTACTTCTCGTCGTCCCGCCCTCGTCACACGAGCCGCCTCTAGGTAAGCCGTAGAGCGGGACGAGATCCCATTGGGCCAAAGGAGTGGTGTCGACGGGGGCAGAGAAGGCCATCGTAATAATAATCGGCGGTCAACTTGTGAGAATTCCTACATCACCCGAATTACGTAATCCCTCCGGAGATGTAAGTCGCAGTCGAGTTCACTACGTGGATGATGGCGAGAAGCCGTCGGTATGTATAGCTACAGAAAGGTAACGAGCAAAGCGATGTGGGTGTGCCGCTACTCCTGGTGGGTAGAGTACCCAAATCCGTCCTTGGCTGATCTGTACGATCCATGATGCCTGGTGCGTCGCGAAATTTTCATCTGCATTGGGCCGTAGCAACCTATGCACAAGCGACGTCGAGATGCGCATATGCAGTCACCAGCTGCGCGGATTCGAGCCTTCGAGGTGACCTACGTAGTATCTCGTGTTAAAGGCTCATGTATTTTTCGCTTTTTCCGTCTCACCCGTAATCACATGGATGCTGGCACGGGGGGAGGGATGGAAGGGGACATGTAGGCATATAATAATACCTCGCGTGAGATGAAAGCTAATCCGAGGCTGCATAGTTACCAATATTCGTGCTCGCTCTATGCTTGAGCCCAGTATTGTTAGAGTAAACACTCGTGTGCAAAGATATCTATGTGGGAAAGTGAAAGGAAGAGGCGACACATCACATTATCAATAAGACCCTCCCCATGCCAGGGCGGAGACGCACTCAGATTCGGGCGATCCTTCGAAATCACAACATTGCAATCATTGGTTATCAATAGAGTCGTGTCCTCTTCGCATCTAATAGCTCGTAACAGTGCCACTCGGAGGAATTACCCCGCGTAGACATATTACACGGCACTTCGCCCTATAACGGAAAGAGAGTGCAAGTTACTCTCGGGATGGGTGTGATTGTTTCTTCACTACACGCATACGCAAAACATATCACGTATAGGCAAGAGAGCAAGCATATCTAGGTGTATGTCTAGGTGTATGTACGCTCGCGTACGATATTCATGCGTACAACTCAAGTTGTACTGATACAGTACGCGGTCGCCTCTTGATATAGGTAGGGTCGTTCTACCGGCGACGGAAAGCCAACATGGCATCCGTCGTGACAGAACAGTTGTCTCTGGATGTCAGCATGCTGAGAATATATGTAAGTATACACCTATGTAAAATAGAAGCTGATAATGATCCTTATGCTGTCTTAGTCTAGTAGGTTACGGTGGTTATGTGTGTAGTTATCACCCCCCACGCCAACCAGGGAGAGGTACCCAGTTGTGTGTTTAGTTGCGTTTATAGATGGTGGTTACTAAGGTTTGCCTTCGGAACGAAGACCTAAGCAATATAATAGGCGAAGGGCAGACAGGGCTGGGGAGACACGGCAGCGCACGCGCCCCGTTGGTTGAAGTTTCGCCATCGCATAGAGCGGATACGGATGATATTGGAAGCTCGAGGGAAAGGGAGGGGGGGGAGGAATGGGAATACCTAGATGCCTCGCGAACGTGATTTTATGTAATACAGGTGGTCAGGCGATCTGATGGATGATCAAAGGGTGACAAAAATCGGGTCTAACCGTAGCGTCTGGTTATGAAAACGCTCGAAGAGTACGACGTTATAATTAACCTCGTGACGAATTAAAAACGCGGTGGCTATAAAACACGAGAAACGGAAGAACGCAGCCCACCGGGCCAGTATTAAAGGGGGTAAGTAATACTAGGAGGCTCGAATAGTACCCAACCCGTTCGCTCATCGATAGCCAACCAACTCCCCGCCACCCCTTATTTGCGTAAGATGCAATGGCACTCCGACCATCGTCGAAGCGGGGGGACCGTGTTATTAGGTAGTGGCAGCATGGCGATAGTAGGCTAGCTTCTAGGTTTTACAGCTTCTAGGTTTTCCCACGAGGGGATCTACCGACGCAGGCATATCCCTAATAATACTACGTGCGGTGTCCGGCCCGGCTTAGCGGTGCTTAGTCGAGAGACCCCGCCAGCACACAAGGAGGGGAGGGAGGGAGGCCGTCTCGTGCTGCGAGGGCGAAGCCGGGGCAGCTGCTGTTCTGCCGCCCTCGCGGCATCCCTACTGCGATCGGAAACGGCGTCATTATATCTACGAGCGGACGGGCCGGCGCCCGACGCGCGACTCTGCTGCCACCCCAAGCTCTGCGCCTCTGCAACGGCCGCCAGCCTAGCTTTGGTACCGGCGGGCGTCTAGTTCTCGTCCGCAGATGCTCTCTGTCCGCCTCGGGGTTCCATAGCACAAGCGCGCGCACGCGAGCCGTCGGCGCAGGACGCACGCCGTCCGCGCCAGCGCGGCGTCCCCGCAGCAGGGAGAGGCACTTCTTAAAGGGCTGCGCCGTGACCTTCGGGGGGGGGAACCGGCGGAATAGGAACCGGCGGGGCTTGGCCCGGATGATGAGGTTATCGCCGCCTTCGGTTTCCTGCACCTGCCAGAGGGCGACGTCGTAGGGGGCAGCGCTCGTGGAGGGCTCGTGTTGTTTTATCCGATGTTGTAGGATCCAAGGTAGGAAGAAGACGAGAGTGCTGACCAAACTCACGGTCAAGCGGAGGACAGCTGCGTGATCGTCTACATCTGTCGCTGCAACTCCTTTACCATCTTCGGGATCGATTTACGCACACATGCACTTGTGCTTACGTTGCCATAGCCGGAACATTCATCGAAATCCCTGGATTTCAAAGACACCTTTTTTTTCGCAATCGCTGCATATCAAGCCCTTGCAGAAGTAGTGATTTGCCACGCAAAACCAAGCATAAGTTCGTGAATACCCGTGTTATCTCTCAGCTATTCTTACATGACGACGGCAGCGGGGCCTCACCTCCCCCCTCTCTTTCGCTTTCGAGTCACCTCATCTCGTCCGCTGTGCTGTCCGTGTCATAGCGAGTGAGCAACTAGGCGAGTGGGCGGAGCGAGGCCTGACAGGTCGCGAGAAACCACCCGACCGACCATGTCCCTTTCCAAAGCCAACTGAGCCGTCGCCTCCCCCTTTACCACCTTTCTCCTTTTCCTTATGGCCTGCACATCTGACCTTCCCTCCTCTCCCTCCCCTCCTCCTGCGGTTGAGAGAGAGCCAAGAGCTTGGGCAGAGGTGGTGGGAGGGGGGTTCGAGGGAAGAGAAAGAAAACATAGACGAGAGTAGTTGAAGACTGGGGAATAGAGAAAAAAAAGGAAATACAATAAAGCAGCGCGAGAGGACTTTTTAGACCTGTCTCGAAAATGCCTGCCCTGGCCAACCGACGAGACGTTAGACTCCTCCTTCCTTTCCCATCCTTGCTTCCCCCCCCCTCCCTCCTCGAGCTCTCATTTCTCGAGCCTGAAAGCGTCGAGATTAACACCGAGCGATATCTCGTTTCTCCATGCCTGAGAATTCTATGATTATGACGAGTACTCTTCGCCCTCTTCTGGGGGTGTTCATGCGCGTCTGCATCGCCAGGAGAAAAGTGCACATATCTCCGCGAGTGGGCCTCTAAAAAGCTAATGCATGGCGCAAAGAGAATCTACGAGATGAAGGTCACGCGCCGCAACTATGAGATGCCGTGCATGGGGTTGGATACTGCGGGCGGGGGGTGATGGGCCCGTCAAAAAAAAAACTACCACTCGTACTCGCCGGTGGCCTTATGGAAGACCCAATCCTTGCCATTCACGCTCAGGACGCCGTCCTTGAGAACGCACTTCCTATCTTGCTGTGAGCACGAGCGAGACGGGCCAGACAGGGGAGGTACATACCACTTATTCTTGACGCGCTGAACCTTGTCGTACATGCAGAGCATGATCTGGCCGCTATCATCGTCCTCGTCTTCCTCCTCCGGGTTATCGTCGGGATCGTCGAGGTCCGAGTTGATGGCGTTTTCATCGTCGGAGTCATCCCTGAGATCTTCGTCGGGGCCGTCATATTGGGAGGGGCCGGCGTGGGCCAGCTTGCGATCGACAGCGGCGGCTTTGCCCCTTTTGGAGCGCTTCAGGGGTACCATGAGGCCGCCTCCTTCCATGGCCTTCGCGTTGGCTGCGATCTGAGCATGGAGCATCCTATCGATCTCGACTCTTCCCAGCTCGACGTCGCCAGCCGGGCCGCGGCGCATAAGCACTCCGACATGGTCGTCGGTGGCATCGGCGCCGTCTAACTGTGACTGCGCAGGTCTCTGGCCGTTAGCTACGGCGACGCGCTGCTGCTGCACGTTGGTCGACAGGTTAGGCCGGTACTGCTGCTGGTGGTGGCCTTGATACTGCCCGGGGTAATTCTGAGCGACGGGCTGGTTGGCCGATCTCTGCTGGTTGTGCGACTGCGCGCCGTTGGGTTGTTCCTTAAGCTTATTAATGGACGCTGCAGCGCGCTCACCATATTGAGACTGCAACTGCTGAATGACACGTTGCTGCACGGCGTGGGTGCTCTGCTGGGAGAGGATGGATGCGCCCTCGAGGCCAGGTTCGATCTTGACGCCTGGTTCGGGCTTCATGGCAGACTCATTATGCGTCTGCTGGACGTCAGGCACGGGCATGGTGAGACCTGGGGCCTGCGGAGGGATCTGAGCCTGGTTGTACGAAGGCCCATTCGCGGGAGCCGGGGGGGTCGGCTCCGGTGCCGAAACAGCAGGTTGGGGTGTCCCCGTAGCAGCCGTAGCAGGGGCCGGGGTCGGCTCCGGCTTGGGATCCCATGGGAACACCGCGAGCTGCTGTTGGGAAAGCTTCCTCTGCCATCCCTAAGAGGCGAAGTGTTTCGTTAGCTAAGCTGTCCACGCCGACAAGGCCGTAGAGGCCACCAGGAGCCGCTTTCCCCTATTGCCTAGTCTCCCCCTTTTCGTTCAACAAATTTTTTGGGGGGTAAATGTAGGGGTGGGAAGGGGGAAGGTTTATCGGATGCTAGACATGGGGGGCAGGGAATATATTGAATGAAGGAAATATGTGATAATCGAGGAGTAGCCGGGGTTTGCTTCAAAGAGTAACTGGGTTAAAATACAAACGTGCGAGCGAGGGATAAAATGTTGTGAACGTGCACAGCGACTGGCGGAGGCATGTGCGGTACAAGATGGTGTACTGATGGTGGACTTCCACCCCTCCGGTCCTCGGGCCAATGAGAGGGGGGCGCGTGGAGGCTGAGTCACCGGGCGGTTCGCAGGCGGCCATCGGGGGATAAAAGCCCCAAATAGTGCCGTCCGCCCCCTCCTGAAAACCGCCCAACCGCCCCTTCTCCCCAACCCTCGGCCGAGGCCTCTCCTCTGGTGTGTGCGGAGGCTTCCAGACAACGCACGTCTCATCGGCGTCGCTATCAAAACTTTACCAATCATAATCGCAGACGACGCTGTATTTTATCCTTTATGGGTTCCCATATCGCCATGTCATGTCATGTCGTGTCGCCGTGTCGAGTTGTTTTGTGCAGCAGGCCCGTCCCATCCCTAGGAGGGACTGAGTGAGGTTGATGGTGATGGTGATGGTGATGGTGATAGCGATGGCGATGGGTGCCGCTTGGCTAGAGGCGCCGCGAATCAAGGGAGACAAGGAAAAAGAAAAAAGGGCCAAGAAGGGATGGAGAGAGAAGAAAATGGTATGCGAATGGTACGTCCAGTTGACCGCTTACCTTCCTTAGCTCTTCCAGCATGCCTTCTTCCACGCCGCCCTCCTCGAAGTCGACACGCGACGCCTCGATCACGTCCGAGATGATCTGCTGGTACACAGCTCCGACCTGGTTGTTCGACATTTTCTCGGTGGCCCCGGCCTGGCCGAGTCGGACGGGACGGAAGAGGAGAAAACAAGGGCAGCCAGAGAGAAGGGGATCGAGGGTTGGGGCCGGGTGCGATGACGGCGCGAAGGAAGGATGGGGATCAGGATCGGGATGGGGGGGGGGGGGAGATGCTAGATTGGCTGCTGCCCGCGAATGCGAGATGCGCAAGTCGCAATTCGAATTGGGAGAAGGAGTAGGTAGTAGACAAAATCCTGTGCCGGCGACGAAACAGGATCGCGCTGACAAATGGCGCGCTGGTTAGGCGGGATGGCGGAGAGTTGGTGGTTGATGCGGCGTGCGAGAGGCAGATGAGCGTCGAAGGCTGCAAAGCACGCCAGACGCAACGAACCGGCCCAGCTGCTTCTTCTCTCTCTTCTTTAGGTCCTGTCCGCTCCTCCGCATGGACCCCTCTCAATCGTCCGGATTCAGGCCTCGCTGGCTGGTGAGACGAGGTTTTGCACGCGATTCTGCGCCGTCGGGTGCGGTTGCAGGTTTGGTTACTCTGGGAGATGCTGTTCCGCAAGTTGGTGATGTTCTCGTAAGGTTGGCTGGAAATGCCAGTATGTTTGATAAAGTGCCACTTTGCTGCTTACCTAACCCCCCAGGAGCCACTAGCGCCCCCGCCGGGTGGATCGCGACTAGCCGCTGCGGTGCCTCCTATAGGCTGCACGCTAGGTGCCTACAGGCGGTGCCTGCTGGAGGGTACTGACGAGAGGTGCCGGCTAGTGGCAACCGCCTGCAGGCTGGGCGGTGGGTTATGTGCCCACCAGATGTGTAGGTAGGCAAGGTACCTATGTACCTACATCGTACCTCTAGTCCCACTAGGTACCTATACCTAGGTACCTGACCTATTATTTCCACAGTAATACTCCGCGGCATCAGCGATCGAAGCCCAATGGGAACCCTCCCAGTCCAGTCCCGCTCGCAGGCGTACTATAGACCGCGGAACCTTAATGATTAGGCACCGCTATCCCCAGGTATCCCCATGGACATTCGCCCTGCTGGCCTCGGGTACCTTGGTTATGAGAGGCAATGCATGCAGGTATTTATCAAGTACCGCGCACCACCACCTTCGCTGAAGAGCATACCTACCTTACATACACCTAGGTACTTAGGTCCCGGAATATCGACAGGCTTTTACCCAGCACTCTACCGGACATTGGTCGATCAGGCGGCCGGCATGATAAAGTATGAGTAAGATCCAAAACGGACAGAAACTAGGGAGGTAAGAGGTACCTACCTCCTAGTGTCCGTGGTTACGACGCGGAGAATCCTCGTGTATAGGAGGTATCTAATACCCCTGCCCTCTTACCTCCACATGTACATCCATACCTAAGTATGTACCATACAGGGAGGGGGGGGTTTATTGACACTATGTCAGCAACCCTTTCTATGACTGGATATAGTATCTGCCTCGTGATAAGAAGGAGTTAAACTCTAGGCTAACATTATTACCATTTCCTAACATAGTTACCATCCGGATATAATGTTATTATTTTAAAAAAGGTACATTCTATAGGATTACCCGGTTACCTCTATGTTACTAAGTACGTACCTTTGTACCTTTGTATCTTTTACGTCTGTTACCTTAGGTACCTCCTAACCTCCTACCTACCTACCTACCTACCTCTTCCATAGGTTCGAAGATAGGTTCGAAGATAAGTAGATAGATTCTACGTACGCGAACTAGCTCCCATAGATTCGAAGATAGATAGATAGATTCTACGTACGCGCGCGCGAACTAGCTCCTATAGGTTCGTAGATAGGTAGATAGATTCTACGCGTGCGAACTAGCTCCCATAGGTTTAAAGATAGGTTTAAAGATAGGTAGATAGATTCCACGCGCGAACTAGCTCCTATAGGTTCGCAGATAGGTTCGCAGATAGGTTCGTAAATAGTTTCGCAGATAGGTTCGAAGATAGATAGATAGATTCTACGCGCGAACTAGCTCCTATAGGTTCGAAGATAGATAGATTCTATACACCTAAACTAGCTCCTATAGGTTCGAAGATAGATAGATTCCACGCGCCTGAACTAGCTCCTATAGGTTCGTAGATAGGTTCGTAGATAGGTTCGAAGATAGATAGATAGATTCTACACGCGAACTGGCTCCCATAGGTTCGTAGATAGGTTCGCAGATAGGTTCGAAGATAGATAGATTCCACGCGCCTGAACTAGCTCCCATAGGTTCGTAAATAGGTTCGCAGATAGGTTCGAAGATAGATAGATTCCATACGCCTGAACTAGCTCTCATAGGTTCGAAGATAAGTTCGAAGATAGATAGATAGATTCCACGCGCGAACTAGCTCCCACAGGTTCGCAGATAGGTTCGCAGATAGATAGATTCTATGCGCGAACTAGCTCCCACAGGTTCGCAGATAGGTTCGCAGATAGGTTCGAAGATAGGTTCGTAGATAGGTTCGAAGATAGATAGATTCTACGCGCGAACTGGCTCCCACAGGTTCGCAGATAGGTTCGCAGATAGGTTCGTAGATAGGTTCGAAGATAGGTTCGTAGATAGGTTCGAAGATAGATAGATTCTACGCGCGAACTGGCTCCTACAGGTTCGCAGATAGGTTCGCAGATAGGTAGTAGATCATGGTGTTTATAGAAAAAAGATGAAGACAACAGGTCTAGGTAGGTAGGTGGTCTAGGTAGGTAGGTGGTCTAGGTAGGTAGGTGGTCTAGGTAGGTAGGTGGTCTAGGTAGGTAGGTGGTCTAGGTAGGTAGGTAGGTAGGTAGGTACCTATGGAATATATAGACATTATATCCGTCTAGACATTATCATATCCGTCTGGATATTAGTTCCTACGCAGTCATAAAAACCATCCTGAAATAATAAGAAGGAAAGGTAATAAGGTCGGTACCGTAACCCTTGCTGTAATTCTTTTAGCCCCTCCGAAAGAATGACTAGCTAAGGTAACCCTTACTAGATTTAGTTACCGTGTCGGTACCCCGACTCTATTGCTAACATACTGTCCATAGACCCCCCCCTCCCTGTATGGTACCTACTTACAAGCGAGGACAGTACATAATACCTTCTCACCTTAGGTGCCCAGGTACATCGGCACCTTATCTCGGGTACATAGAAGAGGCCACCAGCTTCCTCCACTTGTCGCCAGCAGACACCCACACGAGAGCTGCAGCGCTGCTGCGCGCGCTGCGCATTGCGTGCAGCAGGGATGTGGATGAATCATTCCCCCCTTCGCTATCGGGCCCAATGTGCTCTATGAGCAGGGGATGCTAGGACTTGGGAGGGCACGAGACCGCTATAACCACTGGCCTATACTGCCCTGCTAGGTAGCAAGTCTAGCGTGCCTCGCCATGAAAAAAAAAAAACTAGCACACAAATGCATCCGTTCGACAGAAACAGCATCATATCATACACTGCCCAACCTTAGGTACCTGTCAGGTACCTGACCTAAGTACCTGCGCAGTAATCAAAAGCACAACGGATATGATAAGCGACAGGTAATAAGGGATATTGCTAGGAGCACTTCACGTAATCAAGAGGAACATAATCGTCCCGGCGTCAACCTCCCATCATTATTATGATAAGCCGGACACTACTACCTAACTACGACTATCACGCACCCAAGTCTACTACCACAGCCGGCATACAATGGATATTCCCGCGCCTAATAAAAATACAATGTAACCACCCAAAAAAAGAACCCCCCACACGCGTACATACGCGCCGACCCCCTCTCTTCTCTCTAGTGAACCGCGCCTTTTCGGCAGCGGGCGTGACCCGTATCGTAGCTTCGTGACCGAGCCGTATCCGGACTGTACGTGACCTTCGCAAATGCTTCGCCACCACGAACCCCTGAACGCCGCGCTGAAAAGGGATATGCACCCTAGCCACAGCGCCAGACATGCCAGAAGGAAATAGCGATACCTACTGTTGTTGGACACGGTCCTGACGTCCGTTGCACGCCTTCGCGTCACGGAGTGCCCTCAGCGAATCGTCATCTGCTTGGCCATCTGGGCCTTGGTCGAAGCGCCGCTGGCCCCGACGCCGGCCGACGCGCCCGCCTTCTTCTCAAACACCTTCCAGAACTTCAAGCTCTCGTCGGCAGCTGTGTGGGGCGAGGCCCAAGTTAGAAAATAGGTGCATACCCGGTCGATGAGGTTTATCTCTTACCTGCAGTTGCGAGCATCTGCCCGTCGGGGCTCAGGCAGCTGTGGAGAACGCGGCTCTCGTGGGCGGGGATCTCGACGTTGCGGACCAGCGTCGGGTAGCTCCAGATGCTGAGCGAGTTGTCGGGGAAGCCGCTCGAGCTGACGATCTCTCGATAGCTGGTGCTCCAGCGGAGGCTGGTGACCTGCGAGCCCGTGTCGATGCTGTTCACCCGGGCGCCGGACGTGGTGTTCCAGAAGTGGATGTGACGGTCGTAGGAGCCGCCGCCCGTGGCCAGCAGGTTGACGTTCCAGGGGCACCAGGCCAGCGCCTTGACGGCGGCCTTGTGGTTCGTCTTGGTGAACTTGGGCACGGCCAGCGACCGGGCGTCCCAGATCGAGACCAGGTTGTCGTTGCCGCCGGTAGCCAGCTGCGCGCCGTCCGATCGCCACTCCAGGCCGCAGACCTCGGACGTGTGGGAGACGAGCTCGGCAACCTTGTGCTCGGCGATGCGAACATCGTGGTTATAGACGAGGCCGCTTCGGGCACCAGTGGACAGGAGATGCTTGTTCCAGCCCATCACGCCAACGCGCGTGTCGTGGCCGAACATGCTGCGCACCTTGGTGCCTTCCGAGACGTCCCAGATCTGCACCTCGCCGGTTCCGAGACCCACACCGACATAGGCGCCGTCGCCGGACCACTTCACGCTGCTAACATAAGTATCCGGGCTCGTCTCCAGTAAACAGCTGACAGAGCCTTCGTCCGCGGACCAAACGTAGACGTTGCGCTCCAAACCGATGGCAACTTGGTTGCCCGAGCTCCAGTCGAGCAGGTTCAAGTAGTAGTCGTCGATCAGGCCAGGAGCGTCCAGGACGCGCTCGGGGGCGGTCGCGATGCGACGCCGGAACTGAGCAGAGCCGGCATTGGCAGCCTTGAGAGGTCGGTTGTATTGTTGGCGAAGGTCGATGGGCTTAGAAGACTCGGGCGGCGCCGGCTTGAACTGGAGAATGCGAGTGCCGAGATTGACGCCACAGGCGCTAGCTAGGGAATCTTGGTACGCGACCGTGTTGGGAGATGGTCGGGAATAGTTGGCAGCCTCGTCTTCGTCGATGTTCAAACACTCCAAGGCAGCGATGGCATCATTAGTAGCAGAAGACAAAACGTTAGAGCCGTCACCGCTCTTGGGTCTCTTCTTGTCTTGAACGTCGAGCTTTCCAGAACCCGAGTTGGAGATGGCGGAGCTGTTGCTCCGGTTCGGGATGAACCGGTCAGCAGCGTAGGTGATGGTGGTCTTCTGCCTCAGAGAGCCCTTCTTGGACTTGACGCTCGGAGGCGTCTTGGTATGACCCGTCCCGACGAGAGCGAAATCGGAGACACCGAGCTCCAGCGCCTTGCGGGGAGTGGAAACCACGCGGGCAATGTTTGACTTGGACTTGGGCGAATCGCGACGAGTGCCCTTGGCGGTCGACTTGGCTAGATGGGCAGCCAGATTTCCTCCATACACCGACTTGGCTGGGCGGCATCCCTCGTAACTGGACGATTGCCGGTCGGGCGTGAAGGGAGACGTTTCAACATTGACAGCACTGGTCCGTTGACGGGGGGAGGGCGTGAGGGGCATCCGTCCGCCAGCGGTACGGGCAGAGAAGAGTCCCTTGTGGGACTTGAGGGGTGTGGACACAGCAGGTGAAGCCATACTGACTGACTGCGTATCTGTATCGGGTAACGAGATGTGAAAATGATAAACTCCGACGAGGAACAACCGAATGTGCCGAGGGAGTAAGGATTGAGATAGAGCTCCGATAAATCGAACAAGCTCCAAGAGACTCAAGCTAATGGTTCCTGGATTGGGGATGGGTTAGTATCAACGGTTTGTGTTCGATGTGATCGAAGATTGCCTTCGCAAAGAAATAGGAAGTCGGTGGGGCGACCAGATGGCTGTGTATCCTCGAGAGGCTATAGCAGCGATGAGATCTAATGGACCTGAAGTATTTGCTTGCGGAATGGCTGTATGAGTGCTGGGTAGGAATGCCTAGACGGCGCGAGCGAGAGAGAGGGAGAGTGAGGGTATGCGGATGAGGAGAGAGAGTAGAAGGGTTATGATGAGGAAAAGAATCGAGTCTGGAGTTCGTCGTCCAGGCCGGGAGCTTTATGTGTTTACAGCAGGTGGAGCGACCGTCTTTCTGGTTGTGCAGGGCAACCGCGATGGAGAGTCTCCCACAGCAACTTCCGCACCATCCCGGTCCCGCAGTACCAAAGTACCCCAAGTGCGATGGAATTTTGTCGTGGCCCGTGCGTCGCTGTCGCCCACTCAATTGCGCGTGAAATGACTACAACAGGGCTGCGTGCTGCGGGTAGGTATCCTACCGGTACAGCCAGCGAGTTCTCTGGTAGATCCACTACCTACGTGTACATTATGAGTATATTCCTGGTATTGAGTCAGGTACCTAGAGGTACCCAAGGTATACATATACCGGTACCCAATGTCCGTATTAATTTCCCCTTGACTCCCGCAAGGCCCCCTCCCCGCCTGCCCTGTCGCTGCTTGGCTGCCCTGCTCCCGTTGCCTGGCTTGGATCTCACCTTCGGCCACCGACAACCTTCGAACAACACCCCTGCGCTCCTCGCAAACGCCTCGTCCGACAACCATTTCCACCCAACATTGGGTGACAGCGAAGAAGCATCCATCGCTCCCAGTTCCACCTTTGCATCATAAATCCCCGTCGGCCAAGATCAATTTCCCCCTTTCGTCGTCCTCGGCCTCGTTCGCGTGGACCTCCGGTGCGCTGCGAAGTCTAGAAATGTTGGCGTAGCGAATCCTCCATCGATCGCTCTCTCCTCTCCCCTCTCAGCCTTGCCATCCCGCAACTTGTGCTGACCACTTGCCTCGACGCTCGGAACATGGCTCATCATCCCTCAACTCCATCCACCTCCTCCCACTCCCTCTTCGGCGGCCCCGCCGGCTCGGCCAACCCGCCGCCCCTCCCCCCATCGCATTTCATCACATCGTCCGCCTCGCAGGCACCGACTCCTGTGTCTACCGTCTCTACCGTGTCCTCCAGCAACACCTTTGTTATGCCGAACACGCCCATGAAGAGTAGAGCCATGATGGATGGGTACCGGCCCAAGGTGACACGAACCCTCGGTCAGCGGCCTGCCTGTTTGGTCAACGCCTCGGTCACCTATTGCGGAAACAACCAGATCTATGCCTTTGGCGGCTTTGACCAGTACACCGACGAGGTTTACAACCACGTGCTGAAGCTAGATCTCGTCAGCCACCAGTGGAGTCTAGTAGACAACTACGGCGACATTCCCGGCGTTCGAATGGGTAGGTTGCGACGCCGTGCCTTTTGTCATATGCACCCTGGGCTCACCGCAGATTTCGGCAGGACACACTGCGACTCTGTATCAAGGTGACAAACTCTTGGTTTTCGGCGGCGAGAACGAGCACCGAAATTATTTGTCCGACCTGATAGTGTTCGACCTGAAGACGGCCCACTGGACTCAACCCCACGTCACCGGCCCGATTCCGAAGGGTCGAGCTCGCCACGCAGCCGTCCTGCACGAGGATAAGCTGTTCATCGTCGGTGGCATTACCGGCCACGAGAGCTACGTTTCGGAAGACATATGCTATCTGGACTTGAAGACCTATACCTGGTCGAGGTCGTGGCGTTTCGTACCTAGGTTCGATCACTCGGCGTATATCTGGTGAGTATAACGCGGCCTACGTATCAGCCTTCCCGCCCCCTGCCGGATGCTGATCTTTCGTAGGGGCGACCGGGTGTGGGTATTTGGCGGGCTAAGTAAGGATATGGACAAGATCGGCGATCTGTGGTGGCTGGACTTGAAGGGCAGTCCGGATTTCGACTCTTCGCCCCAGATCGGAAATATCTCCGATCGGCATGCGGCGGGCAGCCGCTCAAGCGACTCGCCGAGACCCCACTATTCGCTGGGTGCAGGTCCCCCCATGGGAGGAGCCTCAGGCTTCGCAGCCAACATCCGAACGGCTCAAGTCAACACCCCGTCGTTCCACCTGAAGAAGCCCGTTCCGATGGCACCTGGTGCGATCTCGGCCCTAAAGTTCGTCTCAGGAGGCAATATCCCGTCCCAAGGCTCCGGCATACATTTTCACGTCTACTCGTCGGGCACCCTCTTGGACTTTGTTACCCCTGCCGCGACGATTACCTCTAAGGATTGCTCCCTGTCCGCGTTGGACCTAGTAACGCTGAGGTGGCAGAAGTTAGCCGAGGGTCGCGAAATATTCAAGTCGGGGTACCGGTGGCATTACTGCACAATAAATGAAGATGGCACGAAGGCCTGGCTATTGGGGTGCCCGACCGATCCGGGCAGCGACATGGGCCCGAACAGCTTCGAGGAGTATATAAGTGACATCATGGAAATCGACTTGCGACGGTACGGCTTCCTAGGAAACCACTTGTCCCCCGAGCCCCGAACGGAGCTTTCCCGGCCGATGTCCCGCATCCGAGCCCATGAACAGCCGTCAAAAGGGCTCGGGCACGATCTCGCGAAACTTTTCAACCAGCCGCCCGAGTCGGGAAGCGGTACCGATTTCACCATCACCGCCCTCGCCGGCGACTACGCAGACGAGGACATGATGAGCTCTAGCCTCGTTCGCTCGGGAGAATCCCCGATGGGCCAGAACTGGCTCGCCCCCGATGCGCCAACCTCTGCCCCGATTCACGTACACAAGCTCATCCTCCAGGCCCGGTGGCCGCACTTTTCCCGCCTCTACAATGCGCAGATGGCCGAGTTCCACACCAAGAAGATGCACATCCCGGAGCCTTACACCGTCGTCAAATCCTTCCTCTACTACCTCTACACGGATAGCATCCATGCCGACGACGGAGTTACCGACCTCTCAGACGTTGCCGGGCTGCTAGTGATGTCCAATATTTACAATATCCCGCACCTGCGTCTGCTGTGCGTCAACCGGCTATCGAAGGAGCTCGACGTAGAGCACGCGTGCATCATCTGGTACTGCGCGGGGATGGCGAGCGAGGAATGGCTGCGGAAGCGGGCCGCGTCGTTCTGCCTGACGCATTGGGGCCGGATCGTGCGTACGCAGGGCTTCCTGCGGCTACCGAGGTCGGCGTTGGTGGAGCTGTCGCAGGAGATCGACATGGAGGGCCGAGTGATTGCGGGCGAGGAACTAGAGTACGTCGACAACTACCGCGGCCGGTTCGACGCTCCGGGCACCTCGCGCAAGGACAGCATCGGCAGCGAACATACGCAGGCTCTCCCGTCGGATGTGGAGGACTCGGAGGGCATGGACCTCGCTTAAAATGCCGCCGCCACTATCGAGGGCGGACGGCCCGATAGCATTACTACGGTGATCAGATCGTATAACGCTCAAGGGGAGAGTCGCCTCCCGGACGTGTGGGCGCAACGATTGAGTAGTCTCTTTGCCGTTGGCTGCTAACTTACTGAGTTGGAAGAGAGGGGAATACGAGGGCGTCTGCCTTTCTAGTTATGGATAAACCTGTCGAGGCGCGCCTGGTTGCGCGTCCGATGACGACGCAATGGACATGAACGGTCTCTCTTTCTGGTCATTTTTTCCACCGCCCCCTTACTTCCAACGCATCCTTTTTTTTTCATCCGTCGAAAGGAGAAAGTTATAAAAAAAAACACCCTGCTTCGTCATCTAGGGCAGAACACAGCATGGCTCCGGCGTTTTGGCAGTGAAGGAGGGGAAGGAAAACAGGGAAAGGGGAAATGGGATGACTACTGGTTAGAGCCTACAACCTATCGCTTGCGGGAGGGGAAGAGAGAGAAATGATGACTCAGGAACAGATCGTTACGGTGTAGAAAGGGGGAGGCACGGGACAGGCAGAGAGACATGCGGGATAGGCGGATCAGCGTAGCTAGCAGACGCGGACGGAGTAGCTGGCGTCGTACCTAGATTCTTAGCTGCGCGAGGGCCTGAAGGCATCCTGAAAGCAGGGGTGGTCGACGTACCGAAGCCAGACTCGATCAACCGACACGTGCCTCCTCCTATACCTCCCATACCCTTGGACACAATGCACGAGTGAGTGCCTGCACCATCCTCTACAAGGCAGCGTCCCCATACGCACATACATACTTGTCTCTGCAGCGAGCTAGGTAGCTCCCCGGCGCTTAATCGCAGGCGTTAGCCCAAGGCCTGCAGCGGCCAGGCGCTATGACTCGGCACCCCGCCGTAGTTATGCCTCGGCGGCGCCACGCTCTGTCCGGGCACGTCATCCCTAACACGGGCACCGGGGCCGGGATCCAGTCTTCATCTTCATCTTCATCATCATCATCATCTTCTTCTTCTTCTTCTTCTTCTCCTTCTCCTTCTCCTTGTCCCCTCTCCGCCTCCGCCTCCTACCTTAGCCCAGTCTCCGCTCGAGGTCACCATCCAGTTGTCCCCCGGGGCTTGACCCAGGCCAACTCGCCTTCTTCGCCTCTCCCCCCGCCCCCTTTTTGCCCCACGGGAGACGGCGTACGCACATACGCACGTGCGCAGCGCTGCGCAGCGTCGCGTTCGCGCCGCGAGGGGCGCGGTCCGCGCACCAGCGTCAGCGTCAGCAGCGCAAGCCACGCGGCGGGGCCCGCCCGCTCGGGTCAGATCGGATGGCCCCTGCCGAAAGGGCTCGCCGCACCTCGGCTACTCGTCGGGCGGTGGCGTCGCGTCGCCTCGCGTCGCCTCCTCGGTGGGAAAGAGGGAGGAGGGGAGGGCGATGGATGACGTGGGTGTGCGCTGCCGTCGGGGCGGTGATGGGGAGGAGAGAGAGAGAGAGAGGGAGGGAGGGAGGGAGAACGGGAGAAGCTGTGGACAAGCACCCCCTCAGCAGGTACCTAAGCCGGCGGCCAGAAAGCCAGGCAGCTAGCGCGATCGGCGGCTCGGCTGGCCAGCTGGCGGCTAGCCTTGCCGATCTCTCGCCCGGGAGACGACGGCTCCGTGGACGTGTACACGTGCGACGCTCAGGCTCCCCCGAGGGGGGCGCGAGCCAGACACGTGCTCGGAGCCAGCCAGCCGAGGCCAGCGGTTGCAGGGCCGCCTAGGGGGCAGTAGGGTAAACGTGCCCCCCCCCCCCCCCCCTTTTCCCCGGCCCCCAAGGCAGGGTAGGTAGAGAGAAGACAGACGCCGCGCCGCGACCGACGGCCAGTTTGCCGCCTGCCTGAGCCGTAGCCGTAGATATACCTACATGTATAAGTACATCTGGAGATGCCCGAGCCGTATAGCATACACATGCTTACATCATGCCGCCCCTCCCAGAGAGAGAAAGATGGAGAGAGGGCGGAGAGGAGGGGGGGGAGAAGGAATACGCACGCGGCGCCTGCTACACCCGTGCGATAGCTCCCCGCACCAACTAGCCGGCCAACTTACCTACCTTATCCACAGCCTCTAGCAGACAGCCGGACTTCACTTACACGAGACAATCGCGCGGCTACTTAGACCGACCCCCCGCCGGTCTGCCGATCTCCATTTCTCTCCCCTTCTCTCCCTATCGAATCAGAGGCAAAGAACATCGGGGGAGCTAGCCAGCAGACAAGCACCTGGTATGTGCTTCGACACCCCCTCCCGTACGCGTTTCGCTCATTTACTCACCCGCAAAACGAACTGGTTGAAGAAAAAAAAGACCCCTGATCCAGAAGTGTGAGAAAAACAGTGCGAAATTCGTAATTACACACAGGAAATCAGTATCTACGTACCCTGAACCTAATAGTCTATAAACAAGAGAGCTGCGTGTCCCTTCGAGGGGAAGACGAATAAAGAAAGAGAAACCCTAGAAACCTGCTTTTTCCTATCTTTTTGTTTTTGCCAGGAAATTCTTAAATTCCTCTCCTTTTCCCCCTTAACTTTTCTTGCTTTTTAGGTATGGTGACCAGAGGAGAAACCCACTTGCGAACGCCTAGCTGTTGACACCCGCCGCAACCGATTGAGCGCGAAGGAAATTACAGACAGGGAGGGAAAAGGGGAGGGAGGTGGGGGGAATAACAAATCATTTCCATCAGCCGTGAGGCATGGCCATTCTCGGGATGAGCGTCTCTTGTGTAGAAAAGGGGGGGGGAAGGTGTGACGGGAGCCAGATACCTCGCTATCCGGAAGGAAAAGCGCGTTGCTGTTACGCACGCCGACGCAACGACCATCCCTGTCGTCATGCATCATTCATCGTCTCTATCGTATCCCCCTCCTTATTTCGCCCTTTCGCTGTAGTTGTGCTTTTGCGGTACCGTCATCTCAGGTTGGATATATAACCACCCGCGGTAGTAGATCAGATATAGTGACTCTCCTCGAGACACTCAAATCGAAGATGGTGTGACGCACATTTGTTAGGATACCATTGTCGACTATCGTCAGAGTTGTGTTTTGGTGGTGTCGAATCAGTGACTGGAAAAGAAATACGGGAAAATGACGACGACGATGCTTGCTGAAGTCTATCGAGGGTATACTTAGACTGGACGCCTTATGCAACAAGCACAGAACGCCGCCCAAGATGCCGTAAATGACAAACTTTTCCGAACCGAGGGAAATCATGGCTATGTACAGTCGCCACGGAATGGGGGTATCCAGTCTATACGAACGCGCGTCTATGCCGATGAATGAATGCGGAGGGGACTAGGACCTCTAGTCGGCTGGGTATTTTCAGCGTCGGGCCTCAGCTCGAGATTAGAAGCTGGCGTCACCATCGCTACTTGATAATCAGGCGGGCAGCGAATCCTATAGCTGCATCTCCTCGCCTATTCCGGGTAGCCCGTGGTTCATACCTGCCATGTTGAAGGACATCTGGCTGTTGGCAAGGTTCGCTCGGATGTTAGCTGCTTGGGCTTGGATCTCGCAGGCCGACGAGTGTTGCTTGTGCTGCGAGACCGTTAGTATTGGCATGGCACCGACGATCATATGAACGGGAGAGAACCTACATATTTCAGGCCGTTCAGGTTCTTGTATCGCTTGTGGCAGTATTCGCACTTGTGAGGCTTCTCCTTCTCCATGCCAGTCTCGCCCGGATAGGGTGCCGACGTTTCGGGGTTGACTATGGAGAATGAGCCGTCCCCATTCTCGTGGAGTTGTTGGTTCTGGTGACCGTGTTGCTTGTGATACCTATATATTGATTTAGCGACAACGTTGAAACCGGGATTGGCGCGCTCGGGCAATAAACCGAAAAAGGGGAGACGGAAAAAGAAAACTCACTTTAAGCCATTCTGGTTCTTATATGCCTTCTCGCACCCTATGACCGGACACTTGAACGGTTTGTCCTCCTCGGGAGGCATTACCAGAGACCCCGGGTTTGCGATCGCTCGCTGAAGCGCTGCTAGGTGTTTCGGGTCCGTGATATTGCCGAATTGGCTCGCATCTAATCCGAACTGGGCCATCTGTTGCTGGAGCGCTCGTTGGTTTGCCGGCCCACCATTCGGGCTATATAGGCGCTTGGCCGGGTCGTCGATGAAGAACTCGGATAGGCTGGTGGCATCAAAGTTTCCCATGCCGGTGAGGTTCAGGTTGCTCATGGAAGAGAAGTCCATCTCCATACCCTCCTTGCTTCCGCCCATCTGTTGGCCCAGCGCGGCCTGCTGCGTCGTCAGGGTCGGCGTGTTGACCGACGAGACCGTCGGGTTGTTCTGGAACCCGTAGTTGGGTGCGCCGGGCGTCGGCGGTTGCGACGAGCGAAGCGCCTGATGCGATAATCCGGAGCTGCTCAATTGAAGCTGGGGTCTCTGCTGCTGTCCAAACATCTGTCTCGTCTGCTGGATGGTCCGCTGGCTGTCGTCCATTTCCATCATACCGACGGCATCATCCATCTCCATATCACCGACAGCATCCATCTCGTCGTTAGACTGCATCCTGTTGAGCTGCTGGGACCGTTTTTGAGCGTTCGAATCCATCGACGTCGATGACTGTCTTCCCATCTGCATCCCCCCAAAGGTCATACTGGGGCCGATATTGCTTCCTAGCGTCCTATTCTGTTGGCCGAATCCCATCTGTCCTTGGTGTTGGTAACCTTGCGAGTCCTGCCTTCCGGCGCCCGTCGGTACAGACGGTCGATTATTGATCGAAAGTCTGTGCGGCATCTGCACACCGGTGCCGTTTCGGTTCGGCTGGGCGTTCTGGCCCGTATGAACCGTCTCGTAATGGCGGAGAAGGTCGTGCATGGTGTCTAGCTTCAAGTCGCAACACACAAAATTGCGCAAGTACTCGGCCTCCATCTTCGGGATGTACGAGTTAGAGTGAAATGAAGGCGATTGATGCGCGCCAGTGTACGGCGAGGTCCCGGTCATAGCGAGGCTGCCCGTTGCGATACACAGTGGTTAGTATCACCCATCGGAGCATTCCACATATCGGACAACCTAAAGAGAAAAGGGGAAGAGAGGGGGGGGGGAAAGAACTCGGAATCATTCCATAGGGTGAGAGGAGGGAAGGCGGGGGGGGTACGCCACGAGACAACAGCCTCGATAGGCGGTATATTGAGATGACAGCAAAAAAGACAGACGATCATGAGGGCGAATCTGGTTACGACTTACTCATCTCTAATGAAACTCCCAACCGAGGCTCCACCCCAACTCATACCGCCGTTCACAAAACTGCCTGCGAGGCTCTCTCGGCGACCGCGATTAGCCTGTTCGCGATTCGGATTAATCATCGAGATGGGCTTGGGCCCGGCGCTGACGAAGGAGTCCTGGCGACTGCGGCCGACGGCCGAGTCGAGCGCAGGACCGGTGGTCATCTCGACGTCGCCGTGTATGTCCAGCTGGAAGATGTCGGCGCCGGCGGGATTGCCGTTCTGGTCTGGAGGGGGCGACGTGGATATGGAGGTGCGGATTTTTGGCGCTGCGGTCGCGGTCGCGATGTCTATTGGCTTGGACGGCGGGGGAAGTACAGATGCGGATGCGGACACAAAAGCGCTGACGGTAGCGACAGCAGCGGTGGGCACAAAATAGTTGCTGGGACCGGGAACAGTACCAAATTGATCGTCGGGGGTCGCAGGTTGGGGCGAGGGAGACGGCGAAGTAAGTGAGTGTGAAGAAGTTGGTGTCGGAGCAGCAGTGGTCGTAGTAGTCGTAGTAATGGTAGCACCAGTAGCGGCAGCGACAGCGGCGGTAGCGGTGGCAGAGGCAGCAGCAGAAGCAGCGGCAGTCAAGCCAGGCGCAGGGCCTGAACCCGAATTATTATTGTTGGTATTCTCGGCGCTGCTGCGGCTGCTAAACGGATGCTCGGTGTCATTAATCGCTGGGGATGGGGTACGTGTCGTACCTGTTAACCACCGGCCCAGGGCGCCCCCCTTCATGATTGGCAGAGGGCTGTAGTGGAGTCGACCCTGGTATGGTCTTCCTGGTCCTCGGTCCTTGGAGGGGGCGGTCTTGGGCTTGGTCGGCTCTGGTTGGTGCCCTTGGACGATGTATCGGAGTGTACACTACGTATACATATGTAGGCAGGTAGGTATGTGCGGATGGATGGGTGGATGAGGGGGGTGGATGGGTTGGGATGCGGGCGGAGGGTGGACGGATGGATCAATGGATCAATGGACGGATGGACATATGTATGTGCGTCTGTAGGTGCTGGGGAGTGTAACCGCAGTTGCTGAGCCGGCGGGTTTCGCTATACCAAACGGGGCCGCCGTGGTGAGGATTGACGATTGCTCGCTCCCTGGACCGACGAGGGACACGGGGAGGTATTATGTAGAAGGGGACGCTGTCCGCGCGCGAGACGGCGGAAGAGCAGCCAGGGAAGACTGGGGACGGCGACGGCAGACGTCGGAAATAATGAGGAAATAAGTAGGGAGAGTAGAGCGGTCGGGAGGGGATGATAGAGAAGCCGGAGACGGGTCGAGGTCGAGGTTGAAGATGGCAAACGGCCTGCCGTCCAGAAACTCGAGGTTAGTGTAGGTGTGGCAATAGTGGTACATGGGGGAGGCTAGGCTAGGCTAGCCCGCGAGTTAGATTTGGTAGGTACGAATCGATGCACCGCTGCAGCTGGGGCAGAGGGCCAATTGCAGGTACGTAACACGGCCCAGAGGACATGTGCTGGTACATCCGCTGGTACGTGGGTGGGGACGGGCGTGGGAACATGGGATGCATGCGACGACGGGTGATGGAGGGATGTACCCAACTTGGGCAGATATAGCCGGTCGATGTACCCGAGCTAGCCAGAGCAATGTATGCGCCCACGGGGACGCCACCGAGGTTATGTACCTAGGGCCTGTGCATGCGGTACATGTGGTACATGTGCGCAGCTGGCGTGGATGGCACCTGCAGCGGGCGGGCGAGATGGAAGGCGCCTAGCCTGTGAACGGCGGAAGGAACTGACTTGGGACTTGGGCGAGGGGGCTAACGAATACCTGGGAAGGGGCGGCAAGGTGGGGGGGAGGGACTGCGACAGATGGAGCGATGATGGGAGGGGAGGGACGAATCCAAGGGCATGCCTTCCCGGTTCGGTCCAAGTTGGACCGCTCCAGCTGGAGGCAGGTACGAAGAGGCAAGACCGAGAGGCGGTACGGAGGTACGTATACATCACCACATAGCATCATCAACCAGGGCTCTTATACCATCACCATCAACTTATGGTGTGTGCGTGGTGTGCGTGGTGTGCGTGGTGTGCGTGGTGTGCGTGGTGGTGCGTGCGAGCGAGCGTGCGAGTCTGCGCGCGTACACACACGTACATTGACGTATACGTCCCATCGGCCCAGTAGCGGGTAGGCGTGTATACGTGTGCGTAGGTATGTATATATATACATGATGCGTTACGGCACGTCCGTGTGCAGCGTGCAGGGCAGGGCGGGTAAAGGACAGGGAGAGACAGGGACGGAGACCAATACGTACCTAAGAAGAGGCGCTTGACTTACACCGAGGATGAGAGCCCAACCGCAGAGCTAGCTGACCTGGATGCCAAGGTCCTACCGTGGGTTTCGTCTCAGACTGCCGTGCCACGAGTCTCCCATGCGACCACAGGAATGGGAGTGAGCGTGTGCCTCGTCGTGGGATGTCGCGTGTGGAAAAAGATTCGGCAGGTATACCCTCAGGTATATAGGTATGTAGGTAGGTATGGATATGGGATGAATGTGATACTTGTGCGTGCGTGCGTGCGTGCGTGAGTTGTGTGCGTTGTGGGCGCGCGTGCACAGTACGTAGGTAGGTATTGTATGCTACGGGCCACGCCCTATGTATGCACGTAATTTGTACGGGTCGACGCGAGGAGGTATTACCGTACGTGGTAGAGCTGAAATGTGATCAATGCGGTCAATACCCACGATCACAATCGTTGCCGGCGGTCCAGACTAGGGCCGAAACTAGCACTGTACGGTCTACCGGGGGGGGGGGGGCGCCAGGTTGGTGATCGCTGCGGTGACGTAGGTGCGTCGGGGTAGCTGGGAGGGATTCCGACGTGATGACCCGAGCAAAGCCGTGCACCTAAGCCGAGCGAGAGAGGTTGGCAGGTAGACCCAGGCAGATACTGAAGAGTCTCTAGGAGACCGGAGACAAGGCAGGTGAAGCAGGTAGAGAGCGCAGTTCCGGTGGCCGGTAAGACAGCCAAGGTTGCCGGGTTGGCGAAGAGATCCCGAAGGATGAGTCAAGCAGTAATAAGTACGACGCCGGTGTGCCGCGCACCAACGCCACTTACAAAAGGGGGGACCCTATAGAATGACTCCGAAGCACGAAACACGAGACTTTCTTCCCGGACTTGCCGTGGAGCGTGCCAGGGTATTGATAACAACGATAATGTACGCAGGCCGCGATCGGGAGGCTCCGCTGAGGAAACCAAGGCAGAGAGCAACGCCCCCGCCAACGTCGTGTGCACGATGTGAAGATGAAGCCGAGGTGGGATTAGCTCGGCTTTTGCCCGCCTGGCGCTAGAGTTCGCCGCGGGGTGGATGCGAAACACGGGAAGTGAGGTGTCGTCGCGCCGTCGCTCTAGCAGCTCTCGAAAGGATCTCGGAGCCGGATCAGGGCAGCTCGTAACCCCAAAGGTCGGAATCCCGTTCTGGCGGAGAGAATGCCGACGCGGAAACGGGAGAAGCGGGAGAGTTGATCTAGGGAGGTCGATGGGGGCGAGCGGGTGCAGGCAAGTAAGTCCCCGGAGCGTCGAGATCGCCGTCGACGCTGGCGCGCCTGCTGGCGTGTTATCAAAATTACGACTTAGTCAGATCCTGCAGCATCTCCTATCGCGAGAGGTCACACAACATCTAACCCAGACGGATGAATGGGTGGATGTCGACGGGGACGGAGCCGGCTAGGGTGAGATGACGCCGGGGTAAGGGGTGAGAGAGACGGAGGAACGCGCGCACAGGCGCAAGGGAGTCGGCCAGTCGAGGGAGCGTTGTAGTGGTGGTGGTTTGGTTCGAGGGGAGCCTCGTCGCCGGCCGCGATTACGCCGTCGCAATGCCGAAATCGTGGGCTGCAGGGTTTCGGAGAGGGAGAGGACGGACGGGAGAGGGAAGAGAGAGAGAGAGGGCAGAGACGAGAGGTTGTGTGCAGGTAAGTTCGGTATGCGTGGGCATGCAGGATGCATCTGCGTACTTCAACGCGATCGATGCACAATACCTACAACACAGCCTGTGATGTAATTCTGTACTTACTGCTGCGCAGAGGCGGAAAGCGTGGGCTGTCTAACACGAGCAATCAGACCCGACAATTAACTTGGAGTTAATTAGAGAGCAACTAAGCTGCGGATATTCCTTACCTACCTTCGTCGGAAGTATGAGTAGACTCACTGCCTACCTTACCCTTGGCCCTCCCGCTCAACGACCCGGGATATACCATACGTGACAAGGTCTATGGAACAGGCTCTATTACATTTCGGGCACGCGCGATAGGACGAGACCAGTTCGTGCAACGCTAAGCACATCTGAGATTGTCACCGAGCTACTCGCTAATTACATGAGCCTAAACCGCCAATGTCAATGCTAACGCCCGTCCATCCTGCTATCGTCTCTCTGTTGCGGTCCCGTGTCACCTGGACTTCCTGGGACCGGGGTACGGAGGGAATGTTTGTCCCAGCGTCTTCTCAACATCGCCCGGCATGTACAGAGTATCCCGACCGACAATATGGTGTGTGTACCTGCTCATATACGTACCCTACGCGATGTGCTACCGATAGGTGAACTCCCAAGGTGGGCTGGACACGGAGAGGCAGCCATTGTCGCTATGAGACCTAGAGGCAGGCAAGGTAGGTATAAGTGGGAACGAAGAAGACGTACGTCCGGTGTCTTCGTGCACGGTACCCTTGCGACTGGAGCCCGCTGGGCTAACTCCACCGGTACCGATCATCAGACGCCCGTAGCGAGCAGGTATCGTCAGTTTTGGTGATGGGTGACGAATGGGCCCCGTCGCCGGGGAAAAGACTTTGGGGATCGAGGGATTGCGAGGGAGTGTGGGGGGCATGCGCACACAATACCTGCATACCTGCATACCCGCCTAGGTACTGCACCCTTTGCGTATGTGCCTACGCGTGCGCGTCCGTGTGTGAATATATATAGGTATATACAACTATGTGTATGTGTATGTGTATGCGTGTGGGTGGTGTGTGGGTGGATAGGTGGCCATGTCTCACTGTCGGTTATCGATGTGATGTGCGTCTAGTCAATGTATGTGCCTACTGTACCTCGGTATGCAAAAGGGAGAGGCATGTGTGTGCATACACACACATCTGGATGTCCCATTTTCGTCACCCCAGAAAAGCCGTTCGATAACCGACAATCCGCGACCGCGGGCAGGGATGGCAAAGACTCCTCCCGAGGTTTGTTTCGACATAGTACCTACTATACCTACTGCGCACGCGGTCCCAAAGTCCCATACGACGTATGAGCAGTCAGGTCTTGTGTCACCTCCTCCTCCAGGGTTGAAACAAACGGCCTTCGACGAGCCAGCTATCTCTAGTTCCGGCTCCGGCTCTGGCTCTACGTGTAGAAGCGGACCGAACTCGTTTCTCGTCGGCATTCACGCGGTTCATTCTTCACCCGTCTTCATTATTTCTTGTCGCTTGCTGGTGTGGGTTTCGCTGTGCCTTTTCCTCCCTCCCTCCCTCCTTCTTATCCATCTTCTTCCTTCTTCTCTCTGCCTATATGTAGAGTCGTGCGCATCACGATACGATCGATAACTGCCATGTATTCGTATGTATCCCCGTAATATCCCAACCGAAGCGTCGGAAGAGAGAGGGTGTGAAACTCGCATAGCTGGTTCGAGGTTGCACCCCCCAACGTCAAGTCTCGTAAGGGAATTAAGGTCTAGGCGTGTTGGGCGACAGGCGATTGGGAGCCGATTGAGGCAAGCCGATGCGTGTGGATGAAACCGACAGGGTCCCCTGGATGGCTCGAACAAGGCTTCCGCTCGCCCAGCGTTATCGATTCGCGTCTGGATTCTGGGTCGCTTCTGCCTCTCTTCTTCTCCTCATCCTTTTACCATCACGCATTATTACTATTTAGCAAGCCAGTCTACTGCAATTAGATTCATCCCCATGCTTAAACCATGGACGCCGCGCTAGACTGACGGGTTGATGCACGCGGTAGACTTTCGCTGTCGTGCGGCATAACCTACCCCTCGGTACTATCACTACTGAGGCATGCCTACCTATGTACATTCACGCGCACACACACGCACACAGGTGCATATAGGCGTATGTATATATAGGTATATAGGTATATAGGTCTATTACGTCCATATAACCACTACGCGTCGATTGGCAGACACGATCTGTAATAGATAAGACGGCAACGGATTTGGCCTCTCCTGTTGGCTGCTAGTAAGCGGCATGCACGGCAGGGTGACAGGCGGGATGCGTGCCCGCAGGCATGACTCGGGGGGTTGAATGGCAGTATAAATCAGCCGTATAAGCTCGTTCTCACGTACAGATTGCAACACGATGCGGCCATCAGCAGACAGCGGTGGCGGGAGTAACAGTGGGAAGTAGTGGCGGTAGCCTTCCCGACTCATCGCGGAATGGTGGTATCGCGAAGGCAGGTCGGGCATATACATTGTGATGTGATGCTTTCCTACTGCTCGCGCAGCACTGCAGGTCGCATACATGTTCGTTGGCACGCCGACCAACGCAATCGGGACCTAAGTTTCTAACCCTACAACTGTATGTCTCTCTCCCTCTCTTGCTTTCCAGACCAGCTGCACGGTATTGTGCCCACAAGCAGCATGGCGATAAGTGCTGGGCTAGTTACCTACCTATACCTACAAGCAAGTGAGGTAGATGGTGTCTAAGTTGTCAGCGGGCTTGTGTGCAAATAGGTGGTTTCTCGTCGGCGGATCGCGACGGTTCGCCAGATATTACCCCGTTTCGGGTTTTATTACGCGCCTCGTCGGACTCACCTGCAATCACATGCCTCTCTCGACTCGACTCAGCCGCGTGTTCTCTGCCTCTCTCGTCGTCTTCCTTCTACCTTCTCCCACTCCCCTCCTGCTACCGCCAATCGATGATGAATCCGATCGAGGCGCCCGTATGTGGGTACCTCGGACACTGTAGTGGAAAGGAGGTATATGCCTAGGTGTTATATACCTAGTAGGTACTTGGTGATATAGCTGCCCACGCGACAGGATTGCCAAGCACCCGAGACTGGAAGACGCGAAGAAGATTCGCAGACCAGCGCTAGCATTCCTGCCTAGGTAACCCATCTTGGACCGAGTGGTCGCCTTCGACATATGCAAAGGTGGGTATATATGTGAGGCATGGCACACCTGTAACCTAACCGGCGTCCCACCCGACGCCGCTGGTAATCTGTCCCTATACCCAATTCACATGTCTCTCCTACCCATCTGTGCCTCGACGTCTACATACCTATATAGACATGCTACTTTAGGTATTTAGATAGGTCTGTACTAATCTCTCTATGCTACTTAACGTGCTACGTAGCATGCTTACCTAGGGATGCTTACCCTAACCTGCGGACAGCCAAGCCGCGCCCTCTGCGATGGTCAACTTTGGATCTTGGCGTCCGTGCGGACCGGACTGGCAAACATCGGTATCATGGAGCCGATTGCCTAAATAGGTAGGTAGGGTTTCAACGCCAGGGTTGTGGGTGATGGGGGGGGGGGGGGTTAATGGGGACCCATGGCATCCCATTGCCTCCCCTTGTTTGAGCTTTTCTACGACGTTCAGCTCTCTGGTTGAATGGTGTTAAAGCCTCATCACGGCCCCAGCTGAAAAGAGAGCAGCGAGATTTTCCCGGCTCTTCGGCCTCGGGTGTTTTCTTGTCTCTCTTTATTTTGTCTTGGTATGGCGAGGAGTAGCCGAGAGCAAACGGTCCCTTGTGCCGGTCGGGAGATACCTGCATCCCCCTACTAGGTATAAGGTATAAAGGAATCTGCCATTCTATCTACCTGATACCTAGAAGAGAACATGTGTACGTACGTACCTTATGCATGCATACACGGAGGAGGATGAGACGAGGAAGACGGAGATGAGGTGTCCTAATGATGTTAGGCTTACGGGTTACCTTGCCTCCTAGACATACTCACACCCATTCCTCACTATCATGCACCAACGCGCTAGCACTTACACTACATACCTACCTACAGTCTTATTAGCTTCACCACGCCTCTGACCAGCTCTACTCGCTGCTGTGCGACGGCCAAGCCATCCGCGGCGGAGCGGCATAATTAGCCCGCAGGAACTCTCTTGTGGCCTCTGTAATTCCCGAGAGAAGCCACCGTGCCCGGATTTCCTCCCGCTCGGTCTCAGTTGCGGCAGGGGGTGAGCAGGAGAGGAAGGAATCAGCAGCATCAGCGCCAGCAAGCAATATGAATAGTGCGACTTGATCGATCTCCCTCTGTGTCGATCTTCCGATCGCGGGAAAGGGGGAAATAATATCATGTTTCCCGGTCCTTTTAGTGATGTCCTCCCATACATGTGCAACGTCTGTGTACGTTCACACACATACGTTGGCGCCCAAGCATAGACCGCAAGTTTTGCACTTATGACGAAAGTGAGGGCTGAGACGAGGATAGGCCCATGATGAGAGAGATGAGGCTTGATGATCAATCCCCGCCCCCTCTCCCCCGTCCCTCGTCCCCGGGCTTCCCACTTTCCCACTGGCTTGGGAAAACTCGCTTGCTCGGCTGTCGCCAGGAGGTATTAGCTAGCTCATCCGGTTATCACCAACTTTCTTCATCCGCTTCTACTCCAGGTTCAAGGCGGTGTGAACTCTCATCCGCATAGACTCGCGGTAGACAGGCGAATATTAATAAAATGAGATTAATAACGCTAGTGGTAGCTGAGGAGAACCATACCTGCCGGCCGCATGTCCCGAGCAGGTTTAGGATGCTGTCATCACTTACACGCTCTCACACCTGCTTACCGCATAGGTATGTATCTCCTTTTCTTCTCGCTCCCTTTCCACCGAACTAAGGATGGTATGCATTTCTCCGGACTTATCGTCGCACCTGTCGCCTCCAGAATAACCATCTGACATCAGCGCCCGATGGATTCCTACGTACGTATATTATAGAGGCGTAAGTGCGCGTATATGCCGTGATGTGCGTGTGAAATGTACCTACAGAAATAGGTAATAGGCATATCACTGTTGCAGCGCCTTCGCCGGATCCGAACCCCAAAGTCACTATTCAACTACCTACATTTACAACCTCGCCTTGCCGTACGGCGCACGGCGGAGATGACGCTTCTCACTCACGGCCAACGTACACCGCCTTTTGCCCGCCGTGGTGGGAAGATCGAATTGCCGTGCCCAATCGCGGACGCCGTCAAGCGAACGCCGTGATGTCCTCTGTTTCTCGACCTCATCCTCCTGCTGATCCCTCCCCTCCTCCACCGCCATGGCGTGGTGTTACGTGTGACGAATGGCGCCCGCGGCCGGAATCCGGTCGGGCGCGGATTCACTCGCTCGCTCATGTCCCCTACCCGTAAGGCTCGTCGCCGCCGCCGCTTGTTCTGTGATACACGCCTCGGTGCTTTGGGACCCTGAAATGGGAGTGTACATAGATAACTGCGTACGACGCGATGGGGCCATATTCCCGCCTTCGAGAGCCTTGGTCGTCCCGCATTTCCCTGGCTTTCCCCCCTCCCCTGGCGCCATATTATAGGTATACCTGACTCCCAGGTAGATATACCCAGGTAGATACATCAATACGTGCAGCTCCTCCTCTCAACCAGTTGTCGAGATCGCCTCGATTGCCCTTACATAGCGTCACTCCACTTGGACATTTTATGTCTAGTCTACGTTTGGGTGGGAACGTGCTGCATTTACCTACTAAGTACATACCTACATACGTAAGCTAATCCGCCGGGGTCGGGATTCTAGATTGGTGGCTCTTGGCTCTCGGGGTCCCCTGCCAGGCTCGAAACCGTTCTCTTTGTCTGGCCGATGTTGTTGGGTGTTGAGTAGGCTAGGTGTTGAGTAGGCTACCTCGGAGGAGTCTACAGAACAAGAAAGGAGTTGCGTATGCCTACGTACTTCCTACCTACATGCGACACACAGATTCACACATTGGCTTGGTCCTCTTCCTCGCCACCCGGAGCGGGCGGGACCCTGCAGGGCGGTATAGGAGGAGGCTTAACCTGTGTATACTCAATATGTACGCATCGATTACCGTGAAGTGGCAAGTCGCGGAGCTGCAAGCCGCGAGCCTCATCACGAACAGCCACTCTCCGTGTCTTCGCCCTGTCGCCTCCGAGGCCCGACCAATGAGCGAGGTGCTATATCGCAACCACCTTCTCTTCCTCCATCTCCCGATTCGCGACCCTGGTCCCTCCTCCGTCCCCTTTTCAAACCGACGGTGGGGATACAAACAACAACAACAACCCTCTCCCTCTCCCTCTCAGGGTTCTAGAAGGCCGAAGCAAACTAGCTGGCGAGCGACGAGCGGGCCCTCACCGAGGGCACGGGCGGGACGAGCGACACGCACCGAGAGAGGGCTGCGTGGGAACGGCGCTACGGCCGACGGTCGAACGCCAATTCTGCAGCAAGCAGACGTACCTAGTCCATGTCACCGCATTGTTGAGCTGGCGGGCTCGCGGCAGGCAGACGGCGAGCGCGGTGGCTCTAGCGTATGCTGGGAGCATTAGGTAGGTTAGGTAGGTAGGTATACGCAGAGCAGCGTGGGAGAGGCTGGTCGGAATTGTGGTCTTCTGGTTTCACTATTATTATTGTTTGGTCATGGATTCCCTGGGGCAGAAGATGGCTTGCCGCGTTCGAGGCGTCTCCGAGCGGGGGCATGAAGACGTAGGCGCCACCTGGCTATACCTACCTACCTAGGTATAGGTATATTGACATGTTATCGTCGTTAATACGGTGGATAGGTATTCGAGGCATGATAGGTATACCTACCTATTATCTGCGCCCGCGACCTACCAAGCACAAGAATACATGCTCGTAGGTTGGTCGGTAGGTGGGCAAATACCTAATATGGACTACAACATGCGTGTAGGTATTAATTAAGCTCGTGTCCGACGACGGCCGCCCGCAATGACGGTACCACGACGGCATGGCTCTGGCGAGACTGCGATCGTTGGCCGTCCGGCCGCGCCGTCGGCTTGGCTCATGTCGCTGTTACTCCATTCTTATCTCATCGTATCTGGTCTCTCTTCCTTTGGCTAAGGTCCCTCGGGCGACCGACGGGTCCCTATGAGTAAGTGTGCGTACCCAAGTGCTGGTGATGTTACATAGGTAGGTGATTGACTGGGCAGGGCCGGTCATCTTACGGCCCAGGTTCTTCGTGGTATGCATATATATGAGTACGTTCGGCCAGTTATTATTAGATCTCTCAATGCCCACCTATCAAAGCACGCTCCGCCGCCGGCGTGGAAATGCGCGCGCTGGATGTCGCCAATGGGGTTAGGTCGGGTGTCTTGGTCGTCTTCGTCTTCTTCGTCTTGGTCGTCTTCCTCACTTCCGTCACACCCCCCCCCTAGCCCCCCCTTAGCACCGCACTTCCACGCTACGTAGGGCAGCAACCGCATGTTTGGGATCACGCGCCGATGAGGCAGGGGGAGGGAAGCCTTCCAGAACTTATGGCCATGGCCTACCAGCATCGTCGCGTCACCATTAACCGAGCCTTGCGACGAAGGCCCACACACCCCTTCGCCCGCTCGCCCATTCATTCACTCATCCTCACGATCCATCACATACTCACACACACACTCACACACACACTCACACACACACCTACATACTCACGCACCTATTACCTATCACACATATACGTCTACCACACATACATGTCTACCACACACCCACCCAGCCACCCACCACACACACGCCAGTATACAAACGATAAGGCGGTAACGGTGGCCCCCATGCATAAAAAACTGCAACCTGCCAGCTCGCAACTCGGGAGCGGGTCGAAGCGAGCGCGCGAGGCGCACACCGATACCAAACCGACGAGGGGCGCCAACCCGAGGCGACGCCAAGCTGCCGGTCACCGCACGTGATACACGGTGCGATGCTGTCCACGCACCTACCTAGGATGCACATCCGTCCAGGCACAAACGGACACACGGCTGATGCCTAGGTATGTACCTTACTACGACGCGCATGATCTGTCACCGCCAGGTTGACGGACGGGACTGATGGATCACGAAAGGCGCGGAAGCGACCGGGCCTGTCAACATGCGCACACATCCCCTGGGAGCTTACGATCCGGCGGTTCCCCGCGGACCTGGCGCCATCGCCGAATGCGCCGGTGCATAGCATTTGGGTCCTTTTTTCCGATGTACGTGTGTACGTGTGCGCGTACGCTGTGCATATACCTACCTATATGCGCGGTGCGCGTGCTCGTGTATGTGTAGGCGTAGACCTGTGCGAACTCGCCATGCAGATGCGGCGATTCCGGTATTCAGATCTTGATAAGTAAGGATACCGTGCCGATTGGTCGACCGTATTCCGCAGGTCGGGGGCAGGCCAGGTCGGGGCAATACCATCTGTCCACCTGACCTCCCCTTCGCGCCTCTCGAGTCCGACCAGACGGGATGGTCTCCCACCCGCGAGGTGTCCACGCCGAGTCCGTCCTCGGCCCTGATCCGAGAAAGCGCGTGCAAACGCCAAATGTCATGATAATCGTACATCCTTGCGCCAACTCGGATCGGAGGCGGGATCGGGGACTGGCTCGGCTCAGGGGGTTCCAATGGAGAATGTCGCTTCTCCTCGGGCGGCGGGGGAATACGATAAGGAGGGGTTGGCCACCTGACGACGACGACGACGACAATGACACGACAGGCCAGTCCACAGGTAGGATCGATTTAGCTACGTAAGGCGAGAGGCCCTTGTCGACACGACCAATGCCTTTGCCGGAGCCATAAGCTGAGCTCCCCATCGAGTCATTGGTCGTCTGATTTTTCTCACTGGCGCCGGAGGGGGGCTTTGTCGCGTGCCCTCCGTCCCCTTCCTCCCTGTGGTGCCCGAACTCGCTACAGGAATCCGTTATACCACCGACGGTAGGGACTTTTGCTTCAAGTTGATCAGGAGGATGGGGGATATATAGGAGGTAGGTATGCATGCACATGCCGTGCTATGCTATGCCTACTAACAGCAAGCGGACTAGGCGGGCTACAGGTGGGATACGACGACGGTGTGTAAGCGCCCATTAGCCGACGCCTAACAACGGCACCAAGACCCCGTATAGACTAGGGTGTGCGAAGGGAGACAGGGAGAGGCAGAAGTCGGCAGTGAGGATAGGCCCAAAAATAGGCACAACAGCAGGTGAGAGAGAATAGAACAGGCAGTGTTTAGCGGGGTGGCCACTGAGCACATTTGTCGGTTTGTCGGGCGGAAGAGGCCGAGTTAGTGGACCAACGACCAAATTACCCCAGCCAAAGCCCGAGAGGTCTTGGGCAACGGCGACCAAACGGCGAGGAGCGGACGACCCAGCCTTGCCCGAAGGGGACTAGGCCACTTTGCAGGAATGTGGCTGGAACACCGTCTGCCGCGTCCCGCGAGGGGGGGTGAGACTGTGGCCGACGCCACAGCCGGCTACGTAATAGCTACCAGCTGATATAGCCAGCTGGCGGCAATAATTCGGGATTTGCTCTGGCCGAACTAGCCACCGGCCACCGGGGGGGGATCGTACCAGCCGGGCAGAGAATGGGCGAAAACGGGCGGAGAACGTGCCATCGGATGGGCTCAGGATCCTGCTCCGACTTTCTCCACGGGACGAAAGGGAGAGAGAACGCGAAGATAAAAATTATTAAGCAATCCAAAAAAAAAAAATACCAGGAAGAAAAGGAGGGAAATTTACGTGTATATACACAGGCACACCTATGTGCTGGAGATAGGTAGGTATGTGTGCATAGGCACTCTCCACGCGCCCTCAGGTACCTACATCCCGCCCTACCAGCTGCTAAGCACCCGAGTGAGGTATATACATAGGCATATGTACCCTTGCGCGTACGGGCAGGGTTGTAAAAAAAAGTTTTTAAGTTAAGTTTTAACGAAACTTAACTTAACTTAACTTAAGTTTTTAAAAATGAAAACTTACTTAACTTAAAAAAGTTTTTGAAAATAGAAACTTAACTTAACTTAAGAAATTTTTCTAAAAACTTAACTTAAAAACTTAAACTTTTTTTTCAACCCTGCGTACGGGGTATTATTGCGTTACTAAGAACCACTTCTTTGAGATCCCGAAAACTCGCCTGGATAAAAATCGTCATCAGTTGCCTCGTGCTTGTTCGCAACCTTACCTCATCTCATATACCTCAACTCCCTTCCCCCGTCTCGCCTCTCTCTTTTCTTCTCCGTCTTCCCACAACCTCGCCCTCCCTTCGGCGCCGCATCCTACGCAGATGCAAACCGAACCACCCTGTTGACATCCAGTGCAGCCTGCGATAACGCCAGCGTAACAAAGCGACGGGCTCTAGTCGATACCCCCCCTTCCGGTTAGGACGGTTAGGACAACCCCGCCGTTCCCATTGACCAACCGAACATCAACGTCGTCAGCACAAAATACCCATGCCCAGCTCTTCTTCTCGTCGCGTCGTCCCCTAAATCAAGATCACTGTGACTGGAGTCTTCTTTGCATAGCTGTACCTGAGCACGCGAGTCACACGAATCGCAACCCGCAATCATGAAGATTATCTCGCCAGAAGAAGAGCGAGCCCACTACCGGGAGGTGCTCACCGGCGGCCTCATCGGCGGTGGCCTCGGCCTCGGAGCCGGGTTGGTCGGTGTCATCGCTGCGTCGCGGCGGTATTCCGCCTTCCGATCGCTAACCGTCCCCTTCCGCGCTTTCCTCGTCACCTCGACCGGCACGTTCGGCGCCATCGTCAACGCCGAACGCTACTCGAACGAGTTCCACCGCGCCAACAACCCCATGAACTTCTACGTGGACGAGGCCCAGCGCGCCCAGGACCTGCTGCGCCAGCAGGAGACGGGCTGGGAGCGCTTCACCACCTGGGGCCGCCAGAACCGCTACTCCATCGTGTTCGCGTCCTGGGTCGCATCGATGGCCATCGCCCTCGGCCTCGTCGGCCGCAACCGGTACCTGAGCACGTCGCAGAAGCTCGTCCAGGCGCGTGTCTACGCCCAGGGCCTCACCCTCGCCGTCCTCGTCGCCAGTGCCGTCTTCGAGACCGCCGACGCCAAGAACGGCACCGGCCGCTGGGAGACCATCAAGGTCATCGACCCCAACGACCCGGAGCACAAGAACATCATCGAGAAGCGCGTCCACAAGGAAGAGTACGAGGGCCAGGACCTCTGGAAGGACATGGTCGCCGCCGAGGAGCGCCGGATAGCCGCCCGCAAGACCGGGGGTGCCACCGAGGCCGAAGCCGAGGACGCGCACTAGGAATGCGGCCACTGCTGCACGCCTAACGGGAGTAAGGATCCTGTCCGAGTAGAATAATTGGTATGGCCAACGCCACGGCGGTATGGCGTCCGGGAAGGGCTAGAACGGCGTAGCTGAGACACGAGTATCCACGTCGATCATAGATGGTCTTCACATATCCCTGTCCCACCACGCCTTTCTCGCGGTTTCGCCCGATGGCTGATGGTGACATTGATTGCCTGCATTAGCTTTGTTCCTTTAGTCGACGTCATGGAGGGGAGTTCCGGCTTGGTAGGGGGTTCCTTGTGGACTGTGGTGTTATCGAATCTTTGAATTTGATTTCCCATCTCGTTTCCTTCTCTTCCCTTCGTGTACAGGGACGTAAAAGCAGGCCGTTCTTCTTCCGCCCCAAAGCGCAGGGCGGCACGAGACTAGTTGGGTCAACAGCTCCCGTCTAACACGTCCGTCTATTCATTTTTGTATGAAAAAGGAAAGGATAAAGTGGCTTCTTGCGAGAACAGTTGCAGTAGGGATGGTCAAGGCGGCGGGCCGAGCGTGAGAGGAAACGGCAAGACAAAAGCGCAACTCGTGCTCTCAACCCACGTTCACATAGATACTATATAGTTAGCGGCTCACAGCTGGGCGATGGGTAGCCGGACGGAATGATGATAGATTACGGCTCATCCATAGTACTATTACAACACATGGGGACTAAGTGCAGCCGATGCCTCTACTGAGAGGAAACCGATCATGCAGGGGTGTGTCGATATATACGCGTACACCGACGTCCGACCCTTTCCTCCCTCTCACCCCTCTCTGGCAACCCCCTTTTGGAAAATCACCTCCGGTCGTCCCGCATCCCGCGCTGCTCCCAACCAAGAAAGAAGAAAAAAAACATATATCCCAGGCTAGAGTCCGCTCAACACATTATGACCAGCACGACGGGCCTGTCCCGACGCGCATTCTAGACGTAAATTACATATGCAGCCCTGAGCCGAACAGGATAGATGCGTAGGCGGATAGATAGATATCTTGGGTGAGTGTAGGCAGGAGGGGCAGGCATGTACGCAGTCGATCTGTCCCCGGGGCGGGCCCGGAGCAGAGCAGACGGGCCCAAAGACACTAATACTAAAGTAACGAGTTCCCCTGCTTCGTAGACCTGTCCCTCCACTATCGTGTGCGTATGCGTGTATGCGTATGTGCATGTGTATGTACTTATGCCGGCTCCGAACCGCAGCTGGCTTCACCAGATAACCAGACCGGGTGGGCGCAAGCCCCAAGAACCGCCTCGACAGCAACCGTCGGACGAGCGGGGGGGGGGGTCGCGCCGGGGGTCGGCGCCTAGACCTCGATGCTGAAGTGGCTGATCTGGGAGTAGTAGGCGTGGACGGCGAGCTCGAGGATCCAGACGTCGCCGAAGACCTCGCCGCCGTCGAAGCCGCCGACGACGACGACGCGGCTGTCGTGCAGCACGGCGCCGTGGTAGCCGCGGCCGCTCGGCGGCAGCCCGTAGACCCGGCGCCGGTCCCACGTCATGGTCACCAGGTTGAGCAGCAGCACGTCGTTCGAGTACTCGTTCCCGTCGTGGCCCCCGATCACGAACAGGTACGACCCCACCAGCGTCGACGTGTGCGACAGCCGCCGGAATGTCACCGGGATCGGCACCGCCCGCCACCCGTGGTGGCCCTCCACGTCGTACACCCACACGTCGTTGAAGCACTCGCCCCCGTCCGAGCCCCCGTAGATGATCAGCTTGCTGCCCACCATGTTCGCCGTGTGGTACCCCCGCGCCTTCGGCCGGCTCCCGTCCTTCGCCGCCGCCCCGTCTGCGCCCCCCGCCGACGGCCCCGACACCAGCTTCCAGCTCATCTTGTGCACGTCCGTCACGTCGAGCCGCCAGATGTCGTTGAGCGCGCGGACCCCGTCGCCCCCGCCGAACACGTAAATGCCGTTCTTGTAGAGGCACGCCGTGTGGGCGCGCCGGGGGCTCGGGACGGGCACTGGGCCAGCACTCGCTGCTGCTGCTTGTGCTGCTCCTCCTCGTCCCCCTCCGCCTGCTGCTCCTCCTCCTCCTCCTCCGCTGCCGCCGCCCGGCCCGGTCCCCGACGGCGGCGCGACGATCCGCGGCCGGTGCCAGCGGTAGTTGACGGTGTCGAGGACGTAGACGTCGTTGTAGTAGGCGGGGCCGTCGCCACCGCCGAAGACGACGAGCTTCTTGCCGACGGCCGTGCAGGTCATGGCGCGCAGCGGCGCCGGCGCGTCGCCGCGCACGGCCGGGCAGCTCCAGTGGAAGGCGTCGGCGTCGAGCACGTACAGCTCGTTGAAGCACGCGCGCGCGTCGCAGCCCCCGAACACGAACACGTTGCCGCCCACCAGCGTTGTCGTGTGCGCGCGCAGCGGCGTGTGCGCAGCCCCGGACGTCGCCGCCCGCGACCAGTACATCCCCGATGACGGCGCTGCCGGCACGTCCGCCGCCGTCCGCGGGTCCTGCAGCGCCGGGAACGGCACGTGTGGGCCCCGCGCCCGCGACGAACTCCCCGTCGTCGCCGCCGACGACGACGAGGCGCCCCCTGCCGCCTTGCTGTGCCGCAACGAGCTCCCTCCCGCCGTCGCTGTCATCGTCGTCGTCCGCCCCGCGATCGCCGATGCTGAGCGTATCGTGCCCGCCGCCCGCCGGCCCTCGGCCCCCGCGTCGGCCGAGGCTGCCGTCGAGATCGAGGTCGTGGATCCGGCCGGCGGATCGTACGCGGCGCCCGTGCCCCCGCCATTATTGGTATGGTTGCTGTAGCTGCCGTTGGGGTCGCCGTGGCGCCGCAGGGTCAGAGTCGGGATGGGGATCGGGTTGGGCGGCGCGGGCGGCGGCGGCGTGGACGAGTGTTGGGGGCCGCTCGCGGAGGACGAGTAGGCGCTGCCTGACTTGGCGGCGGCCGACTGCGACCGCGTGCGGATCGACGGTTCCGAGTTCTTACGGCGGCTCGACGACGAGGCGCCCTGGCTCTTCGACGCTAGGTGTCCCGGCGTGTGGCTCCGGATGGGGGCGGTCGGCGCCCGTGGCTCTGCGGCCTCGCTGCGCTGCTCTGCGGCGCCATCGGCCGTCGGGGAGGTGATCTTTTGGGAGCGGATGACCCTCGACTTGCTGCCGGCCCCGGCGGGCGATCGTGGAGTGTCGGGCATGGTTTCTGGTGTTTCTCTCTTTTTCCTTCGTCTTCTTCGTTGTTCGTTGGTTAGCGGGGGGAGGTCCCTGGTTTGAAAGGCATCGCCTAGAGAAGTAGCGCTCTCTCGCTTCGAGTCCGGAGCGTTCGCGTGTGCGTTATGCGTTAGGTACGTGCTGATAATATGTGTGCTATTATAGCCTTGACAGTCGTAGTCGTCGTCGTGTTCGGTTACGGCGGAGGCGACGGCAACAACGTTCCCGGGCGAAGATTACAGGGGAATGCCGCGTAGCAAGTAACCTGTTGAAAGTAGTATGCGTGGTCTGTCCGCCTTGTCTGCCTCTCCGTCTGTTTGTAACTGCCCGCACGGGTCAATTGCCCGAAACCCAACCGCGGCCCAGCCAATCCCGGCATGCGAGAAGGGTTTTTTTTTTTTCGTCTGATGAATCGCGTAGGAAGGGGAGGAGGGGCGAGCGTGAGGAGGGGAATAGACACGGAGAGACTTGGAACGGTATTAGGACATGGGTGAGACGGCGAAGGGAGAAACTATGGGTAGCTTACACACTCTGGAGGGTGTAGCGGCGGCGATGGCTGCGGCGGCGTCTACAGTAAAGCGGCGGGGGTAACGATAAATACTGCGTATGCGTATGTATGTACCCAGTGTGCTCGGGCGTGTCTGTGTGGAAGCGTGGAAGTGTGGGTGTGTATGTATGCGAGGGGAGAAGGTTGAAAGAGAAGGGATGGAGATACACAGACAGGACCAGACGGAGCGAGAAGAGGGCAGGTAAAGGTTGCTGATGATGGTAATGACGACGGCCTGCAGCCAAGGGCAGTCAATAAATAAAACAAAAATAGACGAGGGACAAGCTCGGTAGTGTCGGTACGGAAAGGATAGAGGGAGCGAGGGAGCGAGGGAGTTGTGTGGGAGAAAGGGCAGCGTGACGAGACAGTGGTAGGGCAGTGTAGCAGCACTACGGGTAGAGTGTGGTGGTAGACGACAATATTAAAATGATGGTCTATCGCCATACTAGGTCAAGGGTTGAAGTGATTGACAGGCTTAGACGGTCTTGAAGACACCCGGGACAGGCCTGGCACAGGCTGGACCGGCGTGACAGGCCACACGAGCATCCCTCGCTTCTCTGCCAACCCCTGCATGAAATTGGGGCTTGTTCTAGAAGGGAAGAGGTGAAGCAGGGCGACGAGCCTGTCAAGTCGGAGACTTTGCGAGTGGGGGGCCCTCTCCTCTCTCCCTCCCTCCCCCCCCGCTTCGAACCCCTGGTCGATAGGGCCGCCTTGGGGGAGCTATATCGGCCACATCCCCGGCCTATAGCAGCCGGTATTGGTTTGATGTGTAAGTGTGCGTTGGGTTGGGTACGATAGCATCATCCCAGGTACAACAACTACATGCAGAATGTAACCTATCAGTCTGTCGACGAATCACATACCTACGCATGTGTCTATATGGTGTGGTATATATGAGATGGCATGGCATGGTATGGCATGCCATGTACTCGTAGGTAGACAGGTAGGTAGACAGGCGGCCAGGTAGCCGGCCTGGCAAGCAAGTAGGGGGTCGTTAGTCAGTCCGTCGTCTATCACCGTACCGAGTAGAGCAACCAGCAGGTCGCTTAGGCAGGAGGAGGTGGCATGCTATCGATCCATCATCACATACCTATATACACATACGTACATAGGTATACGTACTCGGATTGGCTCGATGTAGGCGTGTGTAGGCATACTTACAGGTATATATTACATATCTGTATGCAGGCATGGCGTTCCCGAGGGTGATCTGACAGCCTGGCTGCCCAGGGATGGATGTAAACAGGTCTTTGCCGGTATGGAGAATGGGGGTAGGTGTGTATGCAGGCTCGACGATCGTAACCGGCAATAAGCAGCAGCGAGGGCCTCGATATAGGCAGGTGATGTGTGTCGGTCTGTAGCTATTCCCTACCATTGTCGTCCACCCACACCCACACCCAAACGGCCCTTATACGGTGAACGGCACCAGGGGGGAGGGGTTAATAGATACACATATATGCATGTCGATGTGTCTCTTATGTGTGTGTGGGTGTCTTGGCAATGTGTGCAATGGATGTAGGTATATCGAGGACACGCCAGGCATACATAGATATCGATATATTCTTCTTATGCCGGCGTCCTGCGGAGTCTGCTAGAGATAGTAATAGAGAATCGGAAGAAGGCACTCGGTGTCAAGATGACGCGTAAGAAAATTGATCTTTGGGCTTACGAGATGCACTCGATGAGGATGGAGATCTTCGTCGGCACATGTGTATACCTATATTTCGTGACAACGGCATAACTCTCAGGCCAGCTTCAGCCTGTCTTGCGGGCACTAGCAAGGCGGGTTCTGAGAGCCGAGAAAGAGGCTCGACCTCTTCCCTCTTATGCCGTGCCACAGGGCCGCATGGCATGTTGGAAATGACGAGCGTGATACATTGCGTTCTCGTCACCTGATATCATCGGGGTTAGATCCTACTGGCGATGTTCGGTGCGAGTATGAGTATGGGTTGCAGGCAGGTAGTGGTGCGAATTGGCTAGGGAACCGGCGACATCCTGTGGCGACGCGTAGGACTTCCGAGGACGAATCGACGACGACATACACCCTATCTATCTACTACTGCGACTCAACGGCGGGATCCATCCGGCGACGCTAGAAAACACGATGAGCCCTGTTAGATTGGCAGCTGGATTCCACAAATCTGCCCGTCCGGGGTTAGGTGGTTAAGTAGCGGTCTTTTGCCCGTCCACTTTCTCCAAGGCAACGAGGATCTCCCGAGAGGATCGCAGGTAACGAGAATAAAGCTTGCTAGAGGACTTTCCGGACCCGTACAGGTTTTGCTAGGTGCTAAGGGGTAGAGCCGCGAGAAGTGATGATGGGTGGCCGGGACCGGCGATGTACTACATAGGTACCTGGTAGGGATGGTGTTTTAGGCAAATTCTGCCGGCGAGAGATCAATATAGACGAGAATATTGCCGAGTCGAGGTATATATGACGAGACGCGACATGTTATAGGATATAGAACACCGAACATATGGAAGCGGTGAGGTTGGAGGAGTAGGACGGACAGCAGAGGGAAGATTGTACGGCGTGGGTTGACGATGGAAAGGAAGGCCGGGGGATGGAATTAAAACCACAACAAATCCAAGATACGATGCAGGTTAGAAAATAACCTTACCGATAACCGCAAAACCTTAATACGCTAATACCGAAGGTTGTATTACCTAATACGTATGGGTGGGTGGTGATGACATGGAGAGGCAGTTCTAAGCGGAGGTGGGAATCTCTACGAGGAGAAGCGAGTAGGATGTACCTAAGTACCTACGTAGGTACCTATACCTTTAGGAAGTGGTAGAGTCGCCCCGCCTGTAGTATGTAGAGGTACCTACGAAAAGAAGAAGAGAAAAAAAGAGAACCAAATACAAATAAAAACATCCATCTCTAAAATAATCGCCAAAAGAAAAACCAGAGAGGAAAAGAGCTTAAAAAAAAATTCCCTTCAGAATCGGTAGAATTCCTGCCTCCATCTCGTTCATCCCTCTCCTAGAGACAACGCCTGCGGAAATGGCAGAGGGGGATGCCGTCACCGAGAGCCAGCCTGCGGGCAGTCTGGCCGACGCGAGGAACTCGCTAAAACATCCTGGTGGTGAGGGAGGTCCGTCAGATACTGGTGAGGTCGGTGGTCCCGCAACTAAGAGACAGAAGCTCGACCACGACAAGACCGAGACTGATCAAGAGCACCGACAATCGTCACCGAAAGAGAGAGTCGACGGTGTTGCGCCAGTGAAGGCCGAGTAAGATGACCTAGAGTAGCCCCCCCTGATTAGCGCCTCCCTAAACTGACGGCAACGGACTAGATACCTCATCAGCAACGGCGATGATGGCGAAGCCCCGAGGAATGAGGTTGACAACGGTGCGATGGTAGCTTCCGTCGCGACGGGTGAGCCTGCCGGTGATAGTCGAGCCTCTCCCGTCGGCTCCAATAAGAAATGGAAGAACCGAAAGAAGGAGAACGGTCAGAACCAGAACCGCTCCTACGGCCACTTCGAGGATAAACTGCGCCTGTGCACCAGTGTTACCTACAGCAACGAGTTTTCGCCCAAGCCGTGCAAATTTGGCGAGAGGTGCAAACTATGCCACGACTTGCGCAAGTATCTCCGGGAGGGCAGACGTGACGACCTAGACACCCTCGGCGGCAAATGCCCCATCTTTGAGAAGTATGGCCGGTGCGTTTCCGGGTGGAAGTGCCGCTTTGTCAAGAGCCATTCTAAGGAGGTCGAGCGGGGCGACGGGCGGAAAGAACTCATCCTCCTTCAGGCTCCCGACGTGCCAGCGTCCACTGAGGACCCGGACCAACGGCCAGGAATTGTCAACGTCGCAACTTCCGATAACAAGTGGGATCTAGCAAGAAGAAAGGTCCCCTTCGAGAAATCCGAGCTCTACATCAAGTGGTTAGAGAAGGAGACCGAGCTGACGGGGAAACTATGCAACCGGAAGAAGAAGGGAGAAGAGGAGCTAGAGGATGCCGACGTCGAAGAGCTGAGAGCGCAGTTTGTAGACCCACCGCTGAAGCCATCAGAGAAGAGGAAGATTTACTTCGGGAGGGAGACGCCGGTCCTGGCACCTTTGACAACCCAGGGCAACCTGCCCTTCCGACGGCTGTGCGTTGAGCTGGGGGCCCAGGTTACGTACTCGGAAATGGCCATGGGTATGCCTCTAGTACAGGGGCAGAAGGGCGAATGGGCACTTATGAAGGCGCACGAGTCGGAACTTGCCCCCCCTCGATACAGCCCTGGCAAGGACGCGGTTGTCAAAGGGTACGACAACGCAAGAGATCTCAAGTTCGGCGCCCAGATCTCGGGCAATCAGCCGTGGGTGGTGATGAAGGCGACGGAGGCTCTGACCCGCTTCGTTCCCCACCTGCGAGTCGTAGATCTCAACTGCGGGTGTCCCATCGACCTGGTTTACAAGACGGGGGCCGGGTCTGGTCTTCTTGACACGCCTAGCAAGCTGGAGAAGATGGTGCGGGGCATGAATGTCGTTTCCGGAGAGGTCCCCATCACGGCGAAACTGCGAATCGGCGTCCGAGACGAGAAGCAGACGGCTAGTAGGCTCATCGAGAGACTCGCCTTGGGCGGCCGCGACACCCGAGACAGGCTCGGTGCCCCGGGATGCGCAGCGATTACACTGCACGGGCGGAGCAGGCAACAGCGATACACCAAGAAGGCTAACTGGTCGTATATCGCCGAATGTGCCGCGCTCATCAAGTCGTACAAGAACATGGCGGACGAGCTGACGGATACGGCCCGAGGGCCGGACGAGAGCACGCAGGCGAACACAGCCGACGGGAAGGTGTACTTCATCGGCAACGGCGACTGCTACTCGCACGTGGACTACCTGGACCACGTCGACAACTCCGGGGTCGACACCGTGATGATCGCGCGGGGCGCGATGGTCAAGCCTTGGATCTTCGAGGAGATCGAGAAGGGGCAATACCTGGACAAGTCGGCATCCGAGCGGCTGGGCTACATCGAGAAGTTTGTGCGCTACGGCCTCGAGGCCTGGGGCACGGACGAGCTGGGCCTGGGCTTCACGAGGCGCTTCCTGCTCGAGTGGCTAAGCTTCACCCATCGCTACGTGCCGCTCGGCATCCTGGAGCACCTGCCCCCGAGCCTCAACGACCGTCCGCCCCGGTACCGGGGACGGAACGACCTCGAGACTCTTCTTGCCAGCGATCACTACAAAGACTGGATCAAGATTAGGTATGCAACATCTTCTCCGCCTCACCCCTCATATCCCTTCCGGCACAAACGAGCTAATACGGGGGGCTAGCGAGATGTTTCTAGGCCCTACTCACCCGGGGTTCCAGTTTCAGCCTAAGCACAAGTCCAACGGCTACGAGATCGACGCCGAGGGATAGGTAATAGAAACGTACGTCGGCGTCGTCCCTTTAACTTACCTCTGGACCAGAAGGTCCCCTCGCACACGATACACATAGTCCTTCAAGGGATTTCTGGGGTTTATGGCACAGGTAGGTATGCATTGTGCATGGCATGCATGTAGGGAGGTATATCAGAAGCTCGATAGGCCGGGTAGCTAGTCAGCACAGGACACGTAGATGCCAGAAGAGACAGGAATGCATGAAAGGCAACATGGCCAACCTGCATGGGTTCAAGAGCGCCCTCTTTTACGTGACGCGTCCACCCTATTTACTACGGAGTACTTCCTACGCGTATGTAAGTACCTATATATACCTACCAATTCAGACCCGTCGGTGGCGCAGGCGTGTATGAGTGCATACGCGGCCGGTGGCTTCGCCCCGAGGGTTACCAGGAGGTTACGGGCCAGATCCCATTCTGGGGCTGGTTAAATGTGGCGCGGGACAGCGCGGTAGGGTATGTGGTAAGGTATGAAATGCTAGGCAGAAACGTCCAGGTTGAATTTCAAGGGCGGTAGCGCAGGGAGAGGGACGGAGGAGGAAGAGATACCTAGAGAGAGAATGGAGAAGCCGGAGAGGATCTCGCTCTAGACCGAGGCTGGTGAGGGGTGGATGGTGTTGAGGTTGATGGCTTGATATACATAGATGATGATGGCTTCAACTGGATGTATCTTGAGGTTGTCGTGTCTATTCTTTCTTATACCTACCTAGGTACTTGGGTACATACCTATATAGGTATGTGCGTAGGAGCTGGGTGATTGGAAGAGGTACCTAAGTAATATGGCTAAGAGGTTCTAGATACCTACAAGTGCATAAACTTGTGAAGGTGGCAACAGCATGGGTAGGTAGGTACCTAATGTAGGTACCTAAGGTAAGCACATACACCACCTTTCCAGGGTATGCCCATGTACCTAGGTAAGTACCTACCTACGTAAGCAACGCAGGTTTATGCACCTAAGTAGCTCATGTTTATGCACGTATCCAGAGGGCTGACGTAGTTGATTTCCATCGCATCCACCCTCTGCAGCTCTTGCCCCGCCATCCAGGTGTGGCCAACTGTACTTCCCATAACAACAGCACGGCGGGGCCACCTCGCCTTTCCCCCTTTTTTATTGATTTATGCTGATCCAGGTAAAGCCCGTCATTGCCGTTACCTTCACTACTCCATCCCACCTTTGTCGCCTCCCCCCAGCAGAGAAGAATCGCCCTCTCCCGTCTCTCCCTCTCATCAACGCCAATATACCAAAATCCTCTTCGTCCTCTTCCGTGACAGAGTCTACCAGACTATACCACAGTTTCTCTCCCAGGCGTCTCGTCGCCATTGACACGCCAAGATGACGCTCTACTACACGCTGGTATGTTTATACCCCTCCATCATAGCAACAGCAGCAGCAGCAGCAACAACAACAGCAACAACAACATCCAAGCCATCTGCGTCGGCAAAGCTGGACCGGGCCCTTCCCCCGCCAGCATGGTGATAGTCAAGATTGAGGTCGCTGATGTAGAGGCGGCCACTATCTCTGCCCTGGAGCTAATGTTTGGTGCCCAGGTCTTCGTGCTCCTCGTAGCCGAGATGTCGCTCTTCATGCTCCTCATCGTCCCCATGCCCTTTACTGTCCGCAGGAAGATGTTTACGTACGTCAATTCTCCTACCCGACGAGGCTTCGAGCTTCTGCTAACAGCTCCTCTCCGCCATGGCAGCTTCCTGTCCGAGAACACCATTGTTGCCAAGCTACAGTACTGGTTGAAGATCACCTTCGTCTTCATCCTCATACTCTTCCTCGACAGCGTCAACCGAGTCTACCGTGTACAGCTCGAGCTAGCCGCCGCTAGTGAGGCAAGTAAGGGTGCTGCGTAGGTTCCCCGCTCTTCTCCTCTCCCAATTATTTCCCCGACGTCGAAATCCCGAATTCCTGGCGGCTGCAAGAGAGGGGGGCAAACGTAATGCATAGATCTAGCTGACGTGACATAGAGCGGTCATGGGCCACGAGCGTCTCGAAGTGCAGGCCCGCAAATTCTATAGCCAACGCAACATGTACCTGTGCGGGTTCACGCTGTTCCTGTCGCTGATCCTTAACCGCACCTACATCATGATCCTCGAAGTGCTGCGGCTGGAGGAGAAGGTTAAGCAGTACGAGGGCACCGACCGCAAGACCAAAGAGAGCGAGAAGCTGGCCGTCGCGGGCAAGCCCGGCGAGATCGCCCGCCTCCAGGCCGAGATCGACAAGCGCGACCGCAACATCGAGACCCTTAAGAAGCAGGCCGAAGGCCTCTCCCGCGAATACAACAATCTCTGCGAGAAGTACGGCGAGACCCTACCCCCCGCCGGCACGCGCAAGGACAAATAAAAGTATACGAGGCCTACCACTACCTCGATCTCCTCCCACCCCGCTCAACGAGTACTTATCCTGCAAGGCATAGGGTATTATTTATTTTACTTTCTCCACCGTGGTCAACGAGGATAGGTTAGGGGTATGAGAAAAAAAGGATTTCGGAATTTTCGTCAGTGGCGTCGTCTAGGAGAAGGGGGCCCTCGGGCTTCTCCAAACTCCGAGGGCATGTGGTACTGATATGGGAATAAGTCTGAAATAGATGGAGAAGGGAGAGGACAGGGATATTTCTTGTGACTCGGGACGGGCGAATTGACCCCATCGCGGCATCCAATATGAGACTCAAGACGTGGTGTAAGCGTGATTTTACACGGAATCTGATGGCCCCCTCCCTCCCTGCCTGTGGCATCGCGGGATCCCACTCCGTTGTGTGTAGGTATGCTATGCTATAGAGGGTGAACATGCAAAAGTGTGCTTATACACAATCCTCACCCCTTTTTTTTTCTTTCCTCCTTACGTCTGTCCCGCTCTGTCTACTTGGCAGTGCACCACCGCTCTCATCGATAATCAGCTCTGTCTGCCCGCCCGTATTAACCCCCTCCCGGAAAGACAGGCGCCTGCTCCTGATGCAAAAAGATAAACCAGACAAATGAACTATCTTTCTCTAGCCGTGGAGTAGATTAGCATTATTATATACGTGTGTTCCTATGCCTAGTCCCACCGGCTATAAAAACCCTTTGATGTATCCTGAACCCGGCGCCCCCGACCTGCGGTTATGCCGTGTCGTAAAGAAAAGCATACATAGCCTGCTCGCGCCCAGACGTCCCGAAAATCCCTGTACCTGCGTAGGCAGATAGTCGTTACAAACCCAGAACCCCCAACCTCCTGAGCGTGTTGGCGGCACACCGGTCGACTATTAAGTGCGCTTCCCGCCCTTTCTTCGGTACATCGTGTCGAACCGGTCCGGGAACAGGATCCCGTTCGCCTGCCGCAGGAGCTCGCGCTCGGCGCGGCTCCCCGTCCTCCGCCGCCGCCGCCTCTTCTTATCCCCCGCCGCCGCGCCGTCGCAGTCCATCTTCCTGTTCTTCTTGCCGCAAGCGTTACCTCTATCCGTTTCCTCTTCCTCGTCGGCGTCGTTGTCGTGGTGGTAGCCCTGCCCATCCCACGGCGATAGGCCCATGCTCCGTAGGCCCTCCTCACCCCCCGCGTCGCTCACGTCCTGCACCCCGGCGCGCCCCAGGTACGTCTGCTCACCCCTCAGACCACCTCCGGACCCGCCGCCGCTTATCCTACTGCTGCCGCTGCTACTGCTGCCACGGCTGTGGCTGCTTCCACTAGCACCACTGTAGTAGCTCTCGTGATCTGGGGCAGGACGACCGAGAAGAAAGGCTCGACGCTGGCGCGCGAGGTATAACGCATTGGGCAGGGTGAGTGGACAGGCGGGGACGTAGAGCGCCTCTGAGGCGATTCCGGGGCCTCGGTGCGGCCCAGACGTGGGCGCCCCCGCGACGTATGCCAGGTCCGGGTGCCAGACGACATAGTCACCAGGCTCGACGACTGGGATGGGTACAAGGGTGTGCGCCAGACGTAGGTGCGGGTGCAACGTGTCGCTGACGAGCTGCGACCCGCAGCCTGGGACGGCGCCGTGGATCACGCTGTCCGGCGGGTCACGGAGACGCCAATTTCCCCCGTGCAGCAGGGGATCATCGCCGTTCCCGTCGTTCGCGGCATCTAGAAAATTATGAGTTAAGGGAGACGGGGGCGAGAAGTAGAAGAAAGGCCGTAGGAGGATGTACGCAGTCGCTAGCCGGAGCATGGGACAAACGCGCAGGAAAGGGGCTTCGGTGCTAGACCAAGAGGATGGGGAAGATGATGATGATAGTGATATAAGACCTTGAAACATGCGGAACATGCTACAAGAGTTGGCACCGTTATACAAGTCTGAGGTAGCGTTGAGCCGGGCGGCCGCGTTCCAGGGGTCGTAGGCTTCCCAGGCGCCCTCAAAGATGCGAGCGTAGGTGCCCGCGCGCCCATACCCGTCCGGCTCCCACCTCTCGACGCTGCCGCCGTCTATATGTGGATATCCCACGCTCGAATTTGAGGTTGGGGCGGGGATATCTTCTGGCCGTCGAATGTGGATCCGGTCAGCGTAGGAGACGGGGTGGTCGCCACTCACGAGGATGTCGTCTTCCTCGCCATCGTCGACGTCGATATCAGCCTCACCAGTGCAGCCCCAGTCGCCGTCTCTGTCTTCAGGAGAGCACCGCCAAGTGGCGCGCATGAGGAAGCGTTGGGCCTCGAGGACGCGCGAGTCGGCGCGGGCCTTGACCTGGCCGGGACTCCAGAATACCTCGAGCAGGTGGGGGTCGTTGGTGCCCGCGGCGACGGCGTCCCGCGCGGATACCTCGTTATGGCGGAGATATTCGGCGGTCTCGTCGCGCCAGGCGAGGGCGACATTGGGTGGCACGACGCCGCGGATGATGGCGACGCCGCGTTCGCGTAGGGCGGTGGCGAAGGCGGCAGCCTTGGCCGGGTTGTGGATGTCGAGGGAATCGATCTCGGGTATGATCTGGGACCCAGCGGACACACTGGCCGCGACGCGGTCCGACTCCTCTCGCAGCGCCGCCAGGAGCCGTGAGAAGGACGAGGTGATGGCTGCCTCGCGCCCGGCGATTAAGGAGGCCTTGACCCTAGCGAAGCGCGGGGGCAGAGGGAGTGGAGTGGAAGTAGGGGATGAGGACGAGGATGGTGTAGAGTGGGGGAACTCGACGGCCATTGCAGTTATTATCTAGCTATGCCGAGAGCGTGGAGGTTGGTGAAGAGAAGAAGGAGGGAGGTCTAGGATATAACTTGCTCTGGTTCTCTGGATGGATAGACATGTAGGTAGGTATATATTCCAGATAGGACATTCTCAGGGGGGGGGATCCTGCTTTTCGAATACTCAGCTTCCTCGCCAATTTGCCTGTCCCTTTCCCATTCGTCCCGTCAGATATCACATAGACGAGCGGGTGGATAGGTTGGGTAGTGCACGAGCAGAGACGGCCGATCTACGGGAATCATTCTCGCCGCGTGCAGAGGGAGATGCCAACGGCATGATATCCGTCTACTGCTGTCCTACGTCCTACGCGCAGGTATCGCCGGATGGTGGTGTAAGTGGGAGAGTCCGTGGGGGGCATACGAGAAGGACATCGGTGGTGGGGGGAGGGGAGAAGGGGGGGAGGAGGATAGACAGAGGCCTTGCCGTATCCAGCCCAGGACGGATTGGATGCCAGAGCTAGCGAGGATGAGGACTAAAGCGACGCTGTCTTCTGGACGTTGGGACCCGGAACATGCAGCAGGCGATGCCGGAGATTGACGAAGCGAGGGTGCCACGGCCGCGGTCTAGAAGGGAGGCGTCGTCGCATTGCATGGCGTCGCGCTGCGTCGCCCGTCCTCGCTCATTCGACGTGGCCCGTTGGAGGCTAAGGGTAGCATCTGGATCGAAGACCCGGTTGTTTTAATATTCGGCAACGGACTCCGAAGCAGAGATCTCTTGGCAGGCTCTCGGTCCCTGAATCCCGGTCGCACGCGATCCTACGGGCTCTCTAGGGCTAAATGGAAAAAGATGATGAGGAGGAGAGGACCCGGTATAGGTGGGCGAATACCTCCTGCGCGGTGGCATTCTTTTACGCGAGCTACCTACTAGGATATAGTAGGTACCTAGGTAGGTACTAATACGGGTACATAGCCTCCTGGCAACTTCCTCCACCAAATGCATTGGTTTGATGGCTATATCGGGTGAGTAACCGACGATGACATGCGCCTGTCTGGGAACATGGGCGATCGTCAACCTGTTAGGAACCTCTTAACACCCAACGAAATGTACCTAAGGTATATGGTATCTAGGAGGTACCCAGGTGTTACCTCTTGCTGGTCCTCTAAACGGAGCTTTTTCCTTACTGTAGGTACCTAACCTACCGTAAGCTACGACTCACGAGAGCAGGCTACCGGTACATACCGAACCCAAGAAAGGTGCCGAACCTCATAAGGGTAGGGTACCTGGTATATACCTACCTCCTACGTATTGTACCAGGTACCTACCTAAGATAACGGACTTCGGCGAGAGACGTAGGTACCTAAGGTACCTAATCTGACCTTCTTGCGGCAGTTCGCCCTCAAATGAGCTCACCGATCCACCACCGCTTGCCCTTAGGGTAGGTTCTATAGTGATGGTTCCGGTTTCTACACGTACCTACAGGCATCATGACACTTGATTATGTGACAAGGCACGTGCCTGGCGTATCACGTACCTAGGTAACCTCACCTACAATTCGATACCTATCTTCCTGAGGTCCTCAGTAGGCGTATCCGACCACCAACCGTGACAATCCTCCCCGCAACTCAGTCGCAAAGAACGCTATCTAAGCCTTAGGTACACCGCACTGCTAAATAGGAAGCATAGGCGTCTACGTCTTTCCTGACAACCGCCCTAATCGTCCTAGAGGTATTCGGGTGGACGTTGGAGCTAGCTGGGAACTGGCGTTTACCGCGTTTTGCCTCTTCATCCCCTCGCGATGAGTTGAAACCACCTGTGTCGGCCCACAGGTTACCTACTCCTTGTCTCGTCCGCTGCTGCCCGGCACCTCGTCCCTTATTCCATAGGTATCGACTAGGGTAAGGGCCCCGACAATGACCGTTTGACGATAGGGCGGGCTCTCGCTGCCATATGGGAGCCGCTGGCCTGGTCCAGCAGGAGATTGGCCTCGCGAGCGTGCTGCCGTTCCTGTCGAGATGGGCTAACTAGTGGGGGAAACCAGTCCCGGCCCAGGTATGCGTGCGCCTCAGACGGCCGGAGAACTTCTTCGTTGGTCGGGTCTCGACGGTCTCTCTTCCTTTCGACTAGGCGCATTATGCTAGCATGGGATCACGGGAAGCGCCATATCAAAACAGCCGAGAGGCTTTGAAATTCGCTTATCAAGCAGGACAACCATCATGCCGTGTCGGAGCACCGTAATTACGAGGGGAGCGCGATGTAGGATGACGCCGTATACTCGGGGAAGAAGCCTACCTAGGTTCTTGCTGTTCCACGACCGTCGCCGTCCGATGATGTTATTCTGTGCCTGGCCTAGGTAATTTGCCAGCACGAAAACCTCACCCGAGTACTTTTTTATTTATTTAGCGACAATGGGAATCCTAGGAGGGGACATTTATGCGGTGCCCTCTCGTCACAGTAGGCCTTCGCAGATTCATGTCCTCCTGTCGAACTGCCCCCGAGCGGCAAGAGAACCTTGCCATGCAGCGTCGCAACCCTGCCTGTGTTGAGATAACAGATGCGTGTTGACCACGTGTGGATGACTTCCTAGTGTCCAGGACAGGCGGAGAAGCGCCGGTACCAACGGACTACCTACATGCTCTGTGTGCGCTTGCGATAGTAGTTGTAGCTAATCGAGGCTGATGCGATGCTAAGCTGATTTATGACAAGGCCATGTTTCGGCCGGGACTGCGACGGGGCGGATAGATAACTTGCGGATGTGGTGTTCAAGAAGGGGGTGAAGGGACTGTCGCGAGGGAGGTATAAGCACTAGCGCCGAGAAAGAGAGAGAGGCCTAGTGATCCTCTCACAAGCAGAGAATACACAGAGCTTCGGATGGGTTAGGTAGGTAACCACTCATCTCATGTCGATAGTCGATGAGCCCTACCTACCTTGTACCTATGTTGTCATTGCCCGTGAATTATCTGGCTTTTTTATTACCTATTACCTATTCCACTATGGCACTGCACGTAGATACCTACATTGCGCTATAATGGCCCTGGGGAACATGTGATAGACGCTAAACTACTAGGAGGTAGTCAGGCTACCTGGGCTTGCTACAGCACGTCGAAGGATTTCCCGCCAGGGCAGACGCATATGCGCCGGCAATTTCACAAGCCTAGATCCGCCGGATATAGATATAGGTGCCTAGATATTGCACCTCTGTGCACCTTAGGTAGCTACCTACCTGGCTGATATGCCCTAATTTTCCCTAGTTAGCACCCCCGTACCTGAGGAAATGCACCTAACCTGCCTCTGTCCAGGTACTCTTCCGGCACCTACCTAGGTACCTCCCTAGCCTGAGGCGTCCAAGATAACCCCGCCAGGCAGGGAGTCTTAGTCCTACGCACCGCGCTGCCGGGGATAGGTCTGTCTGTGATAGTCTGCACAGTCCTCTCCCACTCCTTCTCTCCTACCTACCCAGACCTACATATGCCCTCCTCCGGCGCCGATATGATATATCGCATCTGCGACCCCCCAAGCCCCTCTCTCTCCGGCGCTGCTGCACAGAGCGTTGCGACCCAGATAGCCATGTCGCATCCCGCGCCACGGTGCGGCTCCGCTTGCCGACCGCGGAAGGGGGAGGGGTAGGTCTTTTTTTTTTCTTTCCCTCGCTGGCCTTTTAGGCTCCCGCGGGCCGCTGGCCCGACGCCCACGCACGGCCAGCGCCCCCACGGCCAGCGTCCGCGCTCGTGGAGTTTTTTTTTTTTTGTCTTCTTCTTCGCTCTCCCTCCTTTCTCGCCGTGATTCACCCGCCCCCCGTCGCCTGTGTTTGGTGCGCGTAGGAGTGAGGAAGGGGGGAGGAGGGGATTGCATGTGCGTATGCGCGCGCGCTGTGCCCTACCCACCTAGGTAGGTAGGTAAGTAGAGGTAGATGCGCAGGGTAGCTGGATAAGTAGGTAGGGGGGGAGAGGGGCGCGTCGGTAGGAGGCGACGGCGCCGCGTCGTGGAGGGCCGGCCGCCTGGGACTTACCGACGTCGCATCGCGTAGCGAAGTGCGAGGGTGTCTTGCGCGCGGGTGGTCATGAATCGATGTAAGTCTACGGGTCGTTGGACAGGTAGGCAGCTAGGCGGGCAGACCGACTGATAGGCTAGATAGGTCTGGTAGGTAGACTAGATAGACTACGTGCGGTGGGAGCTGAGGCGGCGATGGAGAGCAGGCAGCTAGCGCCCTTAGGAATCTACGTAGCGGCCTCGCTGGCGCGTGGGACGTGGGAGTGGACGCTCGGTGGGGGGGTCGCGAGCTATCAGTTGTGGGTTGTGTGTGGACGTGAGCGTGGATGTCGATGTGGGACCCTTCCCGTCTCAGGAGGTAGGGAGCTAGCTAGACAGACAGGCGGACAGACAGATAGGCAGGTGGAGAAGCCAGACACCCTGAGGGGGAACGATATAGGTAGGGCGAGATATATGAGATGGAGCCCATCTGCATACACGTGGTGGTCGTCGTTGGCATCGATGGGCTGATGGGTAGATTGGTCGTTTAACCAATATCCATGGGAAAGGGTGGGGGGTGTACATGGCGACGGAGGCCGACTCCCTCCTTTCTCCCCTGTTCCGGACCATCCGTTCATCGCCTACCCATCTGCGTCACCTCGACTTGCTAAGTCTGCTCTCTCTTCAACCGCCGTGGTGTGCTCCTCCGGACTATCATCCGTCTCCGCAGGGCTCTCCCCATCTCTGGCCCTCCTCTCCTTCTTCACCCTATCCCCTCTTCCCTCCCCCCCAATCTCCTTCATCTGCCCCGTACTTAGCTCGAACCCCCGGTGATCACGTACGCGACCTCCTCGACGCCGGTGGCTGTGATGGAGAGTTGCGCAGCGTTTAGACGCCTGTACCCTTCCGCGTTGAACTCGATGTGCACGCACCGGCCGTTCAGGCACGGCCACCCATACGCCGCGTTTGAGAAGAAGACTCTCCAGGTCGTGCACTGAGAACGCTACCGACCCCAACGAGCAGCCCTATGCCGTTCAGCCCCACGTGCAGCGTTACGACCGCCCACAGGGCCTCCGCCCTCCCGCGGGCCTAGCACTGTACCACGGCCCTCTGGACCAAGTACCTCGTATGGAACGGCCTGTTCGACGAGACCTGACCTAGGAGTAACGGCGACAGGTATTTCTCGCGGAGCCTGCGTCCGGCGGGAGGCTCAGGGGAACGCGTGTCGAGTGCTCTGAACTTGGGCACCTCGGGGAGGCAGAGGTGCTTGTGAAGTCATCACACCATCCAGCCGAGCAGAAGGACCAGCTCACTAAGGCCTATGGTGTTGGTGGCCGTCGAGCATTCTGGCCTAAACAGACCGACGACGTCTTGAGGCTGGTAGCGCTCTAGCTCGACGAGGGTCTTCTTGCCCGGCGCGAGATCGGCTGGCAGCCTCGGCGATTAGCTGCTGGTACAGGACCCGGTCGATATTTTCGTGACTGGTTCTCGCCGTGACGCGTCCGCTGTCTCGAGGTGGGCTCGATGAGGGGGTCGTAGGGCCCGAGCATGCATAGGGACGGTGAACATGCCGGCATGTTGTTCGGACCTGTAGATAGTGCTCTATCTTGTAGGTGGGGGTGTAAAGGCCGACAGGAGATTCGCCCGTTCTCCGTCGCCGCCCCCGACGTAATTCCATGTGAATTTGGGAGGATCCCGGATCCATGGTGCGAGGATTCTAAAGTACAGAGGACCAATGGCTTGTATGCTGTGGCTTCTACGTATGCATATAGGGGACAATGGCCCAGGCACGTATGCGCTTAACGCGGGAACCTTGCAGCGCCTCGTAGCGGCCCCCAAGAATTATTCCCAGGTCCCCTCAGTCGACCCTTGTCCGTCCCTCTTTTTTTCTATTCTTTTCTATTCCTCGACAAGGCTAAGCAACCTTCCCTCCGACTTTTCTAACCGCCATCCCGACGACAAGCATCTCAGAGCTGCCAGCACCTGCACGACTTACTCTCGCCCTGATTATTTCTCAACCGCGTTACTCGATTCTCACGAAATCGCCAACCATGGGTAATGTAAGCTACACCCTCCCTTCCTCTCCCTCAGCAATGTCCCTCTGCAGAAGAGGGAGAGAAGGCTTAGGAGGGACTGGGAAGAATCAACATGTGTCCGATACGCGGGGAGCGGCAGCTGACCCGATCGGCCGATCTGTAGGGAGCCAAGGCTGCGCAGAAGCGCGAGCGCAACGCGAAGGACAGCAAGGTCGCCAAGTCCCAGCTCAAGTCGGTACGTCTTCTCCCGGACCACGCACGCCGTCCTGTTTTGAGCGGCCGGCGGGCAAGCGTTGCTGACGCGTAAGCACCCCCGCGACAGAACGTTAAGGCTATGGACATTCAGTGCCAGATCTGCAAGTCGACCTTCCTAAAGACCACCCGCGCCCCTCAGTACGTATATTGCCCTCACCCTCTTAAGATAGCAATGTCGATGGTGGTGGGGGTGTTGGTGGTGATGACGATCCCCGCCGCATATAAACTCGGCGACGAGAGTAGGAAGAGCGGGGGTGGACACCTAACTATTTTTCGCCATCCCCCTGATGCTAACCATCCTCTGTACGCGCAGGCTCACGGAACACGCCACCAACAAGCACAGCAAGACTATCGAAGACTGCTTCCCTGGCTACGAAGACAAATAGCCTGCCCGTCGGCCGAACTATTGTTACTATCCGGAAGCTAGTGCGGACGAACGAACGAACAAACGAGCAGCCGGACGGGCGACTGTGGTGGGCAAGCAGGCGAGGCGCAGCATGGGCATAGCGAATGGCGTAAATCCGGAGCGTACAGGAGAGAGGGATCGATCTACTACGCACGCCGGCTGGTTGTAAGGGTTCCATGACGGATAGCGCGACAGAACCTGGTTAATGAGACGACGACGGGCGCACGCAGAAGTAGATTTGGTATTAACATTTTTCCACGTCTTTGCTTTTTTTTTTAGCTCACGTATACACATACATAGAGACACGTTGCGGTCTCACAGACAGATTCCTCGCACACGTCTCTCCTTGCCTTTGCTGTCCCCTCGGTATCAGTGTGCTTCTACTGCAGGCGCCTGCGTGCCCACGCCCCCTCCCGCCGCTGGACCCTGCGTCGCGGCATCCGTCTTCGACGCTGCGGCCCCTTGCTCGGCCGCCTCGCGCGCCTGCTGCTCCCGGATGTCGCGCAGGATGTCAGGGTACCAGCGCTCGCCGACGTCCGGGTGGCTCTTGACGCGGTTGCGCAGGGTGGCCTCGCCGAGGGTCGCGGCGGCGCCGCCCTTGCGGAAGGTGAACTCGACGTCGTCGAGGCGGCGGCCGCCGTTGGCGGCGAGGACCTGGTCGCGCTGGCGCCGCACGGCCTCGGGCACGCTCGCGCTCGCGATGGCGCCGTCGAGTTCGTCAAACGTCGTCGACCCCCGCACGCCCTGGAAGAAGGGGATCGAGTAGCGCGCGCCCTGGCCCGCCGCCGGCGACAGCACCCGGTGCGTCGTCGACGCGCACACGCCGCGCGTCAGCGCCTCGAGCCCCTGCCCGATGGCGACGACGAGGGTGCCGTCGATGGGCGGGCAGTCGATCCACTCGCCGCGCATGTTCTGCACCTGGAGGCCGCGGTGGGGGCTCGCCTGGAGCAGGTAGCTGGTCAGCATGCTGTCCTTGTGGGGGCCGACGCCCTGGCCCTCGACGGGGCCGGGGCCGGCGAGGCCGAGCTCGGCGACGTCGGGATACTTGACGATCTTGAGCTTGTGCTGCTGGTCGGTGTCGAAGTAGCGGTCGAAGGCGTCGGGGGGCAGGCCGATGGCCTCGGCGATGAGCGAGGTAAACCAGACGGAGATGTCGCCCATGCGCCGCATGTAGTCGGTGTAGACGTCGCGGAAGCGCGGCAGGACGGCGGGCGAGGGCCATTGGTTCGGCGCGAGCAGGTTCGCGTACCGCGGCGCGTCAGGGCCCGGCACCGGGTGCTCGGTCGACAGGTCGATCTGCTCGCGGTGGTCGATGTGGCCGGCCGTGATCTCGGCCGACAGCTGCGAGTAGCCCAGGAACGAGGGCGCGTTCTTCATCTCGATCTTGAGCCTGTAGGGGGGAGCGCGGGCCGCGCGAGCGTGAGCTTGGTGTGACAATGTCTTCCCCTTCTGTGTCGCCACAGCCTGCTCAGGTATTCGTAGGCGGCGGTGCATAGATGCGTGTGTCAAATCAAGTTTGGGAGGGAGGCATGCACGTACTTCTCCTCGCGGGGTATGTCGAAGAAAGCCCTGCCCTCGGCGATGGCCTGGCGCCAGAGGTCGTCGGGGATGCCGACATTACGGATGTAGAGGAACCCGACCTCGAGCAGGGCATGGCGCAGGTCGACGAGGAAGGTCGGCTTCGTCGCCGGGTCCCGGGCCAGGGCCAGGTCGAGGATCGGGATCGAGGTAAAGGACATGGTTCGCCCCTTTCTTCTCGTATCGGGGGTTGAAGAGAAGGATATACGGAAAATGGTTCTTTTTTTCTTTTCCTTTTTTCTTCCGCAGCGTCGACGGGATCCAACGAGTGCTGACTAGAGGTGGAGGGGAGGGGGAGGGGTAGCGGTTACTGAGAGGTGGATGGGACTCGCTATGACTCGCTATCCCGCTCGACGCGTACGAGTAAATTTCCTGCTGCTTTGTCTGAGTTTGCGCGGATCGTTGAAATGAATTAACACTTTTGCGAGAGGAGATCAAAGGGCGGGCAGTGATTTCTAGTGTCGTATATATACACTTGTACGGCACATAGGAGGGAAAAGTAGAGAGCTGAACATTCGATATGGCAGAGCGCACCAATACGCGTGCGGCAATTCGCCTCCCTCTCATGACGGGAGCTCCACACCAAGCTATGGCGTAATTCCGCTCCTCGGCCTTCGGTCACTGCTGGCCCAAATAATCCACCAGGAAAAGGCGAGAGATGAGAGGCCGAGAAACTCGTCGATGAAAAACAAAAAGGCCACTGATTTCACTGGCCAGCGCTTGGCCACGATAGGAGATGCCTCGGGCGAGGTATGAACATCGAATATTTTGCAAAGCGGCAATGGTTTGTGCCTATGTGGCTCCGTATCGCCCATTGAATGTGGAAGTGAAGGGGTGGGTAGGTAAGGGGGGATGGGGGTCATGTTAGCTGTGTTAACAGAACCAGCCCCATCGATGCTCTCCTATCGTGGTTCATCCTCACTCAGAGGCAAAGGTAGTAAGTAGAATAGCGTATGGAAACGAACTTCAACCTCAGTCAATACGAGAGCTATGTCGATACAACTCTGGGGGTATCCGTATCCTGAAGTGCTCGTCGAGACGCTGCCGTTCATCCCTATCCCCACCCTCATCCTCTCCTTAGCATATAAAAGGCGAGCATCGGTCTTAAATAGATACTACACCAGGTATTCCCCCAAATAAACGGAACCCCCCCCCCCCCTACTAGCAGTAATGTGTCTGCATGGCCCTCTCCGTGTTTCCCCGAGTCAACAACACCACTCCACCCCTCCTCGTTTCCCTCTACGGAACTATCCTCATGCTACCTGCACCGACGGCCTCCGAGAAAGCAGCTTTGCGACCTGATAGAACGTGTCTTCGATCGGTGGCATGGCGAATGCCGGCGCGATATCGAACACCTCTGCGAGTCTCTGCTGCGAAATGACGGCCGGGTATGTGCCTGCTTCCTCTTCCTCTATAGCATCCTGCGTGTCAACGTCCATCTCGTCGGCGCTCGCGGGCTCGCCGTCGTCGTCCCCGTCAGCCAGCAACGGTATCGCGTGGTTGTTCTCCGGCAGCGCCTCCACCTCCTGCTGATCGAGGTTGAGATTAACCAGCGGCTGTGCAAAGGCGAGCGCGTTGGTATCCATGTCTTGGCTCACCGGCCACAGTTGGGCAGCAGAATCGAGGACGAGGTAGCCACTGGATCCAACCAAGGAGACAATTGATGTTATGGGGTGTGTAAACTTTTGCACTATCAGCGGCTCGCTCCGATCTAGAGAGAACACAGCAAGCTCTGAGGGTACAGTGGTCGAATTGGCTTTGGCCCGAGAGACGGCTACTGCAAAAGTACAAGTACGACAGTCGACAGCCATGAGCGTGAGAATAGACGGCCCCGGGCTGCTAGACCCTTCGTCTGCCCTCAGTTGAACTCCGTAGCGTAGTTCGTCGAGGACCAAGTCGTACACTACGAGACAGTCCGAGAGCACCACCAGGCAGGATGAGAGCACCCTGATATCACGTACGTCGCCTTTCGCGAGCCCGTCCAGGCGGTTTCGAATCTTGCCCGACTCTACGTCGATAATGTAGGTCATCGAGCCTCGTTCCGTGTCAAGGGCACAGGCGAGGGTAGATCCATCTTCGGAAAAGGAGACGGCACCGGAACACCGATGATGAGCCTTGGCAGCTGTCGTGTCTAGGACGATAGGTTCCTCGTCGCCCTGGAGGCATATAGCTCGGGAGCATATCCAGTCTAGCAGCTGGCGTCCTTGCTTGCCCTTGACCGGCACGCCATCTCGTCGCCTTACCACCGGCTCCCACAACCTGACGATCCCGTCTCCCCCGATCGTGGCAAAGCGATGCCCCTGCGGGTCGGCAGCCAACCCATGTATCGATTGGTTCTGATCCGTAAAATGTGGCGCATTAACACGAGACATGAGTTCCAGGCTCTGATCTTCCGACGACACTGCCCAAAATTTGAGAAAGACCTCGCGTCTATCCGCTGAGGATCCCGAAAGAGAGTGGAGATCTCGTGTCGGCGGCTGCCACTCGTCGGTCGTAGCAAGCCACTTGCCATCCGCCGAATACGCCATATTGGTGATGCGGGGTTCTGTGACGGGAAAGCCTCTGGTCGTCATGTTGACATCCGTCGGGTTCGTTCTAGTCAGTGCTTGCTTGGAGATGCTCTGCAGGGTGGTGAGGTCTAGCGTTTGGATCATCGGAGTAGAGGGGCCACTGCCGGAATAACCGATCTGCTGTCCGTTCCCTACGCAGATTTGGAATCGTGACGAATCGGCTGGGTTGACAGTAGCGGGCGTTTTAAAGAGATTAGTCGTAGTGTATCGCCCAACTCTAAGAACCATGTCGTCTTTCGAGAACGGTCGGGGGGAGATTAGAGCCTGGATTCCAGATACGTATGTCGTAGGCTGCATTTCTGCCGTCGAAAGCACGATCGCCGAATTATCGTCCAAGTGTAAGACGTAGGAAGATCCGTGCTTGGAGACGACAATATTCTCTATGGACGCGGATAGATGGGGTAGGAAGTCCATTCTTTCCGTGTCGAGCTGCCACAGCACCAGGGTCGTCTCAGAACCGCCAGAGAGAATGTAATGACCTAGGACTAGGGTTAGGCACTCGTTGACGAACAGGATATACGGATACAAGGATAATTCATTACCATCTCGCGACCATTTGACTGAATGAACCGCCCGGCGATGCCAGTGATACTTGCGAGGTTGAAGGGCAGATATGTGTACCTTCGAAGCCCGCAATAAACGGAGTTGGGGTAGAAGGTCGTTGTAGAAGAAGATGGCCCCGCGGGCACAGCCTACTGCGATATCCACCACGGGCTCATCGCTGGTTTCGGCCAGAGACTTCCGATCGAGGTGTATGCGGTCTGCGACTCGCACGTCTAAACACGCGATAGCATCATTGCAGTCAAAGGTGAAGAACTCGTACTCCAGTTCCCGGATAGAATCCGCCTCTCGAGTTTTTAAAGTGCCAAGCACGACATTGTTGCCCACCGACCCTGCTAAAGCATACCCATTTTGGACGGCCTGAAGGTTTTGGATGGGATCCTTATTGGTTACGAGGACCTTGCAATCTCCCAGCACGGATTCACGGACGTCCTGGGCGACAAGCTGCCAGCTCTTGTCCCTCTTGGCAGAAAACAGCACCACGTCTCGAAAACCTGGGCCGATCTTGACGCGCCCAACAGCCATATCGTGTGGAAATAGGTCCCGAAGCCGCATCGGCGACCCGGATCCTTTGCCATTGGTCCAATCTATTGACCACAGGTGACCCGAAGACGAGGCGACCCATATGATATGCGACAAACTCGGCGATAGGCACATCGAGACTACTTGAGGGCTTGAATTCTTCTTTGCCGGCATCGGCAGGGGAATCTTGCGCACTAGAAGCGAATCTTTCGCCGAGTATACCTGAATGGAAGTATTGTACGCAAGTATTAAGTGTCTAACAGCAATGTCAGCTCCTTCAGCGCACGTTTCTCTCGGTGGTCTGCTGCGCCTACTTTTCGTCGTCGGTCAGGATTGGATCTATATTCAGCATCCTCCCTCCGAGGGGCTCCTGGATTCTCCATGTTACATAATCGGTGTCATGGCCTTTCTTGTCGTCTCTCCTCCTTGAGCCTTTTCGTTCCTTGTTTTTTGCGGAGATAGCGATGGTCGCGTTGGTGGGATTCTCGGATGACTGTGGTAGGGCGTTCGCCCGGTTACTTGCTATGCTTTGGGGGGCTACGTCGACCAGAGCATGTCTCGACGACGCCGAGTCTCGCCTCGCTCGTTTTCTTTTTTTATGATCGTCTGGCTCATGTTTCCGCTTGCTCGCGCCGGTATCCTAGGAAGGCGAGGTGGTAAGAAAGATGACAGGATAACCGTGGGTAAGTTACCCTATAACGGCTTCGTTTCAGCCGTGGTCTGTAAGGAGAGGACTTACATTGTTGGAAATCGCTGCAGGGGCCATGATGGAATCGAAAGTTGTGCGTTGTGAAGAGGTGAGGCTTGAGAATCATATTCCTAGTTCTATTCTGATACCGGTAGATGTAAGCAGATCCTGTCCAATCGTGAAGTGCTATAGACGGGAAAAAGTTGATAAAAGGTCCCAAAGTTTTTGCGGGACAGCTTAAGATAAGGCATGCCGATAAATAATTATCAGATAATGGGATGCTCGGATAGATACATGGTGCATGCACCAGTACATCATTACATGTCATTTGCCACAGTGTGGCAGCACTCTCAATTCATTGGTCAATTCAACTTGACTAATCACTAAACGCAGGAACGAAATTACTATTCTTTTTCTTTCTTTTTTTCCCCTAGGCTAGGGAAAAAAAAAAGGCGTTCTTAGTCATCGCCGTCGTACTGGTTCTTTCACGGTTGCAGCATTCCTTTTTCGCTTTCGCGAGGCTGCAAATCGCGTGTCTCATCCCTCATACTTCCCTATCTATTCTGCCTCTCTCGCTCTGCTCCCGGCGCGCGACGGCTTAGGCAATAGTATACGACACTCGACACCTAGAGAAGAAGAGGTCGATAACCGACAACATGATCATCCCGATCAGATGCTTCTCCTGCGGGAAGGTAGGCGTCACCCTCGCGCACATCCCACCGCGTACAGACGCCGTATTGACTCGAATGCCAACAGGTAACCGGCGACCTGTGGGAACGATATCTTAAGCTTATCGACGAGGGTATCCCCGACGGGTTCGTTTGCGTGCCATCTTAATCCCCGGGGATCCTATACTGACAGCCGAAAACAGTGACGCTATGGATACGCTCGGCCTCAAGCGATATTGCTGCCGTCGCATGATCATGACCCACGTCGACCTTATTGAGAAGCTGCTCAAGTGCGAATCCCTACTACCCCTCCTCTGTCCCGTGTCGAGTTGCGTGTATGTACGAGAAGTAAGGCTCCTAACTAGCGGAGTAGGTACACCCCGGACGGGCGAAATGACAAGAAGATCCAGCTCCAGCAGCGATAGGCGCGAGATTTGCGTACACCGCAGCACTCCTGAGCGGTCTGTTTGTTGGTCATAGTTGTACAGAACTGCATTCCTTGGCGTTAGGGCGACGCATCGTGAGAGGCGTTTTCATGATATCCCTGTGGCGGGCGTACGAGATAAACTATGCGAGCCGTAACGCGGGAGTACGGCTCGGAATATTGGGAACTTGCGCGGGGAAAACGTGTTCGTCTGGGGGCCTACAAGGAACTAGCTACGAACCCGCGCGGGCATAGCAAAAGACTCGCCTGCCACTACAAAGGCCACTCCCTGCTCGATGTGAACGACCGCGTCTAAGAGGTGCCGTACGGCCGTAGGGTGTTGACGAAGCGGCTATTCCCTACACCGCTTCTTGGGCCGGCCTTGCTCTTCCCGTCTCATAGCGGGCGTCCTCTCGTCCTCTCACCCGGGATCGTGGAAGGCTACTGTGCATTGCTTACCTTGCCTGATACAGATCCTCGAGAAGGAACATGCCTTTCTAGCTCCTGCGCCAGTCCCGTGGCTTGCCTACACACACGCCACTCAGCAGGGATCGCACCCAGTGCCCGTGGTGGTAGAAAAAGGAAGAGGCTATTGCGTATCCTTTCCCCTTAGCCGTTGTACCAATGTTGTCGAGAGGAGAGGTTTCTTCCTGGTCTGACTAAAAGGTGCCAACCTGCCTATCCGTAGTAGACCCTAGGCCATTTGCGTATCAAGACTCCGACAGGCCCATGTTTACGTGTCCGGGCTGCCGGGTTCTGTGCCTCACTGACGTGGTCGTGGGGTGGTCGTTCTGTCACTCGGGTCGCGTTGGCCCTGGACACACGCATCTTGATATGTAGCCAACATCGAGGATCGGTTCCCAAGCCGGGAAATTATTAAGTAGAAGTTACCTAAGGCCAGGGATGCCTTGCCGTACCAAGCATACGTACACATATGGTGTAGTAGTGTCGATGTGGATGTCCTACTCGGGCTTGCTGCATGTCGGGCTTTTTACCCAGGGTGTCAATCAAACTTGACAGGTGCACTGTGTATACACACTATATATATACCTGTATATGTGTATAACACATGGGCCTAAGGTAATTAGGTATTACGGCGCCTATGCACGTCTTGGTAAACAACGCAGGCCAGGGAGCTGGGCGTTCTGGAAAACGTGATCTCCCACAAGCCCGACCCCGGGCTTCAGGCCACAAGCTAAGCAGGGATGCGAGAAGGGGAGGAGGTGATGATGGCGGGGGGTTCATATCCTCGGGTCCTCTTCTCACAAGATGGGCGGTGATTCCAAGGCCAGCGTATTCCCATCCCGGTTACACGATGTAGGTCTTATGAGTAGGCGTACGATGTATAGTATATATATATATCATTTGTAACATATAGTATGAAGGCAAGGCCGCTTGCCTTGCTATCAGTTGTGTGAGGTGCGTTGCGGCTTCTACTTGTTTAGAAACCTCATAGAATTAAAAGCCCACGGCATCTTCTCTAGGACTAACTCTAGGCGATTTGAAACGCCAAATTTTTCTTTTCTTCCCGCCCGATGTCGCGGTTCTGGGCGCCGGCCAACCAACCAGTATCGCCGGCAGTGTCAGTGACTAGGTATGTACGGACTACTCAAACTAGCTGAAAAGGAAGCCCCCAAAGACCAAGGCAAGAAAGGCTGAGAAGAGTAAGAGGCAAGCAAAAGTCTAAGACGCTCTGACCATTTATCTGTCATATACAGCTTCATCAGTAACACCAACAGCAAAGCCGGGGCAGATTCGAGGAATTCAAAGTGAATAGAGACGTTTCCGCGTGCGCTAGTTGGCTGCCGATGGGCATAAGGGCTAAGAACGGGAAGTCCAGAGACGATCTGTCCCAAGCCTGCTACTGTCGACCATGGATTCGAGGATGGAAACAGTTGGCTCGTTAAGAGAGCCTGTTCGAACCTTGCCCTTACGCGTTTCCCCATCGGGTCTCGTGATGGACAGCGAAGCAATACAACCCGTAAGTCGAGGAGTCCAACTAACAAGTCCCGCTCTCGCGCCACTCGGGTTTCCCATTGATGAATCGCAAGCAGCCCTGCCGCGGACTCGGCGTGCCGAGCGAGCCTAACAACGACCAGTAGAAGGCGGCCGAGGAGGGACACACGCACAGAGAGAGGACAGAAGCAGAGGCTAAAACGTAGGGATAGGCACCGTTCAGGTCGCATCACGCTGGCCGGCCTAGGTCAGACACACACACACCAACAGCCTCCCCAGTTGGCCCACATCGGGCTATGGAGAAACCCAGTTAGCTGCTAAGAAAAGGCTGCGGTGCCAGATCTTCGGGAACACTATCGTGGCAAGCCCATCGAGGGATTGGCCCTTGTGGGTGAAATACCCGCCATGTACGTGTAGGTATGTGCCATCCTGCCCCGGCTGTTTGCGTCTATTCTAGCTCTCACGCTCCATCGCCCGCTATCACCCTATCATGTCATATCCACCGGGTCCTCGTCTCTGTCTTCCCCTCCCCATGACAGGTACTAGTCTAGTTAGATATGTATGCAATCCATCCTACTTATGTACGTGGTGGGCATATCACGTTGCTTCGGGGCACTTGCGTATGTAACGCAGGCTGAAGACGGAGAGTAGGGCGGTCCAATCTTACGTGCGCCACGTTGGGGGTAGCTTGGGCTGCCTGCGTAGGCCCCAAATTGGCTGTCGCCTCGACCGTCGGGATTTGTCGCATGAATGCCTGTGTCGAGGGGGATGGGATGAGAGCGAGATGAGAGCGAGGTGAAGCGGGCAAGCGACAGCTCACACGGCCTCTGCGTGCGTGCCATGAGCCCATTGGGTTACGACGTCGTCTCCGGCTGCCTTTTTTTTTTTTTTTTTGAATTTGACTTGGTGAGAAACGAGAGGTGATCAAAATGGGTTCGTAAAAAAAACAACCCTGAATAGTCGACCTCGGAGTGGTAGAGGTGAAAATGCACTCTTGTGACTCGACCGCCGATGCGATCCGTCTGTGGCTTAAGCGCCGGTACCCCTGTCTATCCCCATGCAGACCACCCTCCGAGACACCTCCCTTGCTATCTTCCTACTCGTCAGAAAGCTGCACTCGAGAGCGGGAGCCGGTTGCGCCAGAGGCATAGTCGCAACCCTAGAGGCATCCATCTCATGCAGCAAGTCGAAGATCGACTTCAACTCAAAGCATCACCGCCATCATCATCATTATCATCATCGATCCAAGACACAGAAAAGCCTCACCATCATATCCTCCTCTACAGCCATCACCATAGCAACTTGACTTGTGTGGGACATGAGCGTACGGCCGTAGTAGGACGGCAGAAGCAGGATTCCCACGAGTTAGTCCGCCCTTCTGCCGCGTGTCGATACAGGCCACACTGCTATACTCCCCCCCCCCTCCTCTTCTGGGTCGCTCACCATCCACCTCGAAGGATCCCTCCACACCCCCAGGGTAGCTGGTTCTACTACTGCACCTAGCCTCTACTCTGCTTCTCTCTCTCTTTCTGCCCGTGCGTCTCTCTCTCTTTCTCTCCCTCTCCCACTGCGGGTGACCTCCACTTTGCGTCTAGTATCCCTTTCGGGTTCCAGTGGAGCGTCCTGGGCGAATCTCAAGTTGACATCTTTTCAGCCCCTCCTCCTTCGGCGCATCTGTCGAACCAACTTAGCCCATCACCGCGCTCTGCTCATCCAGTCACATCGAACCGCCTTCGCGAAAAGTCCATATTCTTTAATCCCTACCTTTCCCTCATTTTCGTCTCCCTTCTCCCGACAGGTCTTGCAACCGCCTTCGATCGCCCACCCAGCCGGTCTTGAGCTTAGCGATGGTATTGCTATAAGTCGCGTAGTTAACCCCGCAGGCGACATCAGTGTCGGTCGGGATCAGTCTTCTCTCTCTCGTGGTCGTCGCTTCGTCGAGTCGTTGGGAAAAGATATTTTTCCGCTTCCCTACCTTCGGCCGCCTCGATCCAGGCCACTGTCGGGATCCAGACCCGACCCAATTCGCGACCTCCTTGCGTTGTATCCCTACCTATCTGTTGTCGCGTGGTTATAAGCGCGCTACGCCGTCTTTCTGGGCGCACAAGCGACGCGACTAGATAATCGAAAGCCACTATCAAGCGCTTCCGAGGCTTTTTTTTTTCTCCTTCTTCCTTCTCAACATCGCCCGGCCTACATTGCGGCCGAAGTATCGCAACTCTGCTAAGCTAACGATGGCTCTCGAAGCTCCGTTGAGATCGTCAACCGGGAGTATAATAGCTCCTTTCTTGTCTCATGTGAATATGTCCTCGCCAGAACCATCCGCTTCTCCTCGTCCTCACTTCCGTCCGACGTTCGTGACCCTCTCTCTTACTCTCTCAATCTCTCTTCCTCTTTCTCTCTCTCGTCCCAGGGTTGTGAATTAGTGGTAGGGCTAACAAAGATCAGGTCTACTGGCTCCGTAGAATCCGGCTCCCTGCGGCCAATGCCTGCCGCCCGCCCGTCCTCGACCAGCAACTATCTTCTGAGCCCGGTCGATATCGGCCCTTCGCCAGTTACGTCCGTTGGAACGGAAGCGACGGAGATAGAGGATGAAGTGTCTGATGAGGTTCGGTCCCAACCCACCGCTGCAAACCCCGATCCGCGGCCTCAGGTTGGTGGTTGGAATAAACACAAGAGGAGCGTTTCAATGGCAACATGCTGACTTGGACTAGGTGCTAATGCTCAGCACGGACATACCCGATCAAGCGTGGCGGGTCTCCGGCGAAGAGGCCGTGTCTGTCATACACGCCCCGGAGAGCTTCCACAGTTGGGTGAGTTATGGGAGTCTCGATCCTCAGCTGAGTCAACCTTGCTTATTGTCGTAGAAGACTAGTGAAAGCTCCCCGAGGCAATCTGAGTCGACCCTCAAGACTTCGCCCAAGTCCCCCCCTGTCTCGAGACAGGAAGAGATGGATGCTCCGCCTGCTGGAGACAATGCTTCAAACGTAAGCCCACACCTCCCATGGAACGGCAGAAGCAAGCCTCTAAACCTACGCAGACCAAATCCTCTGCCCTTCCAGCACCGCCGCCCCTTTCGACAGATGTAAAACCTGCTAGATACAGTATTGATAGCGCAACACCAAGGGCACAGAACCTACAAGAGGTATTAAACGAAACCAGGATACGGTCCAGGAGCGCTAGTAGCCTCGAGTGTCAGTAGAACTTCCCGATCTCTCTCGATATCGCGACTAACAGTTCTCTGAAGTGATCCCGGAGTCTAAGGAGCCAGAGACGGACGGAGAACACGACTTAGAGGACTACGATGACGAGGAATACGTCACGCCCGTTCGAGGGCAGGAGGGCGAAGAGATAGAGATCCGGTCCCTAAAGACCGCCCTACAGGAATGCTGGACTCTATGCAACACCCTAGCCACCCTCAGCACGCACCATCGTGAGAGAATGTTTAGCACGTCGGGGACTCCGGACGGCCACGAGAAGGCCTGGAAGTGCTGCTGGAAGCTCTGCCAGCGGCTGTACGACAACCGCGACGACGTCGACGAGTCGTACAACGTCCGCACGAACCTGGACCTGTGCCGGGACTTCTGCCAGGCCCTGTTCGACGTGCGGCAGCGCAAAGACGAGGTGGCAGACTCGGTGCTGCGCGTGAGTTTCGAGCTTAATAACCAGTGAGTGAACCTGCGAGCGAAATTCAACAGGATGACCGAAAACGCTAACAGCTCCGACAGCCTCTACAGCGCGCAAGACAACCGAAACCTGCCCGAGGCCTTCCGGGAGCGGACTCTGGATTTCTACATCACGCTATGCCATCGGCTAATGAAGCAGCGCGGTGAGGTCGGCGAGGAGACGGACTCATTACTGTCCGCCTGTTGGTCGCTCGCTGAGATGCTGTTCAGCCTGCGGCAGAGCAAGCGCGACAGGCGGGCGCCGGATGAGGAGTTGCTCGGCTCTGCCGTCCAGGCGTGCTGGGACCTGTGCGACCTGTTCCGCGAGGGGTGGACGCAGATCCGGCCGGACCGAGGCACGCCGCGACCGAGCCAGGCGACCTTCTCGTCGTCGTCGTGGTCGCACGGCGGCGGCAGCGAGGTCGACCCGTCGGGGCGTGAGAGCCGCGCCTCGACGCGCTCCAGACCCAACAGCCTCAAGAACCACAGCGGTACCAAGGCTCGCAAGCCGGCTCCGGTCCCAGTGCCAGAGACACCAGTGACTGAGTTCGAGGACACGCCTATCTCGCCCGAGAGCCAGAGCCCGCGTGTGCCGAACATCATGGTACTCGGCACGGAGGGCAACCGGAGCGGCGGCAGCGGCGGCAGGTGGTCGAGCAGCGCGTCGAACCTGTCGGGCTACTCCCAGAGCAGCCAGCGCACTTCGAGCACGGCGACAACAGCGACGACCAACGAGGACCCGAACGTGACGCGCGTCAAGATGCTGGTCCTCAAGGCGGCGATGAACGTCGGATTCTCGCGGGACGCGGGGAACGGGGGCTCGTCGGTCTCGGGGTCGGAGGGCGGCAACACCAGCACCAGCACAAGCCCGCGGGCGGCAGCGAGGCCGTCGCTGCAGGCGTTTGTCAAGGCGCTGCCGTCGGGGTCGTTCGGCCCGCTGCCGGCGCACGCGGCGCTGCTGCAGAGCTACAAGAACCTCGTGGCGGCAGACGGATCCCTGCGGCAACAGCAGACGGTGGTAGGAGCCGGGGCGACGGGCCAGCTGCCGGCGCGAGGACGGCGGGCGCTCGCTGCTGACGTTGCGATGAGCGTCGCGTGGATGGCGCACCGGTCCGGCGGCCAGTACGCGTTCCTGCGCGACCTGTTCCGGCTCGTCTTCGGCTTCCCCGTCGAGGAGGCGGAGACCCGGAAGAGCATCAGCATCGTGGTGTGAAGGGATAGGAGAGGGAGTGCAATAGGAGGCAGGATGATCGACGGAAGAGATATGAAAGCCCGAGAAAAGTGTAGAGAGGAGGTGGCACATGGATGGATCTGTGGATCGGTGGGTCTATTACACGCCTTTTCTACGCCTCTATTTATTGGGGTATCGTACGACGCTGAACGAACCTCGACGTATATGGAGTGCCGGATTGAAGGGTGGAGGACCGAGGAGAGCCTCATGGTGTTTAATGTCTGGTGTTGCGCTTTATTGTGTTATTTCCCCCTCCTCCGCCTATCTAAGATACCCCTCTTATTTTTATCTTTCTTACACTCGTTCCCACCCGAGCGACTACGAAAAAACGACGACGACGACGACGACGACGATGATGATGACGACGTGGCGCAGCGGGGGCGGCGAGACTGTACAGGAGCGTTTTGCCTTGCGGCGAAGAAAAGGGGCAGGGGAGGCGGCAAGTTCTTTTTTTTTTTTTAATTCTTCTCACGAACTTCGGCTACATATTGTGTTATCATGTCGCGATGGTGCCGATCATCTGCAAGAAGACTTTAGAAGTCCACACTCGGCAACGACGAAATTAGATTGGTGAAGCTGGCGAGTCTGTCCGTTGGTTGGTTATGGACTATATTAACTGTGTACTGGGGGAAAAGCAGTCATTCTCCTGAAAATATACCTAAAATATGCCTATATATATAATTGTACTGTATACTCCACTATCATTGTTACCTCTAAACTAGACGTGTCGCCTGGGGGCTCATATTGTGATTCTCCGCCTTTGTGATCTCTGGGAGAATGATGGGAGGATCTCCCGATACCTATACCCAGAGGCTCACGATCGCTGTTAGCACTTCGGGTTTGGGGCGTTGAGTGACGACACCCCTAGATAGCAACTCTGGCCATCCCGTTGTCAGGAAGACTCTCATCCAGACTCGTATTGCCTTGCGTGGTGATAGCAGCTCTCGAACTCCGTCTCGTGATATGTTTCACCCACCCGAGGCCAGTAATGCCGCATATAGAGCGAGTCGAATAGGTCTTCCGATTTGAAAGTGATGTGACCGAGTCCCTATGGTCTCCTGTCTAGTCCCTGTACCTCTCATGGACCTTTTATTAAGATCTAAAGTAGCTAGGCCTTGCTACCCTTCACTGTTCCACTAGGTTCATCCGTCGTAGGTGCTATCAGTCATTTCATCCAGCAACTATGCCTTGCTCGGATCCCCCACCCTTAGTGCCTCTTTGGCACTATCACGAGCAGGCTTGCGATACGACCTCCTTAGCGAACAGAGGGGGTGGTGAAATTATCAACAGGTAGCAAGCTTTCTGATCCCACGGCTCTTTTCGTAAGGTTAACTAGAACTTCTAATCATATGAATCACTACGCTACCTACTATATTACGTTTACAGCATTGTGGTGTATCTTCTCGCTTCGTGGCATAACTGAGCTAAAGAGATTCTGACTAGCAAGAGCTCGAAATGTTGCCCTAAATATTACACTATTGGCAAAGTTCATCAGAACAACCATACCAACAATTAATACTGTTATATCAAGTTGACGGCTTGGATGCTACAAGAAGAGAGGGGGCAGGGCGTACAATTCAACATTCTTGTTGGTGGCATCTAAAAAGGCATCATCAGGGCGGGGCGGTGAACCCCTTTAAATGGATAGGGGAGGCTGATCGGGTTGGCAGTCTAGTCATGCTGACTCCCCAATTCCTTACGACACAATCCAGAATCTTAACCCTCAACATGGGAAGGATATTAAAAAATTGAACTACCAACACCATATGATGCAATGCGAATTATAGAAATACAACGTGGGAGTGGGATACAACTCCTCTTATGCTATGACATTCTTTCAGACCCGGTCTTCTACCGATCTCGCTTTCTCGGTGTCCCTAGCAGGGCTGGGAGGACCAAGAGGCTCTATTGGTGCCTTTTTGACAGACTTCCACTGAAGGAAGCAGCAAGAGAGAAACGCCAGCCCTCCGAGAGGGATCGAAACGATTAATACGGTATGCAGAGCGGCGTGATACTGCGCTAGGAGCGCCGGCACGTCTTCAGCTGGTACAACCTTTCGGAACGCGACGGCGCCCGCTTCGATGATTGTCTCAACGTCGACATCTTGAATGTTCGCGTGCTGAATGAGCGCTAGGAGCCGGTTCTGGAAGACGCTGTTACCGACGGAGATGAACACGGCGCCCCCCAGGGACTGTGAGGCGACGACAGCCGCAGTTCCGACGGCTAGCTGGTCCTTGGGCAGGACAGTCTGCACTGCTGTGAAACCCTGCTGGATCGACATGCCGAAGCCAGCCGCCGCGAGAATCTCAAACCCGATCCACATCGCCGTACTCATGCCCGGGTGGAACAGGCTAACGATACCGCAACCGACAGTACCGATCGCGCTACCGATGATAGCAGGCGGCGTGAAGTAGCCGACGGCCGAAACAAACACGCCAGATATAACAGAGAAGAGGGCGTTAGCCACGAAGTAGGGAATCATGGCGACTCCTGACTTTATAGCGCTGAAATCGAGGATGGCCTGAAACCAGAGAGGAAGGAAATAAGTGTGTATGAGCAGAGCTCCATATGTGAAAAATGCCATGAGGCAAGATGCTGCGACCGTCCTCTGCTTGATGATGGCCGGCGGAATCAGAGCACTGTCCTTCTTCCACCACAGCCAGACTACTAACACCATAGTGGTGACGCCAGCGCCGCAGAGGAGACCGATAACACTCGCGCTTGACCACGCGGCCCCGGTGAGCGTATACTCCAGGGCTAGGAACAACATCACCGCGCTGGAGAGCAAGATGATGTTACCGACTAGATCAAGATCGATGAGGCGAGAAAAGACCGTCCGCTGGTGCCTGGCTCGAGGCCTTGGGTGGTATACGAGCACCATAACGACCATCGTCGCAGCTCCTACCGGGAGGTTGATCCAGAAGCACCACCTCCATGTCTAGACTAGCATTAGCAAGCCGATTCTCTACCGCGGGCCAGCGGAATACTCACGATCAAGTCCGTGAAGACACCACCCATCAGAGGTCCGACGGTGGCCCCGACTCCAAACCTATTCGGGTGACTATTAGCTTTCCCGTCGAGATTCGCTCCGCTAAGACCTCCGAGATACTTACATTAACCCGACCACCGCTGTGTAAATAGGCCTGGCTGCGAGGGGCACGGCCGTGGCCACGATAACGAAACTGCCGGTCAGGATGCCAGCGCTGCCGAAGCCGGCGATGGCGCGCCCGATGATGAGGGCCACCGAGGATGGCGCAAAGCCGCTGATTAAGGAACCCAATTCAAAAAATAACATAGAAAGGAGATAGGACCATTTGGTGTTAAAGAGCGTGTAGACCCGTCCGAAGACGGGCTGGAAGGCGCATGCCGTGAGGAGGTATGACGAGCCATACCATCCGATGTCTGCCGTGGATTTGAATTCGCTGGTGATAAAAGGAATAGCCTACATCGAGGGTATGTTAGTCTTCTCCGAGACGGGATTGTGACCATGCCGGGTCTCTCGAACTCACGGTAGTAATGATTGTGCGATCGATAGAGATTAAGAAAACGACCAGGGAGAGGCCGATGATGAGCAGGATCAAGGGGAGCCCTTTCAGGAGCTCACCGTCGGTGCCGCCGGCTCTAGAGTTTATAGAGGACTCCCGGCTGCTCTCGCCGGAATCCTCGCTGATCTCTGGCTCGTACGGCTGCGAGGACTTGCTTATCTTGATGCCGGGCTTCCCGGGGTGGCGCTGCTCCGAGACAGGAGTACCTAGGCGGCGCGGAGGGACGAGGGCGTCTCCGAAGGGCGACTCCGCGGTTCCTATGATTGCTAGGTGTCGGAGATGGGGGGCCGCGTCGATGAGCAGGTCAGCCAGCAACGAGTAGCGGTCGGGATCCGACGTGTTGGTACGCGGTGCCCGAGTCGGCATGGGAGGATGAACCAGGCTGGCCATATCGCTCCGGTCGGTGATGAGGGTCTTGCTTGAGGCCATCGATACTCCCCTCGAGTGAGCTTTCTGGTAGTTGGAGATGTCCTCGATGAACTCCTCGGTGAGCCAGAAGGGAGCGCCAGAATCAGATGTGATAACGGCGCTCGACTGGGTTTCACTATCCCATTTCGTCGAGGAAGGGCTGGATCTACCGTCTTCGGAACTCGCAGGCAGGTAAACCAATGTGTTGTCGTCCTGGGTGGAGGAGACACGGCGGCCCTGATCCCCTTCCATCTCGCCTTCGCCTGTTGCCATGCTCGAAGGCAGCGAAGAGAGTAGTCGCTAGTTCGTCTTCAAGATGGAAGATGGGAAGCTCTGATAAGTTGAAGCCCTCTTCACTCAGGTCCCCCCCCGCTGTTGAAAGCGACGCGTTCACCGAGCTTGGCTCGTCTACTTGCATCTAATCCCGATGGGACGTAAGTCACAACAGCATCGACCCTACCAGATTGTGGTTAGTTAGCGCATTAGATACCTAGCAAAGTTACCTTATCTCGACTTACGAACTTGATATTGATCCAATAGGCCTCCCTGTGTCCGCTTAAGGAAGTTCAGGGGCGGAGACTCACTCACTTACCGGCTTGGGTACGGGATCGCATATCCAACTGTAGCGAGAACTGTCGACGGAGAGAACATAGGGGGACGTAAAGACGTTAGGTAGGGCCAGCCTAGAGGGGTTTTCGTCTAGGGCCACGACGGTGAGAGGAAAAATCCTTGCTGCAGCGACAGGAGGGCCGCGCGATCGATAGCGTTGTTGTGTCTCGGAATTCCCATCCTAGCAGCGGCCGCCGAACCCGCCGCGGGCCTCGGACTCGGAGCGAAGAATGCTAGCCAAGTCTCCAATTACCTACCCGCAAGGCACGCAATATTATGAGGTGCTATTATTAGGCTTGGCTCGAAGGCATGCGTAATGTGCCGATTCCAGTGACACAATTGGGGTAGAAGCTCGACGGGGGAGCTGAAGCCGCTGATCCTCGCGGATATGTGGCGTCTGGATGATCAGCCATATATTGGGCTAGGTGGTATCAATGTCTCACATCCACCCTGGCTAACACCTCTCCTTTTATGTCTGTTTTAGTTCTATGATTCAGGAGAAGGATTCAGAGGACAGGGGACAGGAGACTCATACATGCATACACCACGTTGCGCGCGTCCAGTACATACGAAGTAAAGCAATGCGAACCCCGACGGACACCGAGTCTATATTGCGTAATCTCCGTGTCATTCCCCCCACGGCTCCCAGAGCGATGTCGCGGGCGGGATGCCAGGGCCTCGCACGTCATGCCGTCATCCTAGTCCTGGGTTCACGTATATCCGTGTATGGAACGTCCTCTATCAAAGACAGGAATCGAGGCGTGTTATGGCTTGCCCGCCCTCACACAATTCGGCGCAATATCAGTAAAAGCCATGCAGCCCACGCCAACTGGCACCGAGGCGCCCAATTCAGGCTCTGATCTCAGATGCTCCCACACGTCTCCAAACTATACGACCCAGGTCCGTAGTCACTTAGGAGCTAGGTATGCGTATTTCCACCATCGATATCTCGACTCGTATTGGCCGCGAGAAAAGGCATATATAGGTGCCCCCCAAGTGGTAGCGTTGCTTTTATTAAAAAAAAATTTTTTTCATCAAAGATAGCAGCCGGAGACATCGAGATGGAATATGTCATAGCTAATGTATCGCCGAACCAGGCCCGTTAAGATGCATTCTAGGACACAATGTGCCCCCTCTTTATTAAAAGACAGAGGGCGGTCTTTGTCACTCACCATAATAGCTATACAAGATGCAGTAAAAAACGCTACAGGTGCTTAACTCCCTCGAGGAAGACAAAGGACTAGGCGATCCTTACTAAGTTTGCAACAGTTATTCCGCCTGTCTCTGGAGTTGGCACTGTCTTGGAAAAAGAATAAAGGGGACAAGTATGTACGGAAAATAGTTTATTGTTTACTCTCTTTCGCTATGCTATTGTTGTGAGGTCTTGTAACGTTGCAAGCTACGGCGTAGGCTGCCTGAGTCCATCGCGGTGTATCCAGCTCACCCTCCACTCCACCCAACCTTCTGTTGCCCTGCCTGGGGACAAGCCCATACACCACGAAAAGCTTGAAATTAATATGTAGACATTCTAGATAACCTGGGTGTCGTGTCCGTACTGTAGGAGATATACCATGTCGGCGTGGATATTACTGTAGTTCGTGAAGGGAAAAAGCTTTATGCAAACGACGCCATAACACCATCGCCATCGTGATGTTCATAATGCCTGGGTCCTTTTCAGGTGAGCCAGCTGCATGAGTGTGCTGACCACGCCGGAAATGCCTGCGCCGTCGTTATGCCTAGCCAGCGCCTCGCAGTCCGTACCACCGAACTCGGCGTCTAGACTCGGCTGCTGCTCTGAGAAGAGTTGAACGAGCTGGAGCCCCTTGATCCTTTGCCCCTCGACTTCCTGTCGTGTCATTCCTTGCATCTCTGCCTTGGAGTCGTCTGAGTCTGGGAGCAGCCCCGAGATGTGCAGCATTAGCTCCGGCGATATCGTTTTGCGTCCGGACTTGAAGACACATTTGCTGAGGGCCGTGGCGATAATCTGCTCTCCTGGCTTGCTGTCTGTGCCTCGGATATCGCTGGAGGACCCGCTGCTCTCACCGTCATGGCCCGGCGACTGCTCGGGGTACAGCGAATAGCTTTTTGGGCTTGCTGCACCTTTGCGCACAAAGTGCGTTACGATGTAGATCCACTTCTCATCCCAGGTAAGGATCTTAGACCACATCTCGTACTCTTCGTACGGCAGGAGTTCGCGCTTGAAGTGGCATGAGACTGCGCCGAGAGCGAGCCCGAACAAGGGCTTCCCTGACCCCGTGTACGCCCCTGTCCCGCCGCGCATCTGCTCAATGCCCTTGGCGAACAGGGTGCAAGTTAGGTGGGCTCGTGAAACATCGATGTCCGAGAAATAGGAAGAGTTCGTCTTGTGGATGTTGAAGTCGATCTCCATAAGTTGCGCCGTCGAGGTTGTGATAATGGGCTGGAAAATGTGGGCAGAACTCAGAGGTATTGGCGACCTTTGCGTCCGCAAGGTGAAGCGAAAGGCGTTCAGAATCCGCATCTTAATCGTCGGGTTAGTACCGCTGTCTTGAGATAGGGAAGTTAGAATCAGAGCAACTTACATGCCACATAAAGGGCAAGTTCTTCAAGTTGAAGACGACAAAAACGCACAGGAGCGTAAACCAGAGCGTCGACCATGTCAAATGAGGGTAGACGAAGTTGGTGATGGAGGGCATGGGCGACTGAAGCCTAGCGAGGGCGCCATGATGGTCTCCCGGCTCCAGCTCGAAGGCCGGCCCACGACTCTGGTTGATAGAGCCTAGGATGTATGTGGCCGCCATCTTCAAAGGCTTCGAGGATGAGGAAGCCTTTGGAAAATGCTGATGCCCGTAGTTATGATTTGGAACGGGTTTAGGGAGGGGAGATTTCGCTACTACGGTTTAATAAGAGATGTCTGCGGCATACGGAACGGTCCCCATCCACAGCATTCTTGCACATGTATCTCACAGCGTCAAAATAAAAAGGTGAAATTAAGGCCCTGCTAGCAGGGGATTTAGTGTTTACCAGCTGGCCCTGCCCATGCGATAGCGGGTGACAGTAAGATGAGACACTGTGAAGCCTCGATCGGCAGCCAGCCTAAAATCACCGAGAGACCAAGCTCCGGCGCCCCCGACACGTACTTGGTGGTACACCGAGCAGCTCTCGAGATGCCAGGTCGAACATGGCTGTGATCAGCTTGGTCAGAAGTCTTTGTAAGTTCTCCCGAAAACGTCAACCCAGAAAAGCAAGGACCGAGCAGGCTCCAAACAGGATGGATTTCTCCCAGAGCTATCGAGGATAGTATTACCAATTTTCCTGGGTCAAGTAAGCCATTCCCTCTATTCTGGGAGAGGGAGGGCCAGCGAGCGACAGGGGCGAGCGAATAGGATGGCATTGTGACCGACCAAGGGAGTGATTGGGACGGGCCTGTTGTGGGTTACTGGCGCATTGTATCCAATAATCGGCCGGACGGGTCTCGGGAAGAGAACCAGAGGAGTATTCTTAAGAAGTAGTCTCCGTTCGTCTGCTAAATAACCTCTTCCGAAGATTAGGGTCGCTTAACTCTGCTCTCCCTCCCAGTTAACACCCTCTCACCCCCTCACCCCCCCGGCTGTTCCATCGATGCACTATTGTCCTCACATGTCCCCAAGGAGGCGTATGAAACGGGACTCATCCATGGAGCTCGAGAACCCAAGTCTGGCGAAGGGTTACACTGCTTCCCGTATCGATGTGGTAATGACATCGGAAGGATATCTAGGCTCTGCAGTGGTGTAACGGGATGCAGAGAGCCCTGTCTACAGTGGCGCCTCCCGGACGGGCGGGGCCTTTCGATATGCCGTTTTCACCTCACACACCCGCCTCATTCGGCGCATAGAACAAAGGCCGCATATCAGCCGAATTACTGCGCCTCTGGCTTGCGGGCTAAAGTCCGCGAAATCGCAGGTTGCGGCTTGGCGCAAAGCGGGAGGGGCAATATAGATGCTAATAGGCGCGTCTACGAAACACGAGGCCTTATCCCCGAAAACGGCGTCCGGGCCATACGAATCCGAAGTTAGGCGGGCAGTTCGTTCAGACGATATGAAGGAAACGTAGGCAGGCTTAACAACTCACAGACGCTATGACGATATGGGATCGTGATAGTTGATGAATGGTGGAAGAGAGGAGCTAGGGGAGTTCGACTTCAGCAAGGATTCATATAGCTAGGTAATAGATTCATGCATCTAGGGTACCATCGATCGATCTCGGCCAAGCAGACGGAGACCGAAAGTGATAGTTCACGCTGCACACTAGGGCTGACCAGGATCTCCGGGAGCTGGGTACAGCCGGGAGGGATTTAGGTACGCATGATTGGTCTAGTCAGTACCGTCCGCCACGGGGTGGATCTGGAGAGGATCGACATCAGAAAAGGAAAGTAGATCGCTTGGCTTTGTCTGGTATGGTGTTGAGGATCTCGAGCTTGTGAAAGAGGCTGAAAGTCTCTAGCGTGGCAGATGGGTAAGTAGATACATACAGGGGGGGCATCCCCCTGTTAGGGTGAGGTACCTATCTTCTACCCTTTGGACCGAATCCTGCTGTCCTGCTCGTACAATGCATTCAGTCGTGTTGCCACTGGGTGCCTAACAAGACTATTGAAAGAAGCAAAGACGACATTGTTCCATACCGTACAGACCTGTATCGGTACTGTACTGAATGGACGTGAGTGTGGACGAAAGAGGCGCCGGGTAGTCCTACGCCGGCTTCACGTAGCAGGGGTCGAGACGCATCGGCCCCATGGAGAGTGGTGTTGCAGGCAGCAGTATCGACATCTGGGCTCATGCTGGAGTAGGGAGGACAACGCAGGGGCAACACGACTGATAGGTACGAAAGCCACGATGAGGAGCGGGGTGACACTGAGACGACGCCAACACCAATTACTACCTAAACGTATCTGGTGGTTGTGATTACGACAAGTTCAGAACTATGTACAGGAAAACCATTAACGTGATCAAAACCGTCGTCTGGGCCCAACGCCACATATGCATCGCAAATTGCTATCATTAAAGCATGCACTCAGGGGTGCAGTATGCCGAGTTTCTAGACTGAAAGACCCTCGGTCGACCGCGCGAGGAGCCTGGGACGCGGATGGCACGAGAATCACTTTCTGGACACCAGCGGGCGTTTGATGTGTTCCGCTCCAGTGCAGCTGTCAGCTACTTTAGCGGCGCTCTGCTTCATCGATGAGACCGCGACCTTCTCGTGGCTCTTCTTGTTGGTAACACGCGAAGCAGCCTTGCGGTAGGTAGCGATGTAGAACATGACAAAGAGCACGAGGTACGAGCTCAAGATCAAGCAACCGCAGATAGCGGCCACGGGCTTCCCAGCGCATCGGCCGACGTGGGGTAGCCAGGGTGCATGGACACTGGCGACGTAGTCCCAAGTTGCAAAGTAGACGAATCCTGGTGTCGACATGTCAGCCTGCGCGTTCGCGAATGTCGTACTGGCCGGTAAGCTTCGAGTTCTTACCAAGATCGAGGATGAACTGGCCGATCTGCATCCGGGTAATCCACTCCTTCCACCAAACCTTGACGCCCCGGGCGCTTTGGAAGTAATACCAGTACATGACCACATGTACGGTCAGATTCAGGGTGATGGGGACCCAAGACACCGACGTATTGCCGACCAGCTGGGTGTAGCATAGGAGGGCGGTGGCCGGGTGGTGATACGTGTGGAGGAACGTGAGAGGCTTCTTCTTCACCATAAGGAAGACGGTGTCAATAAGCTCAACGTATTTCGTGATATAATTAAGCTACGGGGGTTAGTGTTGCCATTGGAGATAGCGTATATCGCGCAAAGGGAGGTGCACGCACATAGTACAGAGTAACAAGCTCGTTCGTCCAACCCTCGGCAGCGCAGATGTTGCGGTAAAGGCCATGCTTCCAGATGCTCGGGGCCAGTTGCTCAATGAAGAGAACCAGGAGACCGCCGCTCAACAACGTCAAGAAGAGGTTATGAGCCTTGAAGAGGCCGTTCAGCTTCAGCGGCTCACGGTTGCGCATGAACTCACGGCCCCCAAAAATTATGACGAGGTATAGGACAATCATGACTGTGGTTTCGCGGAGGGTTGACATCGGAGTGATCCCCTCCTTGAAGCGGAATTCTTCGGCGTGGTAGCCCATGACGGACGTCCAAAGCTTGTCGAATGCCCGCCACGGCGCGATCGGGATCACGCCTGGCAACATGGTGGGAGACAGGATGGTGCCGGTGGACATGGTGAAGAAGGGACTCAAAGTCGGGTGAGAAGGGGAGGTGAGGCAGAAGAAACTGAACTGATCTCTATGGACAAGCAAGGAACTTGGCGGCGCCCAAGGGTATAAAATAGACAGGGTTAGAGTAGGCGGATATTATTATAATAAGGGCTGAGGCAGTCGAAATTACACCGCTTGCACTACAGAGCCAGTCGAAAGCCGCAGAGGAACGAAGAGGTCGAGGGTGAAGTTAGATCGATCGAGAGAATGAAACTCGGCAGTACTCGAGGGTCTGGATTCTGTAATCTTGATATTAGTCTGGGCCAAGAGGTCACCGAACCCGGTCTATAAGAAATTCTCCACACAGGACGAAATTGGTGTAAAACGCCTTCATACTGTTGCTTTTTTCCCTTTTGCTGATCACGGGAAACGCGGGAATTCTCCTAGTCCGAGGCATGAGGGGGGGGATACCCGTACCGGGATACGCGACCCTTGGCTCTCTCCCTAGATACCAAAGACGGCCCCCATCCCAGGGCGCGATAGCAATTGCCGGTACGAGACTCTACTACGTAGTATATGTTATTGTCTCACTCCAGATGGCATGCTTAATCATCCTCGATCATCCCGAGCAATGTCTGAATACACACGATGCCCCTGATCCTTGCTTATTCTCCTTCGACAACCAATAAGATTCCCGTCCCCCGTCCGAGTGGCTCGCAGTACTTTGAAGGCAATTCATTCACTAGTCTGTCTAGTTCTATGTAATACTTGCCATCCTTGCTTCTCGGGCCGGTAGGTGGGCAGACGAGCGGTGGCTCTCTTTGTCTAAACGCCGAAACATTGCTCAGACCCCATCACTGTGACGGTGAGGCTTGATGGCAACGGAGCCTACCATTTGAGAACCCTTTTCTGTTACCCTGCTCTATTTATTATGATGGCGCGGAGCGGTCTGGAAGGGCTGCCAGCGTCTCTTCGTATTGGATTTCAGCTAGCTCGGAATTATCTATACGGCGAGGGTTGTGCAGAAGGCCAGGGAGGAACCAATCCCCAATATTCCCTGATGATAACGGGTAAGGTAGACGTCCCCCTGGTGCCCCTGGCGTGATCTGGCTTAGACAGCAGGGTTGTCGTCGGCTTTCGTAGAGTCGTCGATATCGGGCCGTGGCGAGGCGTAGGTTGATCATCTGTAAGGATTTCTTTCACATGTCAGTCAATCACACCCGGATCTCCGTCCTGATATTGCGACCTAGGTAAACAAAGTTCTGGCTGGTCGTATCGGCACCTTTACGCCTCTAAGGCCTCTCCCGGGGGGCTCGACTTTGCGACGTGGCCTCGATCCCGGTACCCAGTCAGTAGCGCACCTGGGGAGAGTCCTCCGGTCTCCCCCTGGGGATAATAGGTGGACCCTCCCGACATGTTATGTTTATATGTATGCGCTGTCTTACGTGTTGCCTGCCACACGGCCTCATCGCATATTTGGGTGTATATTTATTCTCTCATGTATATAACAACACACACGCCGATCGTATTAATCTCTGGAACTGAGCGAGTACTCCTAGAGACTATACTCTCTCCTGAGACTTCTCCCTCGACGTTCCATCTCATATACCTCCTCCTCTCCGAGTGTTCGGGCTCGTTCTCCTTCAGGTGGCTCGAACGAAAACTCTTGTCGCCATTGTCCTCCTCCCAATCATGTCCAAAGTTACTGCCGCACCTGTCCTGGCGGCTACGGCGCTCGGCTCATTCGCTTGGGCACGCCATGCTGAATTACCAGTTATACCAACTATCGCGACATCGTTAGCCGTTGTGATCCCCTTATACGCCGTTGTTTGGCTCAGCTGGATATTTCCCTTCTATGTTTCCGAGTTGAGACACGTCCCAACGGTGCCTGGCTTCCCTCTATGGGGCCAGTTTGTCGACATTATTACAGAAGAATGCGGTGTCCCTCAACGACGATGGCACAAAGAACACGGCCCCATCATCAGATACTTCTTCCCCTTTGGGGCTGAGCGTCTATCTATTGCAGACGACGAAGCCCTCAAGCAGATGACTGTGAAGAACCCGTACAATTACCCCAAGCCTGTACGAGCCAAGCTCTGGATGGTCCGAATCCTAGGCGAAGGCGTGCTGCTGGCAGAAGGTCCGGAACACGTACATCAGCGCAAGTCTCTCGCTCCAGGGTTTTCTATTCAATCCATTCGGGCACTCACTCCTGTATTCTGGGAGAAGTCTCTCCTCCTCGCCAAGTGTTGGCGACAGGAGATGACCGCCGAAAGAGTGTCGACGAAGTCTTTCGAAGTTCTGGAGTGGCTGAACCGCACGACGCTCGACATCATTGGGAGCGCCGGGTTTGGCTACGACATCAACTCCTTGGAAAATCCCGGAACACCCATCCGTGAGGCTTACCGCCTAGTCTTCGCCTTCGACCTGAGTTCACGAATTATGCACGGGCTCCAGGCATTCATTCCCGCCTCCAAGTACATACCTTCCAAGATGAATAACGACGTCCGAGTCTCCAGGGAGATTATCCTGAATAAGGCAACCCAGATCATCAGGGAAAAGCAGGAGCAAGCCGAACAAAACACCACTGCCAAAGACATTCTGGCTCTAATCGCTCGCGACAACAAGAAGCTCCAAGCCAAGGGAGAAGCTGGCCTCTCGTTCGAAACCATGCGCGATCAGGTGATGACCTTCTTGGGAGCCGGCCACGACACGACGGCGACGGGCGTCGCGTGGACGATCCATCTGCTGTCCACCCACCCCGAGATCCAGTCCCGGCTCCGAGAGGAAATCAAAGACCACATGCCCTTCCTCTTCAACCAACGCACACGCCTCGACCCCGAGCGCATCGCCTCGGCGGATGCGGACCAGCTACCGTTCCTCGACAACGTGTGCCGCGAGTCGCTGCGCTTCATCCCGCCGATCCCCATGACCGTGCGGCAGGCGGTCGCAGACGATTATCTGGGGCCGTACAAGGTACCGGCGGGCACGGTCGTGTACATCCTCGCTAACGTCATCAACCGACTTCCGATGTACTGGGGCCCGACGGTCGACGAGTTCGACCCAGACCGGTGGGATAACCTGCCTGCGACATTTACGGCCAACGCGTTCATGACCTTCCTCCAAGGCCCGCGCGGCTGCATCGGCCGCAAGTTCGCCGAGACCGAGATGAAGGTCCTGCTCTGCTGCCTCCTCAGCATGTACGAGTTCAAGCGCGACCCCAACACCCCTAACCCCGAGGATTGGAAGATGTGGCGCCTTGTGCTGCGGCCGAAGGACGGCGTCACCGTCAAGGCTACAGCTATCTGAGATTCGGGACGGGCACGCGATGATTTCATTTATTACCCACTACTCACTGTACCCCTAATCTACGAATATACGTGTCTATATAATGGCGTCGAGAGCCAACAACGCCGTTGATGGGAAGAAGCTATATTAATATGTAGCATTTTATGCTACCAGGTGCTCTTTACTCCCTCCTCATCCCATAACGCATAAAATAGGGCGAAACTGAGTATCCACCCATTCGTACCGAGATATGATCGTCCCATGTCTTCCTAGCCTATGTATACTTTCGCCATATTACCGTGTGATATTATTCTGAAAACGAGACAGTGCTGTCGTAGATATCCAGGTAATGATATTCTTGTTGGGCCTCCCCCGGGGCCCTAAGTTAAGCCTGTCTCAGCCGTTCAGCGATCTTGGCCGAACCTGTAGATGTAATTACACCCGGCTTTGGAATTACGCAAACTTTCCCCTAGCACGGAGGGATGAGAGTCGATAGTAGTGACACACCCAATCCAAATCTCCTGATTACGAGTTACAATCTAGATATACTGAACTATATACATGAATATGGGTGTTTGAATCCCTGTGAAAATAATACCAAAGAAGTAGAGCGCACCAACAGGCTAAAAGCGGGGGAGAGGTAATGGGGGAGATAATAGAGTAGTAGACGTAAGTAGGTAGCTGTGGGAGGGTCATCAACTGGTCTGATCGACCTTAGAGTGCACGGTGATGGGATCACAGACCGATGCGCCGATGCCCAGGCAATTGTTTTTGTTTGGCACGGAGACTTCTGGTGACACCTTTGGCTCTGCATCGACCAGTTTGTGAGCGTGCTTCTTGTCGTCATGCTCCTTGTCACCATGCTTCTCCTCTTCGATCTTCTTCTCGGCTGTGGGGTAAGACTTGAGATCCTTGTCTTGGGCCTTCTTTTCTGTGGTTGGGTAGGTCTTGGGGTCCTTGTCGTCCGCCTTCTGCTCCGACGCGGGATAGCTCCCAGTCGTCGCCTTATCTGCTGCCTTTTCGAATGTTGGGTAGTTATCGGTCTTTTTGCTGCCGGACTTCGTGGGGTAGCTGTTATCTTTCTTGTCGTCGACCTTCTCTTGAACTGGATAGCTCTTATCCTTGTTTTCGGCCTTTGGCTCCGAACTAGGATAAGTCTTCTTGTTATCTCCCTTCTTGTGCTCCTTAGGTTCTGTCGTCGGATATTTGTTCTCATCCTTGGTGCCAGAGCCAGGGTCTGAGGTTGGATAGTGGCTCTCCTTCTCTTCCTTCTTCTCCTCGTCTTTCTTCTCGGGCTCCTCTGCCTTCTCCTTAGGCTCCTCTGCCTTCTTCTCGCCACCGTCGTGGGTGACAGTCTGGGTGATTTCTGACCCGACGGTAATAGGATCGCACGCGCTAATTCCGATACCCAAGCAGCTGTTGTCATTGTTGAGGTTGAGATTTGTCTTGACATCAGGGCTCAGCTTGAGTATCTGGTTGTTGTCCGACGTGCTGTTATCAGGTGTGTTCACCTCAACGTCCCCGGCCTCGGGTTGGGGGGCATTTCCTGTCACTGTCATATTCTTTTTAGAATCGACAGTGATGGGGTCACACACAGAGATGCCTATCCCGAAACACGAGTTGGCATTTTCAAGGCCTAACCCGAGGTCGATATTCGGGCTGACGTCGATAGCCTGCCGCCTCTCTGCCGAGAAGGTCGGCAGGCCGTCGGCGGCGCCGAAGAAAGAGAGAATAAAGTATGTGGCGACGTGCATTTTGCAGGTTGCGGTCCGGCTCTGGCAACGGTCTGTAGGTCTTCCCTGGAGAGAGGTTGTTCAAAGGCGTTCGTTTCTGAAATGAAAACGGCGAGGGGACCTAGAGGCGGTAGCTTGGCCTGCAATCATGATGAATGGACTCCGTAGATGTTCAGTGATCGGCGCCTCCTTACTAGTTATATTCTCGTGAAAATTCAGCTACTATAACGCGTATCAGGAACCATCGCTACCAACAGTGGCTTATTTTTTTTTGCTCTATTTTGATCTCTAATTACCTACGCATTCTCCTCCCTAAGCCCGGGAACGCTATCAGGGAACGGCCTCGTTCCTGCGTCTAATATCGAGTTACCATCGTCTCCCCCTTACACAGTCTCACTTCTTCCCGAATAGGCAAGATTGTTTACAGGGGGACCCTGTTTCCCCCCCGGCCCTCCACGTTCTCCGGGATGCTCCAGGCCCTTGGGTCCTTGGCGATGGACCAGGGTGAGCTTGCTGTGAGCTCGGCCTGTCGTATCATTCCTGCAGTAAATATTAGACAAGCCTCCAATACTCTGCGCCGAAGACCTGCCCGTCCAAAAGCCGCCCACGCGAGGCCAGGGTAATTATTGAGTAAGACGTCGATGACGATCCTCATGTCCCAACGTAGGGAGATACCTACCTACCTACATGAAGTATCCGATACCCAGAACTGACAACGGCCGAGACGAGCTCAATATTGGCCTGGGGTCATGAGAAGTCGCAACAGGGCCCTGATTAGAGCCTGCTCGAACGCCCTTGGAGCCGGATACCTTTTTCTCTTCTCTATCAGCTCTTAGGGTGGCATAGGGGGCAAGCCATGGCCGGCACGCAATCAGGGGGACGGAAAGACTGGAATGCAACTTTCGGCATTTTCAAAGCCGGGTAGTATAGCGCGCTTACTAACAATAGACCGGCTCAAACGGCATAATGAGACGAGAGGTTAAGAGAAAAAGATCTGAGAGGCTGCAGAGAGAAGGATGCTGTTGAGAGTCTTGTTCCTGTCCTGTTGCCGCCAACTCGCCTCCCATCACCAGTCTACATCCCTTGCAGTCCCAACAAACCCCTATCAACATGCTGCAATACGCAAGCAGCGCGATAATCCTACTGGTGCTCTTTGTCGCCTGGACATTTGCCAAGTCCAAGTTGCGGAAGCGGCGTAATAATGCTAAGGCCGCTGCGTTGGGATGTCTTCCGCCGCCAGTGCTACGCAGCACGAACCTCATCGGAAACTCCGTCCTCCGGGACTCGATGAAGGCGACCAAGGAAGACCGCGGGCCGCAGTATGTAGTCGACAAGATGAATAGCCTCTCGCTCAGTTGCCATACCCTGAGAGCGCCTATCATCGACTACGAGATCATAGTCACGCGCGACCCGGAGAACGCCCGCGCGCTGTTCACGAGCCCCGACTTTGATATCAGTCACATCCGCCAGCTCAGCTGGATGCCCCTTCTCGGCAAGGGCATCTTCACCAGCACCGGCGATATATGGAAGCACAGTCGCGCCCTCCTGCGCCCTCAGTTCTCCCGCGAGATGATCAGCGATTCCGAGCTTGAGGAGCATCACCTCCAGAACCTCTGGAGTCGGCTGACCGTAGACGCCGAGAGTGGGTGGACGAGCAAGGTGGACCTCGCTCCGCTCTTCTTCCGATTCACCCTCGACACAGCGACCGAGTTCATCTTCGGCCAGTCTGCCAACTCGCTCCAACAAAACGAGCGACAGCCCCATAGCAAGCACGGTAACAAGTCAGGGGACCTCGCCCAGCACTTCAACGCTGCCAAGGTCTGGATAGACCAGCGTGGCGCGCTGGCCAAGTTCTACTGGCTTATGAACAGCAAGGAGTTCAAGGAGCACTGCGCGGCGATCCACGCCTTCGCCGACGGGATCGTCGCGGACCGGCTGGCGCGGGCGCCCGTCGAGAAGTCGCTCGACCCCGAGCAGGGCGGCCGGTTCAACCTGCTCAACGAGCTAGCGAAAGAGACGCAGGACCCGCGCGAGCTGCGCAACGAGACGCTGCACGTGCTGATCGCGGGGCGCGACACGACGGGCTGCCTGCTCGGGTGGGTGGTCTACTTCCTGGCGCGACACCCCAAGGCGTACGCGCGGCTGCGCGCCGCCGTGCTTGAGCAGTTCGGCGAGTGCCCGCCCGCCGATATCCGTGCGCTCTCCCAGGTGCCCTACCTGCAGTGGGTCATCAGCGAGTCCCTACGCGTCGCCACCGTGATCCCGCTCAACGAGCGCATTGCGCTGCGCGACACGGTGCTACCGCGTGGTGGTGGGTCCGATGGCCGTTCCCGCGTCTTCGTTCCCAAGGGCACGCAGGTCCTGATTGCGTTATACGCCATGCAGCATCGTCCCGACATATGGGGTCCGGACGTCGAGGTGTTCCGGCCTGAGAGATGGGAGACGCACCGCCCGGGTTGGGAGTTCATTCCCTTTGGCGCTGGCGCCCGCAAGTGTCTCGGTCGTAAGTCGCGCTCTCCCCCTTTCCCCTTTTTAACTTCCCCCTGCTGCCCTTGCGCGTATGGCCATGCGTATCCTGACCTCCCTCTCCATCCAGAACAATTTGGGCGGCAGGAAGTTAGCTACGTTATCGCACGGTTCTGTCAAAAGTACGACCGCATCGAGAACATGGAGGAGGGTGATGGCGAGATTCGCTTACACCATGCCATCGAGAACCGTTCAGGCACTGGCGTTCAGGTCCGGCTCCATGAGGTGAAGCCCTCCACGTGAAGCTGTCATTGGTGTTTCAGCAAGTCTGCTTCCTCCTCCTAGCTCCTGTATTTATCTTGTTTCTTGTTATATAATTCCTAATATCGGGACTACAAGTAAAATAGACCAATGAAATATCGATATGGCATTGTGTTTGGATTGAGAGTTGTAGTTGGGAGTACACTGGTTGACGTCGTCGTGCTTTCAACCTTTTTTAACTACCAATCTCACCCTCAAGCATTCTCAACCCATGGTTATCACTCACGATCAGCACTGTAAAACAGCATTCTATTACCAATATTCTCACCCGAGACGTGATACCAGTGTTTCTCTAGTCCGAGAGTATCTCCGCTTCTCTTATGGTGCTATGTTGATATCGAACGAACACTGAGCCTTTTCGCACATCTATTCCGTTGATCACTCGAGAGGAATTTTCACATACTCTCCTTCCCGTAGCACGGATCACCAAAAGACTAGGTGTAACTTGCCCCCAGCTTAGTTGCCTACCACAAGGGGTCTTAAGCTCACAGAAGCAAAGACAGGATGACTCGTCGAGCCTCGCCACGAGCCCCGTTTTGTCACCACCAAGAATCCTACGACTCGCCCACCCGCCCAGCGTAGTTTGCCACTCTACTTAGAAGCTATGATGCCTCTTTACGTGAGCAGAGGGTGAAGTCGTGCAGGCCACTGAGGTCTTTTCCCAACGAGGCCAGGCGCGAACGATGACGCTGTTTGTTCAGCTGGTTTACGCTTCTCCTAGCGAACAAAGTCGTACTAACATAATCGACAGCGGCGATATGCATTCATACACGGCCATTAGATCGACCTGGATCATGATGGGCGTGGATTTCATACGCTAGCCCCTACAACAGGAACCCATGGAATCGTAGGGGCCTATGGCAAGCGCCATTCGCTCGCCGCCCCGCAAAGCATGTAGCTTGAGCCCGTAGAAGCTCTACCCCCCTAGCGCTAGCCAGCTGAAGGTGCCAAGGTCCTGTCGTCGATATATGTCTTGGAAAGTAAAATCATTCCCGCCCATAATACGAGAGGGTGGCGCCGACACACCTCGGAGGTCTTCAACCAGACAGGGGTGTTGGACACACCATCACGACAGAGTGCCGCTGTTCCTTTGTTTACTCTCTCGCACGCTAGTGGTATGTGGCTTGAGCCTAGAGCTTTCACAGCCTGCCGGTGACTTCAGATCCGGAATGGACAACAGAAGATCGAATATCTGGTCTACCTAATACGTTAACTCTCCCTATTTTCTAGATTGGTGTTACAAAGGCACCCCCGAAGACGGGAGTAGTCAGTCGCGACATGTATAGGATGGAAAGGTGTCGTGACAGTGGCGAAGGCGGGCGGCGCAGATTCAACCGAGGAGGATGAATAGACGAACATCCTTCACATAGGAACATCCTTGACCTCGGATCTGGTACGCACTATGAATGTAGACAGGCCGCGCCGCTATTAATAGTGCAGGCAAGAGGTAGGATAGCTTGGGTGATATGGCGGGAAACCCGTCCAATGCTCCCAGCGGCGAGTGGCCAGTCGCACCGGATATTATAACTTGCGAATGTAAGCCACCGCAGGAGTGCGCCATGTAATGTCAGCGCCCGACGGACACGTAGGTAGAGCATAACCAGCAGGGAGTACAGAGCATCGCTTATTTGCCGACATGTAAATACACACACATACTTACCAAGCAAGGGAGACACCGACTTGGTAATCACCTTGGAGATCAAGGGGCACCCGGCATTTCCATCGGGAGGTAGATCTGAAGATCCCGATGAGGCTTCAACGATGCCCAGTATCACGACGCTGGGAACGGAACCGCCCTGCGGTGTTATTGTTGCACAACAAGCAAGACCTAGCCGACTTGTCAGGTTACGTGAACACGGCTAAGGCTGTTTACACACTACAGCCTCCATAGCAACCGTGTTTATTCCATATCATCATCCATCTCAAACAGAAGTATTCCCCTTCGGACTATTCAACATTGGTAGGATCGACACGGCGGTACATACCCGGGAGGCCAACCCTAGCACACCATGTGAGTCAAGCCTTGGAACTGTCTCCGAGGAGATAATCCTGCTTCGAATCGGGCAGGGTAGCGCGAGACACAAAGTCCGACGCCATAGGCGAAGAGGAGGCAAACCAGACGCCACAGGTCTCTTTGTATTACGGGCCATTCACGAGGGATATACTTATAAAAGAGCTTTTCCTCTCCCATATCTAAAGCCAAGTCATCGTATCTGTCTACTCTGAAATGCAACAGCCGCAAGATACCGATACTCTCCGTCGTTAAATCAGTCACCATGCACTTCGTTACAAACTCGCTCTTCATGGCTTCCGTGGCCATGGCCCACGTCGCTCAACAAGCGCCACGCGACCCTATGATCACGCCCGCACCCGTGCTCAGGGAGCGTCAATCCTGGCAAGACGACGTCTCTGAGGCACTCGCGGGGGCCAGCGCAGCGCAAGCAGCCGCTGGCTCCGCCGCCGATCGAGGTGATTGGCAACCAGCGCGAAACTCGGCGCTAGCTATCGCCAACTCGGCCCAGGCCGCCGCCAGCGCTGTTGCCGCCAACCATGCCGGGAAGCGCGAGCTGGAGCCGCGCCAGTGGTGGAAGAGCATTCAAAACGCCGGCGAAGCGGTCGGTAGCGAGGCGGCTGCCCTCGGCAACAGTATCGCCCGGCAGTTCGACCCCCGTCAGGACTGGCGCTCTGATGTTGACTCGGCCAGGAGCCTGGCCAGTTCGTGGGCCAATGCCGGGTCTTCGATCGCGAACTCATGGGAGTCGGCCGGATCCAGTATTGCCAATTCGTGGGAGTCGTACGCATCCAGCGTCGCCGACTCGGCAAGAAGCTACGCTTCGGACGTAGTGTCGTCCGCTGTGGGCAGCGCAGAGTCTGCCGCCGCCACCGCCGGCCAAGCTGCCGTATCCTCTGCCAGCGCGGCTGTCGCCAGCGCCGAGAGCGTGGCCTCTACCGCTACCGGCAGCGACCGGGCAGCGGCCTCATCCGCTGTCCAGAGCGCCCACTCCGTTGCGTCTTCCGCTGCGGCGGCCGCGACGGCGTCGTCAACTCAAGCCTATGCTTCCGCGACCTCTTCGCCTACCGTCAACGCCGCCCCCGGTCCGTTCCAGCTGTCGTCTGCGTTGGTGAGCACTAGCGTCGCCGCTGTTGCTGTCCTAGTCGGCGCCATCATGCTGTAGATTGGCAGCCTGTCACTCGAGATCAACACACAAGACAACGGAAGGACATTTGCACCATTATATAATTCTAGGAGAACCTGTTAGGGATTAGGGCAACATGGACAGGTTTAGATAAACCGGGACAAGACATGGGTTATAGACACGATAGTATGATCATAATGAATTTGGCACAATTTTCCCCGTGCCTACTCTCTAGTCTCTCTCCGTGCTACTAGTCGCGCATCTCGCCGCATATTTGCCCTCGTACTTGCCGAACTTCGTCTCATTGACGATGACCGTATGGTCGCCTCTGTAAATATCCCGGGGAGTTCGACTCTCTTCACTCTTCCCGCCGTAAGACTTGTGGTAGCTACCTACTTATGTAAAATCTAGTGAGGCGCTGCTGGCGTCAGGGCTGGTTCTCCCCAGGCTAGGTAGCACACCCCCATATACCTACACGTACGTAGGGAGAGCAAAACGAGGATGAAGACGCTTAGGATCGTGGCCAGCCGCCAGGGATAAGGGGAGATGGTGTGAACAAGGGGGAGATGCCTGTGGAGTGAAGGGATACCCTGCTATGTACACCTGCGTATAACGCAGAGGTACCTGTACCTGCATCCAATGTACCTATACGTGTTATGCACAAACACAGCTAGGTCACAATGCTATCCCGTATGCATGTATGTTATACCTGTGCATAAATACGGGCTTGGCTGGTCCCCTTTTACGCGAACCGGGCGCGCTACAGGTCTGCAGCGGATCCTTCACCGTGTTCCATTGCGCGACCCGGACGCGACGGGTCGCGCTCCCTCCCCGGTCCCTCGCAATCAGATATGTAATACTCCGTCACAAAGCCTGATGTGTATTCTTAAGTCGGGGATTTCTCGAGAAATACGAAATACCTCCCACGCTACCATTCCATTCTCGTTCCACATTTGCCAATGGCAGCCTTTTCCTTTTCCCTCACCACATCTCCCATCTCGTCCTATCGCCTCGTAGACAATTTACTTCGTCACCATCCTCGTGAAGCCTACAGCCCAGGGTCCTAGAAGGCCATAGGTATATTAAAAAGAAGAAAACAAGTAGCCCCGGAACGGGCCCCAAGATGATCCTCAAGCGCAAGCGGTCCGAGTCGGAACTCTCTTCCTCCAGCATCTTCAACTCACCACCCTTACCGGTCCGGTTCACCATGATGGACATCCAGAACACATCCCCGCCCCGCTTCGTGGCAAGGTGCGCTACGCCGTCACACCTTCACAGCCGCACCATGAAGCGGTTCCGGGACGGCCGGCCCTCGGATGACGAAGTCCATCGTAAGTTCTACCACGAGTGGCGGGCCGTGTCGCTGCCCGCTGCGCGCCTCGCTCGAACAGCTTCTCACGCGAATCCCTCCCAGAACGCACCTTGAACATGCTCTACACGGCCCAGAGGCAGCACATCGCGCAAGACCAGCACCAGCACCACCTCCAACTCGGCATCTTCGGCACGCTACCCCAGCCTCAGTCTGTGACGGCTTCGCCCCACCCGCACGGAGCCCACCAGGCGTCGCTGCATAGCTTCTGGGACCTGCCCAACGCGGCGGCCGTCTCGCTCGCCCCTCCTATCGGCTGCTCGATGTACGACGGGCCCGCCGACTGCGAGGACTGCGGGCAGGCGCTGCACGGAAACGCGGGCGACGGCAGCAGCGACGCGATGATGGCGGGCGACGGGTTCGGCCTCGGTCTCGACCCCGAGGCCGCGACGGGCTGCGTTGCCTGCCACAAGCACGTCTGCTCGCACTGCTCGATCACGAATCTGGGCGGAGAGCTGAGGTGTCTGACGTGCGCCGGCAAGAAGGTCGCCACCGCCGCCACCGCCGGTAGTAACGCCTTCGGTTGGGCCGGTGGTGTCTTCGGCGTCCGAACCTGAGTGTTGAGATTCCGCTAGTAAGATGGGACTCGTAGGATGATATTTCGCCTGCTTAGAGAGGGGGCAGATGGCATTCTAGCACGTATGGCCGACTGCATTGCATAAGCGCCGGAGTTATAGGTGAACAATCGTTAATTAGCTGTAGGACCAACATGTATCCAGGTATACCAATGGGGCGACTGTGGTGTTTGGTGTATATCCACGAGTGCTCGATAGAGGACAGCTCGATTCTATAATACCCCCGACAGTCCTTAACCATGACCTGAATTTGGATTGCAAGGAGTATGCAGTAAGGAGTGATATCATAACGCTAGTTTCGAGTTCCTTACCGCGTACAACTCGCCGTAATGCTCCTAGGGTCAGCGTCGCACTGTCCATACAAGCCACATCATCGTATCTTTGAGCACGACCGTGGATCTGCCCCGAACCAAGCCTTCAGGCAGTCTATTTTAATCACTCGTTATTGCTGGCACCCTTCCATTCTTCAACATGGCAGAGCCTACAGATCAGCTACTGGATGAGGACGGGAGAGTAGGAGTAGGGGTCAATGGGGGGACAGGAAACCTCCCTGAGCTAGGGCTCCACCTCATTCACTAACACGGGGAACATGCATAAACCGTCCCCTTGACTTCATCCAACGTTAGAGTAACTGGGTCTCGTCTGGAAGAGCCAATACGCTCACCTGCGAGGCTAGGTGTAATAGAATATAACGTTCTGACACTAAAAGACAACCCGCTAGACCACCATTTAACCCAATCAGTTATCTGTAGCATGCTACTCCTGGTGGGCTCTGTACCAACTTCAAAGTAGAGCCTCAACGTGGACTTTGAGAGTATGGGAAGGTCTATGTAGCATTACAAGCCACCTGTCAATGTCTCTCCGGAGAGATTCGCTAGAGTACCTCGCTTGAAAGAGTGTTAAGACCTTCCTTTGCTTGTCCCGGCTACGGGAGATATGCGCTCTTATCTAGGTATGTAGTAAGACTTCATTCGTATTGTCAGTACCCTAACGATATCCTCTCTATCATGGAGGTATTAATGTCCCAGCCATGGAGTCCCTCCCGCCTCTCGCGAGCCTCTCAGGAGCATCTAACTTTAGTAAGATCTAACTTTAATAAGATCTATACTAAGATTGATGATAGGCCGCTGCGTTACGGTAAGGTGCGGATTAAAAATGCCAAACCGTTGGTTTTACGTAACAGGCGTCTTCAAGCGGAGTCTAAGGGAGGTTGATGAATATCTCTAATTTATCTGTCTAACGAAGGATATATAATATAGACGCCTCTACGAATGGTCTTCTTATCTAATGACGATTCGGCATACCCGTGAGGTTTGCTCGCAAAGTCATGCTTAATAACAATTTACTCGCTAGTGTAGTGCAACTGATAAACTATTTAACCACACGACATACTCCGCTTTGAATAGGAGGTAGATGAAGTTGCTATACGAGCGTAGTTAGACCCGTGAGCTCCCTTTATGGACTTTTCAATAATACTAAACTGCCTCAGTTGACAGGCCTGTCTTAACAGAACAATATCATATTTCAATGTACCGGCATCCTCTCCTCTGTTAGACTTTGTTAAACACTATTAACCATCGCCGAGCGAGCGTTGGTTGGAGCGACATATCTTTTAACGGTTCGAACAGACTACCATCTCTAGTTAATGCCTTCACCTATCCCACCCTTAGTCCTGGTGATAAAGTGTCATATATTCCGTTGGGGTCATCATGCTCGTTTCTCTTGCAGGAAAACCTATATTATAGATGGGCCGCCGTGGTGATCGGGTAAGTGCGGCCCTACTTGGGAGGTCGGTCTTGATCAGAAAGCAAACCAGCAACAAACCATTAACATAGAGCAGAACTCTACATAGTGAAGGTCTGGACAGAAATCACCCATGCCATCGACCACAGCACGCCCGTCTTAGCCTTCGTAGAAAGCATGTCATGCTATACTTAAAACGGAGGATCATGTGTTGTTATTAGAGGTCGTAGTCTTCTTGCTAACCTCATGGCAGGTGGCATATGCCACTATGATGCCGGTATCCGGATGCCGTAGGCTCGATCTACAGATATCCACACAAACCAGTTACGAGTCTAAAGCGGAAGCTTCTTTAAGGTAATCTCGTATCTCGCATTCGCATTGAATACTTCGCTTCCTGGACGGGCAATTAGAATCTAGCCATGGTGGACATGCCTCTATAAATGGGTAACACCGTGGAAGCGAGAGTTCCGTTTGGGTAGGTAACTTACTGGACCGCACCCCGAATTGCGTCATATGCGCCTATCAAACACGGGGAAGACGCCTTCCGAAGCTCAACTGTCTTATCTATCTGGCCGCCGGACCAGCGCCCTTTGCCTGCCCTGCCTGTACCTGTACCTATCGTTAACAGCTTAGGGAATGCACGAGGTTATGCACTTATGCGTAACAGGCCGGACAGGTGCACACGCAACAAGGTACCTCCTGTCCGCTCTGGCTACATCCTAGTAAGAACAAGCTCGCGCGACGCGGGGCAGCGGGGTAGGTCGATATTCCCATCTTACTACCTGCCCATACTCGACATCCAAGCTCTCCCTCCTCCGCTTTCAACCGCTCGACCGAATCCATCGGGTGCCGCTCTCATACCACACCCTGCGCATTATCCCCTCCAGGACACCGAGGCATCTGGGAGGTGCGGAGCGTCAACTATGACGCTCAAGGGGACTCGTGAGGCTAGCCACGCGTTCAGCTGGTACGATGGCGACGCTGCTTCCCTGTCTAGCCAGCTAGACAGCTTCCTGGCCGACGTCCCGAGCTCCATCCACGACAGCAGCCTCCCCATTCCCGGAGCTAAGATCGTGATTGCGCCGTAGGTTTATGACCCCCCCTCTGCTGCGAGAGCAGGTAGTAGGTGGTAGGTAGTGATCTGTTCCTAACGCTGGCCCCCCCCGCCCGAAGACACGCAGGCTACTCGTACTCGGGGCCCTGCGCAGCGTGGGCGTACAAGTCTCTCGACCTGAGCAGAGCTAAGCGTATCTTCGTCCTCGGGCCCTCGCACACCTACTACCTCCTCGGATGCGCCTTGACCAAGTACGCCAAGTACGCGACGCCGTTCGGCGACTTGACCGTCGACGAGGACGTCGCCCAGCAGCTACGCGACACGGGCAAGTTCCAGGACATCCCGAACCGGAGCGACGTCGACGAGCACTCACTGGAGATGCATCTCCCGTATATCTACAAGCGACTTACCCAGACCTTCGCGTCCGAAGCCGAGTACCCGACCATCGTGCCCGTCCTCGTCGGCGACAATAGCGGCGCGCAGGAGAAGGAGTTCGGCGAGGTGCTGGCGCCGTATCTGCAAGACCCGGACAACGCCTTTGTCGTGAGCTCCGACTTCTGCCACTGGGGCACGCGGTTCAGCTACACGGCCTACGCCCCGGGCGGCGACGTCGACCAGATCCATTCTCTGGGCCGGAAGGCGCCTCGGCCTACGAACCCGCCCATTCACGAGAGCATCAAGCAAGTCGACCACCAGGCCATGGACGCCATCGAGACGGGCGACCACGACAAGTTCGTGGACAATCTGAGGCACACGAAGAACACCGTCTGCGGACGGCACCCCATCGGCGTCGTGATGGCCGCTCTCGAGGTGCTGGCGCGGGCGGGGCCGAGCGAGCCCGGCAAGTACCGCTTCAAGTTTGTGCAGTATCAGCGCAGCAGCCTGGTCGAAGACGTCCACGACTCGAGCGTCAGCTACGCGTCGGCGTACGCCATGGTGTAAGGGAGGGGAAGGGCGGCGGCGATCTAGGCCGAGGAATGGTTGGTGATTAGAAGAGCCTACGTACGCTCGGTAGATTCTCAGATTAGACACCCGCCCCGGGATCCAAATCGACGGGGCCTTTTTTGACACAGTATCTCCCCTCATCGAAGGTGATCTAGCGAACTAGACCACCGTTGGAATGCTAGACGCGCCCTTCCCCGCGTAGGATCGACGATGTTTGCGGAGAGGCACGCTGCCCTCGCGCACAGCGGAACTAGGGAGGCCGCAAGACCACTACGCCTCAGGCCCTCCCTCCCATTTGACGCCTCTCATCCGGGGACCCGTCCTAGATCGAGCGTCAGACGCTGGCATTCTAGTGATGTGCCCTGGCCAACCGTGTCCAGCACGGCACTCCTCCGCTTCTCACTGGGGAGGGCGCGTGGGATAGGCGCCGACCGCGGCTCTCTCGTACCTACATGCTAACTGTGCGGGCGCCCAGTCTATGCCAGCTAGTGTGGCTACATGCCATATCCGGCTCGCAGACCCTGGCGGAAGCGCCCAGCTGCGGCGTTCTGCGGGAGAGGCGGTCTGCGATTTTCGCTTCTGCTCTCGCTCTCGCTCTCGCTGTGGCTGCCCGGTATACGAACCGCGCGTAGCAAGCTAAAGCTGGCTGTGCCGGGCTGGGACATGTGCGTCAGCGTTAGCTGCGCTCCTCGCCTCGACGCGGCCATTTTTAGATGTGTGCATATAACTGGTATGGGCGTGTTAGGTGCATCGGGGCGCCCCCTGCAAATCACGTGCCGAACGCAACCTGGTCACGGCCCATTCTCTGCGGGACCCAGGTACCCACGTAAGTAGGTAACATGGCCCTGGCTGACACGCCTCCTTTTTTCACGGCAGAGATGTACCTAAACCCCCCCCCTCCCCCAAAACGGAATTGGACCTGACGGCAATGCAACAGCGAGTTCCCTGGCCTGCACAGGGCACGCAGTCGAGAACCAGGCAACTAGGCAAATTAGCAGTCCAGACGCAGAGGCGCTACCGGACGGGGGAGATTGCTGCGTAGGGGAGCGCGCACTTGGTTCAGGGGGAGAAAAAGGGCTGCCGATCCTGGGACGCCGTCGGCGCACAACGACGACCGGTCCCATTTTCCGTCCTTCGCCTTGGGTCCCGACTCCCACCCTATCCAGACATCAGGTAACTCGAGGCATGGGCATGGTGCAGATGCGGTAAAGAAGCGCGGTGCGTGCCCCCCAAGATCGGACCAGGTTAGGTGGCTGGTTGATAGTGGTAGGCTCTATGAGTATACCTACCTAAGGTATGTTGGGCGTAGTCTGTAATTACTAGTAGGTGCTGGCAGGCCCAGGCGATGGATTTTGGTTGCTCTCAGTCGAACCCTCTGCACTGACCACCGATCAGTGTGTGTGACCTGGTGCGGTATTGGCGTCGCGCTTCCTGCGTGCTCGCGGCGCTTGGGAGCGTTACCTGGCGCTCTGTAACCCGAGCGTGCAAGAGTACCTTGGGCAGTGTAGTGTCGCCTTCTCGTACTATAAATACGTACTAGTTCTTCATCGGGGTTTCACCGTTGGCCATCGGGTTTAGCCAGATCCCGTCGCGGACCTGGAGGGTCCCAGCACCCTGCGTGCCTATTCGCTGTCATCGCCTGTCGCGGGGCAGTACCTTACCAGGGTACGACCCAGCACTCGTCCCACTTCCCACTGCGAAGGGAACCCCCTGTGCCCCCCCCCCTGCCTCGTCCCGACCAGACCCTTTTTCTTGTCGATTTCTTTTTGGATTTTTTCCCTTTCCTTTTGCGCATGGCATCAGCAACCTGGGCTTGTCAGCTTACCGTTAGCGGGTACGATTACGTAGCAGGGAAGGGCGGTACATCGGCCTGTGGCTAGGCGAGGTAGCCCACCGCCCAACCATGAGTTGCCAGGTACCTTCCCCTGCCTACTTGCATGTACCGCCCTGTCCCTATTGCTGTACCTTACCTGTCCAAGGAGGTATGGACATGGGTTGACGGAGGAATGGCTGGATGAAATGGACCTACACCTAAAACCTGACCTGCCTGCGCCTCTCCTCCTCGCTCTCGCTGCGAACCAGTCCTCTTCCCTTTCCCTTTATCAACTTGTGTCTGTCTCCTCTTGTGTGCCTGTGCGTATGCGCGTGTTGTATTGTATTGTATTGTATTGTGCTGTTCCTGTGTGTAAATCTCTCTCTTGTGCCGTCTGCGTTTTCCTTCCTCGTTCTCCCTTCGTCCCCAGCTTATTTTTGGTTGCCGTTCTCTATTCATAATTATTCATTCCTCCTTCTTCCCAAGAGAGAAACCCAGATAAGGAATACCGCATTGCTATTCGCTATATCCCCGAACCTCACTGCTGCATCAAGCCAACCAAGCCGACGCCAACCAACGTCCGATCCTTTTCCCGTCGTAACGGTAGTCAAGCCCCCCCCCCAGGAGCGCCATGAGTGTATGAAATCCACCCCTTGCGTGTTTCAACCATTTTACCCAGGAATTAGACAGCGCCGGTCTCGTTGCACTTTGTCCCCCTTCTCGCGCCTCTGATTTTTGATTTTCCTTTCTTCCACATTGCTCTCCTACCGTCTTCTTCCATTGGCATACTATTCAGACTAATTGACAAATAACTAATATCATGGCGCAGTACGGGTTCGTCGCCCCCCTCTCCGCCCTTCGATCGGTCGGGACGAGATGCCATCACGAAGGATATGCCGCTTGGTTAGCTGACACACGGGCTGATCTAGGTACGGCGGCCAACAAAACCCCTTCGACGATCGGGCGGCCACGAACGATGGCTACGGAGGCGGTCTCCCATCGCGACCAAACTATGGCGGTAAGATGCTCGCGTGCTATCCACCGCCTGGAACAAGACGCTGATGGGTATTAGCGAACAATGTCGAGATGTCTTCCTTCCCCCAGAATGGCGGCTCCTACGGGGCCGGCAACCCCAATTCCGTCCTAAACGAGGTTTCCGAAATCAACCGCGGGATCGATACGATTGACCGAAACCTCGATCAACTCAAGATGCTCCAGCAGAGGGCCCTCGACGACGCCGACGCCTCAGCCTCGAGCAACACCAATCGCCAACTCGATGCGCTGAGCACCGAGACCATGGCCCACTACCGGTCGCTGACCGAGCGGGTACGACAGCTCAAGAGCAGCCCTGAAGGCCAGCAGAAGTTCGGCCAGCAAGTTCGCCGAGTCGACGGGAGGCTAAAGGATGCTATCCGGGCCTACCAGGGTGTCGAGTCCGCCTTTCGGAAAAAGACACAGGATCAGATGGCGCGGCAGTACCGTATCGTACGGCCCGAAGCCGACGAAGCCGAAGTGCGAGCTGCCGTCGAGGACCAGACTGGCGGCCAGGTCTTCCAACAAGCCCTGATGCAGAGCAACCGGCGTGGCCAAGCCCAAGCTGTCTTGAGCGCCGTCCAAGACCGACATGCCCAATTGAAGAAGATCGAACAGCAGCTGCTCGAGCTCGCGCAGCTGTTCCAAGACATGGACACGCTCATCATACAGCAGGACGTCGCCGTTACCAACATCGAGCAGAAGGCCGAAGAGGTGGTCGAGAATCTCGATAAGGGTAACCAGGAGATGGTCGTCGCTGTCGACACGGCGAGGAAGACGCGGAAGAAGAAGTGGATCTGCTTGGGTATCGTCGGTATGATTCTGCCCTATTACTACTCCCCTTTTCTTGTTCTTGACCGGCTCACTAATATCGTGGCGCAGTCGCGATTATCCTTATCATCGTCATCATAGTCGCGGTGTACGTTTCCATCACCAACGCGGGCAAGTCGGCCCCGGCCAAGCGCAGCGTCGTCGAGCCGGAAACGCTGTCGCGGCTCGGGGGCGTCCCGGTCTCTCGGATGCTTACCGAGGTGGCCCAAGTAAAGTCGAAGCGGTTGGTTCCCGGGCCCCATTGGCAATTAGGCGCATGATAAATCTTGGTGGCTATCGAATCAAGGAAGCACCTTGTCAGTATCGGCCCAGGAAGCGTTACCTTACATTGTCTACAGCTGCATCCCTCGGGTCGCCTGTCTGATCAATGAGATTCTCGAAATAAAACCGCACGGGCCACGAGATGGAGGGAGTCAGTCGGAGAGAGAGGGATATCGGCTTATCACAGTACCCACGAACCCAGACACGTAAATTCGCTTCGTGTTCGCTTCGCATCTTACCACCGCTCTCGTCATTTATATATATATTTAACTCTAGAGTCCTTGCCTCGTAATTCGGGACCTGTCCGGACCGGGTTCGTCCCACGTCATCGGGTGGGCAGGCCGAGCTCAACCTTGCAACACCCACGGATGAAAAGAAATAAGAGGGGAGGCAGAGGAGGAGGGGATTGTCTCTAGTAGCTTTCTTGCTGTTGCTACCCGATGTTGGAAGCTAACTATATATATCCCTTGTGTATCTGGTTCTGCTGCTACTAGAGTCGGCACGCGCGCCTGGAGAAAGGCGAGGGGAGTTGGATGGCATCTTCTGGCGTTTTTAAGCTTGCTGCGCAACAATTATTATCGTGTATTTGCCTTTACCGCCTGCTCGCTTACTTGCCTGCTAGGTTTACTGGTGATCGTGACTGGCGTCGTTTCGGTAGGCTCTGCTCCTCGGGACTACCTAAGACCTGTCCGCAATCGGCGCACCTATAGGGATCGTTTGCTTGCGATTCGGGTACGACATGGGCGGTAGATGGTAGCTTTATTGCCTGTACTGCGACTCGGAGCGAATACGGTATCTTCGACACGTATCGAGGTGTTATTGGCCTTGCCCGCTTTTTCCTCTCCTCAGCGCCTTACGGCTGAGAGCAGCGTTATGATAACTCGGCGCTGTACGATTGTACGATCGTGACATGATGCCTCGAGACAACTCGTCGGTGTTTCTCCGACAACAGCTCGCCCGGAGCTGCAAGCTCTGTCGAGAGAATAGCGACAAGTTCGGGGGCGTGTGTGGGGAGGTGCGTTATTAGAAATATATAAGGCATCTCGTATGCGCCTGCGGGTGGGCAGCAAAATCTGTGCTAACCTGAAGAGGTTAACGCTTACCAGAAATGCCTGGAATCTATCCTAGTAGGTACCTAGGTACCTATATACCCTCTGGTGCATATACCCTAGGAGGTACTATATTATAGGTACCTATCTACTGTTGCATAATGGTTGTCGTCCGTTATAAGGTATGCAGGTACCTCTCCTGATGTAGGTACCTAACATGCACGGGACGGGCGGGTGGGTACCCGTGGTGCCTGCGTGTGACCCCGGCGCGATACCTCTGTAATTACCGAGCTGTGCGGTTTACTTCATTATTACCATGGGTTCCATGATAAGCGGCATGACCTATGTCATGTATGCATCTATCCGAGTCTATTCCAGCTTACAAGTATGCGTACGTTATACCCTTTAATGTCATGGGCGGGCTCGGGGCCCTGCGCATTTCACATGGTCTGGCTCGGCTTGTCTGTTTTTGCCTGGATGCATCGTCGCCAACTTCCACCTGTTTGGCTCTCGGATCCCACTGTCGACGCAGCTCCCTCTTTTCTCTCTCTCTTTCTCTCGGGACCATCCCCGTAATCACCTGGGCCCCGTAATGGTAGCTTGCATACCTTGGCACGCCCGCGAACCGCGACCACTCCCTCTCCGCCGTTGTGGTGCAGTCCAGTTCAGTATTTACCTGCGTTAACTGACCAAAACTTCCCTCACAAACCAGAACACGGCCCTTTCCGACGCTGCGAGTCTGACTTACATCCATTGGTTCGAGGGACCTTCGAGAAGGTTGGAGGAATCACGCATGCCTGCCGTCGTATTCCCGCTGTTATCTGCATAGCTCGGCACCTTTTTTCCGGAACGTCCCCTGGCTTCCCAGTCGAGCGTCCCTAACGATGTCCAGACCTGTCTGTAGGTGACCGCAGAGGAGAGATAGTTTCATTGCTATTGAGATTCGCCGCGTCATCTTTGGGCATGCGAGAATAAGAATATAGGAAACTCACCCGGTTGACGTTATGGGCGCAGCGAAGGACGGTAACGGTCCTTCGTCTGCAAACCCCTTCGCCCCGTACCAGCAGCCGCACCGAACGACGACGACACGCACCTCGCAGAGTCACGGGAGCTACGAGGTCGGCGAGGCTAGCACCACCTCGACTTTCCTAGACGCCGCCTCCGCAAGTTCAATGGCCTTGGCCACCTCGTCCGCCCTCATGGACGCCGGCGAGTCCAGCCCGAGTCGGTATGCGCCGGATCAGGGGACGAGAGATCTCAACCATGAAATGCAAAAACGACGCCGATCGTACAAGACGCGATCGAGTGGCGGCTTTCTCCTCGCTAATACCATGCTCGACGAGGCCCCGAAGACCTCCCCCACGAGTCGGGATGACGGTCGTAGGCGGTCGCGCATACCGGTGGACAGTCGCAAAGGAAAATCTCCCTTGAATATGGCGGACGGGACGGATGCGAGGGCTTTCTCGCCAACCGGTCTAGGTATAGACTCGCCAAGCGTTAGGAGGTCGAGCGACGGCCAACCCAGACGGCTGAGCCCCGTCCCCGATGATGAGAGACGACATAGCCCGAGCGGACGTGCCTCGAGGATACCGACGCTACGGCCTAGCACAGCGCCCCTCGACGCCGACTCCACTCAGATCGTGAATATGGCCCTCAACCTCAGCGAATCGAGACGCCTCGCGGCTCGGAGAAACGTGTCGAGTCCTATGCCCCCCCGGCTCGCCCAGATTCCCGATACGCTGGGGGGGACTGGTCTGAAGCAGCACTTGCATCAACAGAGGAGAACTTCTCGCACAGTTTCTCCAAATCCCGACCGGGCCCTCACGCCTAGACCCTTGTCTAGTCCTAGGGTGGCAAGCCCATTGAAGGGCGCGTTTGATCACGACGGCACCTATACCTATCACTTTTCATCTTCGACCCTGAATCGGGCACAGAAGGCGAAGGAATACCTCGAGTTGATGGCGCAATATAGGCGTCTATTACAGTTTGTACCGCCGCTGAGACAAGATATGCGTTCCCGGCCCTCGAGTTCCAATCACTCGATGTCTCCAACGGCCCCGAAGCCTCCTTTGAACCCTCTCACCGGCTCGCCACATGTCCCTTTGGGCCGGCCTTATAACCCGCTTCAGTACATCCGAAATCGAAAGGTTCGGGCACGGGAACGTAAGGCCATCGACGGGGAAGCGCAGGGTTTCTCGGATATCTCGAAAGTGACGGATTGGATTGACGAAACGACAAGATCCTCCACCACGTCTACCTTATTGTCGGGGGTTCCTACGCTGCCTTCGTTCCCGGGCGCTCACGAGAATCCCGAACAAGACCTGCCCCCTTCCAACATACCCCGGCCTATCTCGATTGTGGGTAAACCGAAGCGACTAAGAGTTGACTGGAGTATTGACCCTGCAGACATGCTTGCGGATACGTATTGGCTGGAGCAGGGAGACAATAAATATCTTATCGAGGACCGTGATTATTCGAAGATATTTCCCCGAAAACCAGAGGCGAACGAGCCCGCTGGGCCTGCGGTTCCCGTTCTCTCCCCTAGAGGAAGCGAAGTTGGCGATGCTGCCATTGCTGTAGAAACCGATATCTTGAGCCCGACCCGAGTAGAGACTGAATCGTCTCTTACTAGCGCACGGGAACGTGCTCGCCAAAAGCTTCAGGACTTGAGGGGAATACACCACCGGCAGCATAGCCATGCACATGGCCATCACCACGACCTGCTTCGATTTAGGAAAGGTTCGCTGTCGGATACGTCGGATAGCGAGAGCGACCGGAAGAGACGAAACCGCACTGATACTATCACTGCCAATGGCACAGACCTACTGGTGAAGCAGATAAATGATATGTTGGCAAAAGAAGCTAGTGAGGAGCAGAAAGAGAACTTGGTCGAGGCTGATGGAGGATACCTCAAGCAGCTACCGTCGAGGATGGCGACACCGGAGAAGTCCACTCAAGCATCGGAGATGATGCATAGTCGCAGGGGCTCGCGAGCTGAGGACCAAGAAAAGGTCAACCGTGGAAGAGCATCGCCTATTCTCTCTCCGCTTGGGTCCGGGCGTGCTAGCTTGGAAGTTCCTGGTCAGAATTTTCGGTTTTCGATGGACCTTGACTCATCTCGACCTGTGTCGCCGGATCCAAAGTCACCGCGAGTCCAGAACGGCCAAGTGTCGACAGTGGGCATGGACCACTCGCCGCCTCAGAGCCGGCCTGGGTCTCCTAGCCGGAAGCCCTTCTCAAGAGTCAAGAAAATCTTCCGCGATCGTAGCCGGGAACGCGCTGCCGATCATGTACCTATCGAGAAAGATATCAAGGTGGAGACTCCCGCTGGGACGCCCGAGCCGCTCAGCCTCTCTTCGCTGGCGGTAACAAGACTTCAATCGCCGGATCAGCGGAGGTCCAAGAGCCTGACGCGCAAGGTCGCCCCGAAATCTAATGAAGCTCCCAAGGGGCATCGGACCATAGCTAGCGTCAACCTGAGAGGAGACGAGCTCGGCTTGCGGAGAATTTTCAAAGGCGGCGCCAAGATAGATGGCGTGATACGGGGTGGTGTGTCTAAGGTCACTGATCTCATTTGGAAGAAGGACTCGGACGGCGACACCGATTCGTCATCGAGCGGGGACTCGGATGCCGAGGGGAGAAGGGGTAGGAGCAAGGTGGCCGCCGCCTTGTCTCGCGATAGCTCTAAGCGCCGGCGTCATCTGGAGGCCCCGTCCCCATCCAAGACCACAGCAGGATCTCAGGACACGACAACCTCACAGGAGACGGAGCTTCCCGTTCTGCATAGTCCTACGTCGCGGCCTAGTAGGTCGCCTCGTTTTGAGCGGTTGAAGCCCCCTCGCATCGATATCCGCAAAGCTTCGCCCTCGGATTTCGACCGCGCGAAAATCCGGTTGTCCGGCGAGTTCGATGTTTCCGATACAGAACGGCGCGACCGCGACTCGGACACCCAGGCCGAGAGACCACAAGATCCTCTACAAGATACGGGTGATGTCGGCCCTATCCCACCATCATCCCGAGCTCTACAGACTCGGCCTCGGCATGCGTCCATGGCTCTTTCGCACCGGGATCGTCAGTGGTCGGTCTCGAACCAGAGCCCCTCGTCGCATGGCGCGCAGATCTCGAGACATGAAGCTGCTCGTCTCCGTGCGCTCGTGCTCTGCACCGGCATCAAGGCGATGGAGATCTCACGGCGCGCGCACGAACCACGGCCGCTCTTCGCGCTCGATAGCTCGGACGTAGGGTTGCCGTGGGCGGACTTCAGCCTCTTCGCGGCCGCGGATGGACGGTTCAACGTCAGCGTACCGCAGACGGAACTGTTCCCGACCTCGTCGCAGCTCCTGTCGGACATCATCGAACGGTCGATCGCGACCTCGGAGGCGACGGTGACGCGGTTCTCGCTCGAGACAGGCCCGAGCCTGCAGCGGCGGGTGGAGCTTCTGCAGGATCGGGTCGGAGGTGACCTCGCGGACATGACGCGCCGGGCGGCGGACGAGGCGGACGAGGTGAGCCGCGACCTGATGGACTCGCAGCGGCTGCAGGTGAAGCGCGTGGCCGACACCATGGATAAGATGCTGCGGCGGCGACGGCGGCGGTTCCGCTGGGCGCGGCGGGCCGGCTGGCTCGCGGTCGAGTGGGTCCTGGTCGGGTTCATGTGGTACGTCTGGTTCGTCGTGACGGTCGCGCGGGTGTTCCTCGGCGTCGGGAAGGGCATCGTCAGCGCGGTCAAGTGGCTGCTGTGGCTGTGAGGCAGAGACGAAGGCGGCGGGGTCTCCGTACAATTCCCCTTCCCAGAGGCTATGCGCCTGGGTATGCCTGACGTATCTACCGGCTGACTGGCCGACCGAAGTACTCGAGCAGCACCGGTTTTCTTCTCACGCGCATGTCGCTGAGCTGAGGAGAGAAGAGCCGAGGCGAATCTCGAAGCACAATAGAAGAGATGTTGTCTATCGAAATAAGGGTCTCGTGTCTACGAGACGACTAACCCACCCTCTATACGTTACTACGCCTGCATTTGCCACGACACCGTATATGGAAGCGGTGAAGCGCGGCTAGATGGATCTTGGACGAGACTCGAGGGAACACCCTACCTGCCCTCCGCCCCCGGAAAAGGGGGGTTTTTTTTTGCTGCCATGATATACCCCCGGGGGTTGTTGTCGCGCTACCTACTGCGCATACATACTGTGTTTCCTTTTTTTTTTTTTGGCCCTGCGATGCGTGCACGGATTCTTGCCATTGTCACCTAATTACCTTTAGATTCTACCCTTGTTCCATTGCATCTTTTCCTTGCCTTTTCTGTACTCGCCTTCTCGGAGCCAACACCTCGTCGCCTTTTTATTTTCATCCCTACGCGCTTCTCGTATTATTCTTCTCCCCCAAGACTCCTTTTCTTACCTTAGGCAGACCGTGCGGTCGATCAGCTTAGATAACTTTGCTAGCGACACGAGCGAGCGAACATCCCGATCTTGGAGCAGAGCGCTTTCCGGGTACCTACCGACGGGCGGGGAGGGGGTGGGGGGGCGTGGCGTCGACTATCGAACATTGTATTTTTTTTTTCCTTTTTTTTCTGTCGGAGCATGGGGCAGGAGCGTTAAAAAGAAGTAATAAAGCCTCTCGTCATCGGAAGTTGGGACGTCGGGTCGGACGCGATTGTGCGGTGTACGGTGTACGGTATACGTGTACGAGTACGAAGTTCGCATACCAGATATATATTCAGGGGGGGGAGACCGGAGAGCAATAATAATATCCACACCACGCCATGATCTCTTCTCGTAGTCGTCGTCTTGGTGCTCCTCTTACGCCTGTCTGCGCTTACCGCCGGCTAGCAGCGCCGTCGGCCACTTTGCTTCTGTACACTTGACCACCGCGTTTTCTTTCCCTCGCCTAGCCTCGCTCTCGACGTGGCAGCTTCTAGGCCAGGGTACCGGGCTGGGTGGAGGAAAAGGGGGAAGGGGTGGCAAGGCGAAGGGCATACGTACTGGGTGCTGGAGGGGCCCTGTTGATACCTGTATGTGTTGCTATATATATGTATGCATACGTACACGCTATAGAATCGCCCGCCAGCGCGTAGGTAGGTTGGAAGGAGAAGTAGGTCATTAATTCATCTAACAGCTACGCCTCCGTTCCTCCCGCTCCGTCGGCCCCCCCTCTTTCTGCGTGTCTTCCCTCATCCTCTCCCTTCCCTTTCCTTACCCCCGGAAGCCGCACCGTAGACAGCGGCAGGATTTACCTAATCTACCAGCTACCTGCCTGTTTATCTAGGCACAAGTCCGGTCGCCTCATCTGCGAGTCCGCGACGCGCCCCGGGTGTACGTCGCGCCAGCACATGGCCGCCAGTCCCCGGCCACCGCCCTGCCGAACGGAGAAGCGAACAGACCATGTCCTCTGATTGATTACTGCGGCTGCTGATGCGCCGCCTGCAACCCCCTCATCCTCCTACCACAACGCGTAGCCACACGCCGACTTTTCCCCTACCGCCAACCGCCTCCTTTGCTCGGATCTCTTTTTTCTCGCCCCGGGCTTCCGACCTCGGACGTTGAAACAACCCCTCCGGGATACCGCAGAGCAGCAAGGGCAGACAAGCCCCCTCCCCCGTGGCCAGCACGAAGCGCTGGCGCCGAAGAGGGATGGACGAAGATGAGACGCGAGAGCAGAGCTAGCAGCGCGCAGAGGGCCCGCGGCTGACGGGATGTTTACATACGGGGACAGGCTTCCGAAGCGGACGCGGACAAAAAAAGGAGGAAGTTGCTGTTGGAGAGATGAGAGAAAGAAACTGAAAAAAGGACAAAAAGAAACCCTCTAAAATATTTAAAAGGGGCAACTGAACAATGCTATAATCGGTGCCTACTCCCGTCACTCCGTCCATCCTTCCTGTCTCGCTGGGCCGGGAGAGCTAAGCTTCTCTCTTGCTCACTCGCACTCTCGGCTAGGTTTCCTCGCCCGTCTATAGCGTACATACCGCGCGTACCAAGGTTTCTAATCGGTCTCGCCCGTCCCGGTCCCTCCCACATATATTAATTAATATCCTCCTCTCCGTTACCCCCTACTTTACTCGATTCTCTTCTTGCCCTCCTCCGCGTTGAGGTACCGGGCCGCGCTCAGCCCGCGCTCGTGCTTCGCCACCAGCGGCCCCAGCAGCGCGTCCTTGCGCACCTTGGTGATGGCGTCCTGGTAGCCCTCCGTAGCCCAGGGTCGCGGGTTCAGCTTCGGCCAGTTTACCTACGCAAGTTATTAGTGCTAGGAAGCGGTGGGGAGAAGGGTGAAGATGGCAGAGGAAGACTCACGAATAAGATTCCGTGCTTCATCATGAAGTTGAAGCACCACCCGCCAATGACCAGCCAGAACAGGATGAAGATCCGGATGGACCAGGTCGACGAGCCGGGCACCCGTCTCGTAAACAGGGCGACGAGGATGAAGAAGACGCTGAAGGCTAGGATGTAGGGGATGCTCTGGATGGAGATGGGCCGCCGGTCCGCAAAGATGAGAGCGGTGCCGATGTTGGCGGTCGAGGGCTCGTAAGCGCCTAGGAAGAGGTCGAAGGCGTCCTGTCGGGGGCCGTCTCGGAAGTTGTTGAGGTAGTACCGGGTGACGGCGATTCGGCCGTCGGCTAAGGTGCCCGCCTTGGTGCGCTTGCCCAGGCGTGTGAGATCCGTCTTCATGGCGCCGGTGCCAGCGTACGAATTGGACACCGTATCCGCGTTGTCGGCCCATATGTTCCGGAACAGGAATTCGAATTCGGGGTCGACAGCCGAGAACGTCTCGCCCGGTTGGAGCAAGCCCAGCTCGACGAACATGCGGTCTAGCGTCCATCGCGCCAGCATGCTCTGAACGACGTTGGTGCGGTCGAGCGAATCCATGCAGTTCGTTCTCACCACGCTAGTCTGAAAATTCCTAGTTTCTATCCCGCCATTAGCAGGCATGTCGACACCGCGGAAGTATTGTTGCGCTATCAGAGAGTCGTGAAGCTGATCAACCAACTTCATGGCCCGGTGCATCTGTAGGCCTTTCGTTTCGTGGTGAAAGTCGAAATAGACATAGTGCAGACGGTCGTATTCCTGCTTCGAAGAGCTGGCCTCGATGGTATGGAACTTTTCGCCGGTTAACGCGTCGCCCTGGACTTTCTCCGACGGCGACGACGCGAGCATCTTCACCATCTGCTCGTAGGCTTCTTTCATCCGCTTCTCTCGACCGCTCTGGTTGACCAGATTTACTAGATAATTGTCCCCGTACAGACGTATCTGCTCATCAAAATGCTTCCTGGCGGCTGGGAGAGCTGTTTCGATACCCCGAACCTGCAACTTGGGGGTATACTTGAGAGCGTTGACCTCGGCCCAGAAGACGGGTATGCTACCCCGTGTCTGTACGTACGACAGTATCTGCGTTTCGGCCCCCCCCGAAGCTCCATACTTGCCGCTCTGCATATCGCTATTTCCAGCATATCCACCCAATCCACGGCCTGTATCGTTCAGGATGACTACCTGCTCGGTCTCGTTGTAATTTGCGGCACGCCCTTCCTCGTCGACACCTCTAGTGAGGTATCGAGTTCCGGCTCGGTACCTCGATTTGCGTGTGATCAGGACAACGGTCAGGGGTGTGTTCTTGAAAGTGGTGGGGCGGATCTCGAGGGTTCCCCATATTAGGGGTAGAATATAGGGGTCGGCGCCGGGCTGCGGTCCGGGTTGCGACCGGTTGCCCTGGGTTCGGAACTGGATCAGGTCGGCCTGGACAAACCTGTTCCAGAAGAAGCGGTCGTCGGCTCTCATCCAAAGCGGGAGCGACAGATCCGTTGAGGCTTGTCGCTGGAAACTGTTGGTGAGGTCGACGGAATAGGAGAAGTACATAGGGCCTCTCAAAATGAATGTCGTAAGCAGGGATAAGAATTGGTCCTCGTCTGGGTCGTGGACCTGGCGCTCGCGCATGGGTAGGAATTCCGTCGAGATAACCTTGTATACCATCTGGCCCTTGAGACGGCCCACGGGCAGGGTCTTGGTGATGATGATAGCATACTTGTCTATGTGACGTTAGCTTTGCCGGCATGAAGTTGGATTGTGCTAACAATAGGGGAATGCGGGATAAGGGTGAATTAAAGGGGAAGGCATGTAAACAAGAAGAGAAGAGGGCGGACTACCGAGTCTCAACCTGATGAAGCCCAGAATACCAGCTATGCTCGACACGCGGGAGACACGTTTATTGGGGGCGTGAGTAGCCTCGCTTAGCCTCACGTCTCCGGTGGGACGGTCGATGACGAGAGCAGGCACATTGGGGGAGGAGGGCGAGGCGAAGGTGTAGGATTCGGCGGCGACGTGAAGGTTGATGTCCCTGAAGGGGAGGGTCATGGTGGGCTAGCTATTCGACAGTGATGTGGACAGACTCGTAAAGGCTCCGGACGGTGGAGGGAAGAAGGAGCGAATGGGAATTAAAAAGAGGGAAGAGAGAAGGGAGCGAAGGAGAGTGTGACGACAGCAGAAACAGATCGTTTTGGTAGTGAAGTGAACCGGCGCAGCGTGACAGTAAGGGGGAGTAACGAGAGTCGGCAGCGACTTAAGTTGCCGACGATGGAGGCGGGTGGAATTAGGAACGAAGGTATGAAGCATCAAGATAAGCGACCCTAGTAATCTGTTCTGACGAAAGGGGACAGTCCCGGGACGCGACGATAAGGCGCGATAAGGAGGGCGCGGGCCACATATGACATTAGCCCAGATGGACTCCTGACCTCGTACCTACCTTTACATGGGTGCGTTGTCGGTATGCTTAAAGATGCGTATATGCATATACCTTGATGCATAAGTAACATTTGAGACGAGAGAGTTGGAAGTTCACTGGTTTGGAGGTACCTAGATACCTAGATACCTACCTACGAGCATATTTTGTGTAAATGGGGACGTACCTACCTAGGTACCTAGGTACTTAACGTCATCAATATCTAGAAGGTACATGACAAAGGTACCTGCGTCAAGCGACCGAGGGACGTGTCATCTGGGTCCGGAGAGATGAGGCGGCGCCCAAGGTTCGTGTCCAGACCCACGGAATAATCACCTGCGAAATTGCATCAAGGTCCAAATCGTTACACTCACCTGGGTACGCAGCATAAACGCAGAGGAATGTCGATATTAGGTAGCTAAGACGTACCTGTAGAGGCATATACCTTTAGACGCAGAATCTGTCCCCGTGTGAAGTGCCCGTGGCGAGAGCTTCTGTGTACCGGGTCTCCTCTCGTTATGCGCGTACATATACATATGCAATATGCGTACATTCGATCTTTGTGGCTGCTCCGCTGCCCACCCGGTCCAGACGGCTTCCTACCTTTGCTGAGCCACCTGCCAAATAATAGGTAGATACAGATTCAATACCTGTAGTGGGAGGTACATTACGTAGGCCTCAATGTACTTGCGTGTACTCGTACGGAGCCACGGACTGGCCACCTACCGACGGCGTTAGCTACCTGCCTAACCTGCCTTTTCCCCCTTCACCTGCTACCGCCTCTGCTGACCCTCCATTAACCCTCCATACCGTCACCTCGTTCATCAACATCGCATGTGTAGGCAGCCAGCCAGTATTTCTTCATCGCTACCAACACATATCCCCGACCCTGCCCCCGACACCCCTCAGCACTGCTCTATTCGTCCGCCTCCGCCGAATCCGACCGTCACGAACATTGAACCCTGCTTTCTCGCCTTCGGTCGGTCCACCTGACGTCTTTTCTGCACGGCCCCCCAGTCCCTCCCTCAGATAGCCTCCGTTGCTTGCGGACCGTCGAGAGCGACGACAGAACTTGTCTGCGATACGATACAACAGGACCCCATCGCCTCTCAATCACCCGCCGCCGCCTCTCCTTCCCTCCGTTTTCTCGACCTCGCACCTCACCTTGCACCTCCTCTCGTCCTCATGGCTTCCCGAGCAGGGCCTGCAGCAAGCCGCGGCGTGACCGGCCGCTTCGCGCAGTTTAAGTTGGTGCTACTAGGTATGGAACGCAGCTCGAACTTGGGCCTCGGATCGAGTGACATCGTGTACTGACGAGAGATGCAGGCGAATCCGCCGTCGGAAAGGTGGCTGACCCAACAAAGAACCCCGACTGACAATTTGGCCTGGGATCATGTCGCTGACTGTATACTAAACAGAGCTCTATAGTCCTGAGATTCGTCAAGGTAACCTGGCCCGACCTAGATCTACCCTGTCTTCCGCGCCCCCCACCCCCCCCTACGACGCATCCGCGCTGGCCACGTTGCTAACCCGTCTACAGGATCAATTCGATTCGTATAGGGAATCGACTATCGGCGCCGCCTTCCTAACGCAGACCATCTCGCTCGACGAGAACACTACCGTCAAGTTCGAGATATGGGATACCGCCGGCCAGGAGCGGTACAAGTCCCTCGCGCCTATGTACTACCGAAATGCGAACTGCGCCGTCGTCGTCTACGATATTACCCAGTCGGTACGTTTTCTATCATATGCGAGACAGACACGGTCCCACAAAATGCGGACCTGCGGGGTAGGCTAACGAGGGGGATATATAGTCGTCGCTGGACAAGGCCAAAGCGTGGGTGAAGGAGCTGCAGAGGCAAGCGAACGAGAACATCATCATCGCCCTGGCCGGGAACAAGCTGGATCTGGTGAACGAGCAGCCGGACAAGCGGGCAGTGCCGGCCGCCGACGCCGAGGCGTACGCCAACGAGGCTGGATTGCTGTTCTTCGAGACCTCGGCCAAGACGGCGGAGAACGTCCGCGAACTATTTACAGCGATTGCCAAGAAGCTGCCGCTCGACCAGGTCGGGCCTCGACATACCCGGCCGGGACAACGACCGGGAGGCGTGAGTCTGACGCCTGAGGGAGCGAACACGCAATCGGGCGGGCAGTGCAGCTGCTAGAGGCGTTCCCGGAGGCCGGCGGATCGTCTTGGGGTCTGGTGTAGCGGAGGGGTGGGGGTGCCTCGCATCATGCTGCTCTTCCCGCTGCGAGGCTGGCCGCTCATTCTTGTATCTCTGTTCCCGTGGCTTAGATGCGACTCTCAGGCGGCTAGTCTGGCGCGGCAGCTGAGAGACTGCGTGCTTGACAATGCGACGGTTGGCCCCGCGTAGTCCACCGAAGAGAGAAAGACTGGACGTATCATTTAGGAAGCATGACGGCGGGGAAACGCCCAGGTGTAAGTTTCATCGGGAGTTTCTTGGCAGGAGGGCATACGATTCTTTTTAATACCTGAACTTTTTTTTATCATTATTACTTCTCTTTTTCATTTCTTGGCTTGTCGACGTCCGAATTCGGGAAGCGTGTTGAGACTCTTGCTCGTGGCCGCTACGACTGGGCGGGTGCATCACGGTCAGGGTTAGAGCGAGGTGTGCAAGTATGCGATGTGGAACGAATGTGCCCCAAGACTGAACGTTGCCGTGCCATCGGCATGACGAGTAATACATTAAATAGAGAGAAATGTGTTTTTCGAGAAGCCTGAATTTCCGCTTCCTGTTTCCTACTTCCTGCCGAGGCGGTGTCCATCCCGGTATCAGCCCCAGGAGGTTGGTGTTGACTCGCGCAATGATAGCGGTAGCCCCGGGAACACATCGGATATCTACACCCAGACTCGACAAGGGGCCTATAATTATACGGATGAACAAAAATCCCACGGTAGATTTCCCAGCGTAAGAAGTACATAATATATATCGTTGTTGCTTGGTTGAGAGGTCGGTAACTTAGTATGAGCAACTTGTTTCGCATAAGTGCATACATTCACTTCGTATAGTAATCAATATATGCACATATAGATGTACATGTGCGTCTAGAATAGATACTTACCTAAGCACACCCAGAGTACTTTAAGGCGGGTATTTGTTAGCCAGGTACATTCGGTACCTCGATATGGACCCGCTCAGGCGGACGGTGGAGCGGACCTCAGTGGCCGCCGGCTGGTTGCCGGGATTGTCCGTCGGCCAAGAGGTACCGCAGCTCCCACTATATCTGATAATTTTCTGAAGCCTCCTGAGCTCTTTACCAGAGGTGAATTTATCCCGCGTGCGACCACTCCGCGAACCACACAACCCAAGAACGATAGCCGCGCTCCCGAGGCCCATTCGATGTCCTCATGTTGCGGACATCGTTGCGATCCGTCAGGGCTGTGAGCAGCAGGCCCGTTGCTGCTGCTCGCCGTCAGTGGCAAGAGCCCGCCATCGCAAGATCGGCCGCCGTGGCTGGGAGGGTACGGATACGACGTGGAAATACGCACAGCAATGCTGCCACCGTGGACACCCAGCTAACCTCCGTCGCGAGATTAGAGATACTATGCCGATATCAAGAAGGCTCCCTCCCCGAGACCAAACCCTCCATCGCCGCCTACCCCCGCGAAGACCCCGGCCAAGCCGCTACCCGCGCCCGTGAAAAAGAAGGGATTCTTCCGTCGACTGTACAATTCTGTTGTGACCCTTGTGCTCCTGGGCGCCATCACCTTCGGCGGTGGCGTATGGTATTCACGCGTTAACGACAATTTCCACGATTTCTTTACCGAGTATGTGCCGTTCGGGGAGCAGGCCGTGCTCTATCTCGAAGAGCTCGACTATAAAAAGCGCTATCCCGGCGGCGTAACCGCTGGTGGCCGAGACAAGGATACGGGCTCCAGGGTGAAAATATCCCCCCAGAGCGGCGCGTCCTGGCGAGTAGCAGACAGCGGCACACCCGCCGGCAGGCAATCGAGTGCGACACGCGATGTGGTTGCCAGCAAGAGCGCCGCCGCCGCCCCCGGACCCGACAAGAAAGACGCCCCCCCCGCCGAGGTTCAATCCGACGAAAACAAGCCCATAACCAAGCCCGCCGAGCCACCGAAAGCCGCTGTTTCCCCTGCTGCCGCCGCACCAACCACTGTTCATGCGCCCGCCCCGCCAAACGCGGCGGAGAAACCTCAGGGGACGCAAAAACAGAAGTTCATTCCTCCTGAAGTTAATGAGCCGTCAAGGTTCCCGCCTGCTTCTCCCATCGATCCCCTCAAGGTAAAGGATGCCGACGAGCCGCTTGTGCAGGACCTGGTGAAGATGCTCAACGATATTATCACCGTCGTAAATGCTGACAACGACGACGGCCGCTTCTCATCGACTATCTACAAGGCGAAGAATGAGCTTAATAAGGTAGGCTCTAAGATCCGCGATCTGAAAGCCAAGGTTGAGAAGGATGCCGCTGCGCAGGTTGCAACCAAGGTCAAAGAATTTGAGGCCGCCGGCAATGAGCTGGTCAATCTTACCCAGTCGGCAATACGCGCACAGGAAGCCGAATGGAGGAGAGAATACGAGGAAGAGATGAAGCACATCCAGGCGGCCTACGAGGCGAGAATCCGGACGGAGCTCGAGAGGGAGAAGCGGATCAACGAGGAGAAGCTTGGCAATCTGCTTCTCGAACAAGCCGTCGAGCTAAAGCGGGAGTTCTTGCGAGATCTGCGAGAAAGCGTCGAGCAGGAGCGCAACGGCAGGCTCGGCAAGTTGGAGCAGCTAAGCTCGGCGGTCAAGGAGCTGGAGCAGTTGACGACAGGGTGGAACGATGTGGTGGACATGAACCTCCGGACGCAGCAGCTGCACGTCGCGGTGGAGGCGGTACGGGCGAGCCTCAGCGACGCGGAGCACCCGCGGCCGTTCGTGCGTGAGCTGGTGGCGCTAAAGGAGATCGCGACGGACGACGCGGTAGTCGGGGCGGCGATAGGGTCGATCAACCCCTCGGCGTACCAGCGGGGGATCGCGACGCCGGCGCAGCTGATCGACCGATTTCGACGGGTGGCGGCGGAGGTGCGCAAGGCATCGCTGCTCCCCGACGGCGCGGGCGTAGCGAGTCACGCGTCGAGCTGGGCGCTCAGCAAGGTGCTGTTCCGCAAACACGGGCTCGCGGTCGGCAACGACGTCGAGAGCGTGCTCACGCGCGCGCAGACGCTTCTAGAAGAGGGCGATCTCGACGGTGCGGCACGCGAGGTCAACGGACTGCGCGGCTGGGCCGGCACGCTGAGCCGCGACTGGCTCGCCGAGGTGCGGAAAGTGCTCGAGGTGCAGCAGGCGCTTGATGTGAGTTTTTTTTTTAAAAAGAATTCAACTCCGCATCCTTCTCGTTTTCCCTTTTTGTCGTTTACAAAGCCATCCATCAGTACATATGTAATGATATGCTGACACTTGACTGGCAGGTTATCGCTACCGAGGCTAGGTTACAGAGTTTACGAGTGGAATAATTTCGTCGCGTCCGTCGTTACCGTTTAGATAGCGGGAGGGAGAAAGGTAGAAAAGGGTGTCATGTTAGAGAAGCAAGACAAGCATCTTCGTTTTTGTTTTCTTTTCTCGCTCTCTTCATTCCCACTTCCCCCTGATTCCCCCACCCTTGTACATTTTGTAGATTCATCCTCTTTCTCGACCTCGTTTTTTTTCCCCAAAAAATAAGTCCTGAACCCTCCTTGCGCATAGTTGCCTTCCCTGTCTGGATCTACGAGAGAGCGGCAATGAAGAGCAAACGGTGAACGACAGGAGGTTAAAAAAGGAGTAACATAGGCAGTGGAAGAACCGGACGGAGAAGGGAGGGGGGGCGCGGGGCAAGGAAAGAGGGAGGAGCGGATGGAAATAGGGGCGGCGGAGACGGGGATGGGAAAGGACGGGGGCTAACGGCATGGCATCAGCAACAGGATCGCAGACGGACGAAGAATCGACATCTGCGTTTGAATTTTCTTCCTAGTGTGTCGATTATTTGTTCTGGTGCATTCTTACTCCACGATGGATCGAGAGAGTGGGAGCAGCTATACATGTTTTTTCTTAAATCAAGCTGCTCTTAGGCTCGTCGCTACATTCTAGACAACGACGGCCTGTGTATGATGCAGGCAGGGTGTCGGCGGCGTATCGTGCAGGAAGCTATGTCGGCCTACGTGTCTGGATAGGACGCGTCTGCATTTTCCTATGACATGGGTGTAAACCTACATAGGGAAAGAAGGAACCGGCTGAGTGTTTGGGAAGGGCGTGCTGAACGTTGCAATCTTTCAATCCAGAGACTAGATCCGTCTTGCCTCTTAGACCAACTTCTGAGATATCCTCCTTTCCCTCCTCCCCTCCCCTCCCCTCTCGGCGTCGGTATAGCGCCTAGTTACCCTCATACCATATGGCACCGAGTGAGGGGGCTGTTGTGTTTTTTTTTTCATAAAAGAATTTAAAAAAAATTGTCCCTTCACGCTCTGCCGGTAGATGCTAGCCGACCCGCTCGAACTCCCAGGCGAGGCCGCCCTCGGCCTGGCGGACGATAGTGCGGCCGTCGCTGCCCTTGTCGAGCTTCCAGAGGTCGTCGAACCAGCGGGAAAGGAGGAGGTAGCCGCCCTGCTTGTGGCGGCGGACGCAGAAGTACTCCCAGGGGCGGTGTAGGCGGGCGGAGGCGATGATGCGGCCGTGGCCGTCGTGGCCGAGGAAGACGCCGAAGGCGGGGTTGCGGAAGCCGAGCCAGCCCTTGGTCTCGACGCAGTCCCAGTGGTAGCCGCCGCGGTCGCCGGCGTGGTGCTCGAGCCGCAGCTGGCCGCCTACTATGGTTAGCAGCCGCCTCGTCGCCGGGTCCCGGATGATGTACGTCGCGCCTGGGTGAGGCACCGTCTCCTCGCGGGTGCGCGTGTCCGACAGCCCAGTGAACGAGGCGGCTTCGTAGTCGGGCAGCCCATCCGATGCCGCCGTCGTCGGCGGCGTGAAGGCGGCGTAGCTGGTCTCGCTGCTGTTGCTCGCGCCCATGGATAAGAGGTCGTCCGCGTCGAGGCTCGGCTTGACGGGCATGGTTCGGAGGCACCTCCAAATACGGGCCACGCGTCGCGGCCGGTGGTGACGACGACGAGGATGGCTGCTACGGATAGAGATGCGATTGAGGGTTTAGAGAGCGATCTATGTTGTAGATGGGTAGACGGAATCAGGGTTTACCCCCAAAGACAGGATGGAGAAGAGGGGCGGTTTTGAGGAAGAGGAGGGGTTGGTTATCTTATGCCGCAGTCGGTTCCCTCCCCTTGTGCAACCGCGCTTCGCCACGCCAACCCGGTTGCCGTCGTGCCATCGCCAGAGTGACGGGTCAATCACAGCACACGAGGGCCTTCGCTTAGCGTTTGCCGCAGCGGCCATGGCTGGCGGCTCGCTGCAGCGCGGCCGGAAAAATGCGAAGAGGGAAACGAGAGGTGAGAGAAAGATGGTAACTAGATGCGTCGGTGCAGGCAAGATTCGCCGAGCACTACCTACCTATGGCTTAATATTACCTTGCTGAGCTACTTTGCGGCTGTACTGTGCTGGGTTTCTTTTCCACGTTCAAGCCATTGGTACCATAATCTCATAATAAATCGTAATACCGGCTTAGACGTTTCTTAATTACCTAATTGCCGACGAGGCTCGGGGAATGCATTCTAGCAATATGAATCATCTTATACCTACATACTTCCCTAGGTAATATTACCTACCTACCCGTTTCGGAGTATTGCGTGCACCTCGATGATTATGCAGAATGCTGACCTGGCGGTGGGGTGAAAAAAGTGATATATCAGGATAGACACATCAGTTGGACCCTCGTTGCCTGCCGGAGGCCGTGTCCATACCGACCCTACTGCTGACAAGCCACTTGTCTCATCGATACCATCATGGGCCATGCCATACCATGCTCGGCGTACTGGTAGTATACTTCTCCACCATGTCCTTTGTCTCCCTCTCGCTTTTCTATTACGAACCACTTCCTCCATTCGGTCTACCTGTCAGCCACTCTTAGCGCACGCCCACCTCCCGGACCCGGAAGAGGGCCCGAAGGAGGACCCACTTTGCCGGGACGATAGCGACGGGAACGGAGTGCCGCCTCTCTTCGCCTTAACGTGGACGTTCACGTGAGCCATATCAGTTGTTAGGTACCTTAGGTACCTACAAACCTGCCTAAGGTTAGGGTGTACCTAGATACTTTAGGTAGGTACTATATACCTGTCCGTTTGGTGATGCAAATGTACCTAAGGTACCTACCTTCTAGGGAACCTAAACTCCGAAATTTACACCTGCCAGCTCCCTCTGCTTACAACCGCAACTACCGGCAGGTTGGCCGTGTTGATTCTCGTTACAGTCTGGCATGCTCGGACCTTGGGAAATTCCTTGCGGCCCGGACAATCTTCTCAAGCCCTGCCAGGGGAATCCAAAGCGGCAGGGAGGCCGTCATGCAGCAGCATCTGAAGACGACGGCGTGAACCCCAACTCCGTGCTGATGTCGAGCCGAGTGGACTGACGACGGCTTATGGCTTCGTATTTGACGTCTATCCAGAGAGGCCCGTTCGTGAATACTACACATAGCCTCCTTAGACGTGCGGTAAGCTCGCCGGACGGTGCCAGGTTACCCACACATTTTTATACCAAAGCAGACATCGCCTCCCGCAGATCGTCCACCATGGTGGTTCCGGCGGTAGTACCACGTACCTATGAATCAGCGCTGAAGCACCTCGACTCCATCCAGTCGAACCGCGCCGTCACCTCCCTCTTTACCCCCCGCCCGGCGTACCTCGACAATGCCGGTGCGGGACCTTCCTCGCCGGGACCCTCTATCGAGGACGTCAACACGGTCGCCATCCCCGAGATGCTCGCGTGGCTGCGGCGCGCGGGCCTCACCACTGACGAGCTCGCCGCCCACCTGCGTTGCATTCACGTCGCCGGCACCAAGGGCAAGGGCTCCGTATGCGCGTACCTGACGTCCATCCTCGTCGCCGAGGGCGCCGCCGCCGCCGGCCGCGTCGGCACCTACACATCGCCGCACCTGGTCTCCGTGCGCGAACGCATCGCCATCGACGGCCGGCCCCTCTCGCGAGACCTCTTCACCCGCTACTTCTTCGAGGTCTGGGACGCGCTGACGGAGTCGGCGCGCGCTGAGACCACGGCTGCCGGCGCGTCCGCAACCGACGAGGAGCTCGCCGGCCCCGCCACCAAGCCGTTCTATTTCCGGTTCGTGACGCTGGTCGCGCTGCACGCGTTCCTGCGCGAGGGCGTGCGCAGCGCCGTCGTCGAGTGCGGCATCGGCGGCGAGTACGACTCGACCAATGTGCTCCCCGCGGCCGCCGTCACTACCACCGTCGTGACGCAGCTCGGCGTCGACCATGAGGGCATGCTCGGCTCCACGCTGCCCGACATCGCCTGGCACAAGTCCGGCGTGTGCAAGTCCGGCCGCCGGTGCTTCACGCGGAGCCTATCTGGCCGCGCCGACGCGCTCGAGGCCATGCGCGTCCTGCGCCGCCGCGCTGCCGACAAGGGCGCTACCCTCTTCGAGCTATCCGACGCCGAGGTGGAGACCTGGGGCGGCGTGCGCGGTCGCGAGCCCGGGAACTTTGAGGGCGCCTTCCAGAAGTATAACCAAGCGCTGGCTTTGCGCGCCGCGGCCGAACACCTGTGGGTGCTGTCGCGGGAGGAGGAGAGGGGGGAGCGCCCGGCGGTCGCAGTGCCGGAAGGCGGGCCACAGCGCGAAGGGTCGCTGACGGCTCTGGAGGCGAGATTCGGCGACGGGGTGCGCGCCGCGAGGCTCCGTGGCCGCTGTGAGACCAAGGCCGACGGGCGCCTCGCCTGGCACATAGACGGGGCACACACGGAGGACAGCTTGGCCGAGGCGGCGACGTGGTTCGTGGAGAAGCGCAGGGCGCTCGCGGTCGGCGCCCGCGCGACGGAGACGAAGACCAAGACGGTCCTGCTGTTCAACCAGCAGGACCGTGACGTGGTGCGGCTGCTGACGGCGCTGCTGGCCGGCCTCAAAAGCGAGGATGACGGCGAAGGGGGGAAGCCCAGCCCAGTTTTCGACGTCGCCGTGTTCACGCGCAACGAGCTCGCGCCCCGCGGCGACCCCGACCTCGCCGTGCAGCGCGCCGCCGCCCACGCCATGCGCCGACTGAGCCCGCCGACGGCCACCCTCGTCGCCGACAACGTCCAAGACGCCGTCGCGCGCATACGCGCGCTCGCGGCCCCCGGCCCCGACGCCGACGCCGACGCCGAGGTCGTCGTCTTGGCCACAGGGAGCTTACACCTGGTCGGTGCGCTGCTGCGCGCGCTGGAGCCGGAGGCGGAGCTGTGATGGGCAGAGGGTCGTGTGTGTTGTGGGACGGAGAGCCGGATGGCGGGACTTTGGGGGAGAGGGGAGGTTGATGCTTTTGCGAGGCAGGGGGGGGAAAGGGGGGGATGGCCTGGCGGTCGTGGCGTGCTGTATTCATCGTATATCTAACTCTACCTCCCCATCTTCCTGCTGCCCTATGGCGCGAACCGTCGACAGCTACGGGACCGCGTGATTCGGCTACTGTGCGCACCCCGCGAACGTCTCCCCCCTCGCACATTTTTTGTCACAGTAGAGATACCCCATGTATTGCGCCACTTTCTAGGAATAGACATCAAAAAGGAACCACATACGGTTTTAATACGGGTTGAGCCGCGCCGTCCGTCCGTGAACCCCGCCTCGCTTAGTCTACGTCCTAATCTAGATGTACGCCGTCTGCCTAGGGTATTCCTCCCCCTCCTTCTTGCTCGTCGCCGATGAAACTAGGAAAGCTAAGGCGTTGCTGAACGGGGGACTGGTACGATCTCCCAGCGCAACGCGTCGTCGACACCGCGAATCACAGCGCGTCCGCGCCCTCTAGGATCTCCAGCGCCCCCCCAACCAGGTGCAAGCTGCCGGTGATGAGCGCGCGAACCGTCCCCGGTCGGCCTTCTCCCCCTGCCCCCGCGGACGCCGCTTCGCGCCCGAAGGCCCTGACGTGCTCGATCGCCTCCTCGATCGTCGGCACGACCGCGACCGCGGCCCCCGGGTCGATCGCGGTCCAGCGGTCGGCGAAGGCGCGCTGCATTGTCAGCCCCCGGATCGCCGCGGGGTCGTGCTGCCTGTTGACGAAGTCACGCTTGTACCCGGTCGCCGCGCGTGTGACGTTGGAGCAGAAGAAGACGCGGTCGAACAGTGGCGTCGTGTCTGCCGCCGCCGCCGCCGCCGCTTTCTCCGTACTTCCGGCCCCCTCCACACGTTCGTACTTGTCGTGGCTGCGGTGGTGGGCGAGGAGGTGCGCCTGCAGCGTCGATGCCACGACATCGAGGAACCCGACCGCCTCCTCGCGCCCCTGCTGGTTGAAGATGAGGGCCCGGGGTTGGCGCTGCAATCCGGGCGGGGCGGCCGCGGCCGCCTGCGCGCACTCGCCCGCGAACCAGCGCGTCACCATCCGCAGGCTGTCTACCGTGTGCGCGCCGTCGACGTGCCAGACCACGGGGCCCTCGGGAAAGACCTCGCAGCGCCCGCGCCACACCACCTTTTCGATGCCGTCGACGAACTCCCGGCTTAGCGGGGCCGCGGCGTCCTTGGGGACGGCAAACCCCGGGTCAATCCGGCGTAGCGCTGTCTCGGCAAGCGCAATGCCGAGGCTCGCGTTCCGCTTCTGAAACAGCGCGTCGGGGCGTACGCCGACACCTGCGAGGCGTGGGTTGACGGGCAAGACGGTAAGCATGACGCCTTTTTCGCGGGCCCGGTCGCGCAGTACGACGGCGGCCTCGGGGACTTGCTCGATAGTGAAGGCGGGGCTGCCGGCCTTCATGATGCCGCCCTTGTGCCAGGCGATGCGGTCGACGGTGCTTCCGAGTGCGTAGACGTGGTCGATGCCGAGCGTGCTGATGCCGGACGCGACGGGCCGCTCGACGATGTTTGTCGCGTCGAATTCGCCACCGATGCCCGTCTCGTACACGGCCACGTCGATGCCTTCCCGCAGGAAGACGTGATAGCTCATCAGCGTCAGATACCGCGAGTATATAGGCCGCGTGGACAGTGGCAGGCCGAGACGCGGGTCGACGACCTCGGCGCGCCCTTCGGCGGCCTCGGCCTCACCGAGCTTGTCCCAGACCTCGAAGAAATAACGTGCGAAGACGTCCTCGCTAATGGGGACGCCATCGATCCGTATCCGTTCTCGCACGGCGATGAGGTGGGGGCTGGTAAACAGGCCGATGCGACGCGGCACGCCGTGAGTCTTTTGATACTGATAGAGGATCGAGGCGGCGAAGGCGCAGGTGCTCCCTTTGCCTTTGGTGCCAGCGACATGTACGATGTTCAGGCGGTCGAGGTCGGACGGGGTGTAGCCGATACGGCGCAGGTAGATGCGCATCTCGGCGATGGAGGTCGCATCGGGGCGTATGCCGGCCTTGCGGCGGGCCTCGATAATTTGATATGGAGTTTGGAGCGAGTTGAGGGCGTCGATGGCGTCCTGAGGGATTTGAGCGTCTAGTCAGCCTGCGCCTATGCATGCGCGCTCGGAGTCGAAGTGGTTCAGAGTTTAGGAGGAGCGAGGTGGGGGCCCAATATCTACCAAGCTACTAGGCGGCGTGAATAAAGGAGAATAGGGGCTGAGACTGAGAATACATTATACGTCCGGCCGCTTTGCGTCGCCATCGTGCGGCGGAGGATGGAGGTGGAATCGAAACTTGGACGGTTTATTGTGCATAGGCGGGAAATGTGGGTGAAGTCGAAGCGTCGGAACACATGATGCATTAATAACGAGACCTGGATGGGTCTTCGCGCTTCACCAGGTTCTCGAGGATGCCTACTAAGTTATATAGCGAGAGAATAGAGAGAAAACAACGGAGAGATCGAGTCAAGTGAGACGGGCATTGCGATATCGCTCAATGCCATGTTATTCCGTCTAATCGCTGCCAATTCGCAAAAGCTTATCGCTATCTCCGCTATCGACGGCGGGGTGGAGAAACTCCGTTGTACTTACCTACCTACCTATCTTTGATACCCCTCATTGTTTGAATCGTGACCGACAGCCCGCTGTATCGGCTTCCCCGCAGCTGTCGCCACAACCCAAGATAGAGAGACGATAGAAGAGACGGCCTATATGTAGTCCTGTTTGAACACAAGTAAGGAAATTATGTTTTAACATTTCCCATCAAATTTCGGGGATTGCAAGTCCGATATAGGTAGCTGTGAGAAGCGTATACCTACAGATGTTACTGATGTGCCCGGAAAAAGATGAAAGGACTAGGCCACAGGTAGTATCTGTGATCATAACTAGGTGCCTGTCCTTTGACACTTCCCAACCCATCGCCTGTTTATATTAGGGATGTCCTAGGGGCTCCCGAGTTGAGGGGCCAAGTGGGCAATATCTGCACTTATAGAATACGGTACGGTAGCCTCGTACGCCGTCGAGACATCCTGCTAGGTACCTTGAAAAATATTCGCTTTGGTATACCTATGATATCCTGGCTGTGCCGCACGAGCGGCCTGTGGCTAGATAGGACCGTTCTCGGAGCGCTTTGACCCGCGACATCGTTGTAGCTGGAAGCAGCAGACGCAAGCGACAACACCGCAAGATAAGCCTGACGAGAGCACGTTGACGTCACGCGTGCCGCCTCACGATACCCTCGGCGATCACGTCCCAGACCCAGGGGGCACGGGCGGCGGCGTTGCGCTGGATTCCGAAGCGGCCGACGGCGCGGAACATGTACCACTTGCGGGCGGCGTTGGCGGCGGCGGTGTCGCGGGCGAAGTTGACGAGGCCGAGGCGGGCGCGGGCGGGGCGCAGGTCGGCGACAGCGACGCGGCTCAGGCGCGGCTTCGCGACAGCGCTCATGGTCGTGATGTCGAGCGCGGCGCGCGGCGGTAGCGCCCCGACGTACGCCCGTAGCGCTTCCTCCGACACCCGCGCGAACGGCGGCAACCACAGGTGAATGTGCGACACAAACGGCGACGTCACGTACGCTACGAAGACGAGCGGCACCACGGCCGCGAGCGCCGCTGGTTGCTGCACGTTAGTGACTTAAGCCGGCAGGGCAGGGAGGGAGGGGAGGGGTCGCGTGGCTTCGGGCTCGGAGCAGCGCCGGCTTACTTCGAGCTGCTGTGGGCGATAGGCCCTCCTTGTTCAGGTACGCGGGCGTCACCACGAGTCCGAAGAACGTGAATGTGAAGAGTGTCGAGAGCTTCAGACACGCTAAGAAGGTGGTCCTGGCCACACCCGCGTGGTAGATGCACAGGTTCTCCGGATACGCTACGTGCGGGTAGAGGCGTGGGTGTCAGCTAGATAGAACAGGGTTATCGAGTCTGCCAACTTCGACGAACCGAATTTTCGTAGTGGCGGGCCAGAGCTGGCTTGCGTGCCCAGCCTGCTTGCAGTTGTCGCGAATCTTCGACATGCTGACTGAATACCGTGCTTTAGTGATAGACCGCGCAATGCTACTAGACCCCGTGGACCAGCGGCATTAAAGCTTTTGGTAGCTAATTGGGTCCTTCCTAAGGGGCGGAGATATAGCATCATGGGAAGAATCTAGAAAGGATTTCCCTGGTGTCCTCCTAATTTTTGCGCATCGTTTCAAGATAGTTTGAGTGAATGGACCGCGATGCAGTCAACAAGAGAATTCTGTGATGGGCGCAGACAGAGGTATAGCCAATACCTAGGAGATAGGTACCTCATTACTACCAGGTAGCAAGTGAGTGCCAGATGGGGCCAGCTGGCAATACTTCCACCAGAGTGGCCATGCTGCGGAAACCGTCCTTCTGCCTAGGTATCTCATAAAATCGAGATATTTACCTTTGGTGCTTTAGTGCCTACTCGATGGGATTGCAGTACCTACCCAGCAAAAGGCAGATCGTCAACTACCTATGTTATATGCTACCTACATATCTAGGTATCCATAGGGACGTTCGACGCCTGGGGAGAAGAAGTCCTTCAAACGAGGTACCTAGAATTAAGGAGGTACGCCTTCACAGAAAACCTCGACTTCCAGCAGTCCCTCCAAAAATAGCTATGCAGATTCGTTCATGAGCCGTAACCACTTGCTTATGAAGTTAAAAATATCTCGATGGAGTTTATTTTCTTTTCATTAACTTCTCAACTCATGGTCATGTGGACTGCACGCCCCCGACGTTTCCGATGGCGATGCTTTTCCTACCGCCGTCACATTCACCTACACGACGTTCTTCGTCAGGAACTCGCTCCACTGGTCCGTCGTCCAAGAGGAGCTGATGTCGTTGGCGACGACGCCGTCGAAGATGACGGTCGGACTGACGTGCACGCCGACGAGGCGGGCCGTCTTGATCTGGACCTTGAGGTCGTCGGTGACCTTGTTGCCGCCGTTGGCATGGCTGCCCTCGCGCACCTTGGGCGGGATCTCGAGAAGGCCGTAGATCTGGTCCTCGTCGACGCCGGTGACGGACGCGGCGAGCTTGGCGAGGCGGCGGTAGGTCTGGTTGCGGGACTCGTCAACGAGGAACTCATCAAAGTAATCGAGCTGGGCCTGGAACAGGGCGTCGCTAAAGGCCCAGTACCGGGCGGGCGCGAGGCGCAGGACGGCGAGGGCGGCCTCGTGTACGAGGGTCGACGCCGGATGCCACGGCTGGATCTGCTGGCGGAATAGGATCTGCAAGTTGCCGGCCCACTTGGGGTTCGCCTTGATGAGCGGGATGACGGAGTGGTAGAAGGTCTTGAACAGCTTCGCCGAGAAGGGGCACACGAAGTCGAGATACAGCTCTAGAGTGTGCACCGCTGGGGGTACGCCAGCTGCTGGTGAGCTGGGAACAGCGAAAAGCAGCTTCTGACCCGCGAATTTGGGAGGCACGGCCATGATAGCTGCAGATTTGGTGGTCGCCAGTCGACGAAGAGGTGCTGAGTAGAGGAACGAAGAGGGAATTTGAATGGGATATTGAACAGGAGATCGTCCTTGACTGACCGCTTGGCCTTGGTTATATAGCCAGGCTGAGAAACTCCGAGAAAGACGCATCGGACATCGATGGTGGGGGAGCCGTCCTGGTAGGTAGGGCCTACGTAGTCGAATTTCTTGGCAAGGTCACGATAGAAGAGGAGATGCACCAAGACGGCGGATGGCGAATCGGTAGAGCGAGTGACGCCATTTATTGCATAAAAGGGAGTCATCTGTCCCTTGCCTAAGGTACCTTAGGTACCTAGGCACATAAGGTGTAGATGCGTGCCTCTATAGGGTACCTGAATCCCCCAGCTATCTCTACTTCCCGTAAGTGCGTTAAGTGCGTTGACTGGCTGACTTCAGTCGTATATAGACGGGCATTTGGCCGTTGAGATGTCACTAATGAAACCAGTAGGTATGCATATACCTACCCGAGTATATCCGTCATATAAATGCATAAGTCTGCCGGCTTACGCGGGTATATATATGCAGGGACTTCGTAAAGGTTAGGCACCTATAGGCTATATAGGTTTGTATGAAGCGGCAAGCAAGGGTCGACGATCGATGAATCTAGGACTCCTCCCAAGGTCGCTAGACTGTATTCTTCGCTATGATGCCCCGAGCAAACTCGCCGAACGAAATATGCTGGTCTAGGTCCACCTCGTCCTCTAGGTTTGGCTGCGTAAAGACCGCTAGCGTATTGCGGGCTACACCTTTCGCGTACGCTCCCCTGACCGAGTGCTCCACCGCCTTGAATTTTCCTCCCGTGATCCTCTCCAGCGTCTCACCCGTCTGGAACGCGATACAGTCTCGGGGGATCTTCACCTGGACCGCCACTCCCTTCCTGTCGTTAATCCAGAGTCCGGCCTGAGCATCCGGAGATTTGGGGAGTTCCTCCAACGTCGGCAGGAACTGGGGAGTCTTCTCTCCAAAATTGGGTACCTTGACATCCGTTCCGAGCTCGTCGATGAACATGGCTGACGTTAAGCCGGTCAAGCACCCGTGGTCCTTGTGTACGGCGCACCAGTTGTCCTCTCCCTCTAGACTCTTTGCTATCACCTCCTCCGGCATCGGATAATAGTGGAGGAGCCTAGCTTTCGTTGTCGATGAGGACTTGACCACGCCTTCTAGGTAGCCCGGAGGGTAACCCGAGATTTCCTTCTCCGCGAACCTGTCGCACGCTCGCGCTACCAGTACCGCCGTGTCGATGATGAGCGTACACATGCGCTCCATAGTCGGCCGGAAGCCTGGCAACATCTCTCTCGGCGGCCACGAGTTCGGTGCCAAGTACTCTGGGAACTTCTCGAGGGGGAATTTTGCCGTCGGCTTCGCGGCCTCCAGGGATGGGTCTACGTAGAATGCGCAGTTGGCGTAGAAGGATCCTTTATATTCGTCGGCACCCCCGTCCTTGAGCTTCTCCCTGCCCTTTGACCATCCTACTAGGTACTTGGCCTCTTCATTGGTGAACTTATCTAGATCTCATATTAATATTGGCCAGCACGGCTCATACTAGGTTCGTCTCTACCTACCAAAGTCCGCCTCTGACAAGTTACCCATGTACGATGCATAGGATAGGAGCTGGTGTCTCAACTGCGGGAACTCGCCAGGCACATCTTTGACTACGAGAATACCTAAGGAATCTGGGCCGAAGGCATCCTGCAGTGTCTCGAAAGAGATGTTCCCTGAGCACAAGTATCAGCAAAATTCGGTCGAAAGTCGATGTGAAGGCCCGTACCACTTCTGAGATCCGCTAACGACACGACGATGGGCTGTGCTGTAGCCATCGTAAATCAGCGTGTATGATCAAAAGAAGCGATAGGACTTTGAGGATGTCGTCCAGAAACGAGCTGACACCTAGAAAGGGGCCTCTATATGAATGTATTTTACCAGCTTCTCTCGAGGGAAAGCATCGGCTTATAGGTAGGTACCTAAGACTGGAACGGCAATCCCCTCGATCGGAGAGCGCCGTACACCCTGTATTCAAATGCAGACTCAAGTACTTAGGTACCCAAGTAACGTGGAGTTACGAAATTAGTGTCCCCGATTGGTATAGATCTAGATGTATGTGGATTCTAAACATCCCATTGGTTAGCTCCTGTTGACTGATAACTGTTGCAACGCTTGCTTGTTAACCTATTATAAGCTTGGAAGATAAGCTCTTTATATATTTATAAAAGTAGCTATATAAGAGCTTTCTCTTTCGCAGTTATAAAACTTAGATTTTTAAATTAATTAATAGCTTATATTTAGTTTTTTATATTTCATTCTCTTAAATAACTAAGTAACTATAAAGTAGTAGAAAATATATTTATTAAAAATATATATATAGTTTATAGTAGAATATAAGTTTAGAGGAGTATAATATAAACTCTATGTATATATTCTTAATTTTATTAAAAATTTAGGTTTAATATATGCAGCTAATGAGATGATAGGTTGTAAGTAATGAATAGTCTTCCTTATCAGAGCTCTTGCCGTAATTTGTTTAGTGTGGAGACACGGGAGTAAGTTTGATAACGACAACCTCATTATGCGAGATTGTTGCTCGGTCTAGTAGTAGTCGACGTACACGTACGCAGGCGGGAGTCACTATTCAATCCCGCAACAGCAATATGGTGAAGCCTCTGTCATTCAAGGGCGATAAGAAACCCAAGAAGAGAAAGCGAACCGAAGCGGGGCCGTCGGCTGAGCATGCAGGTCCCAGTGATCTCGCGGTCGCAGCTACGGCAGAGGAGGCCGACAACGACGACAGTTGGGTGTCAGCCGAGGCGGCTGGGGATGTCTCTGGACCCGTCATTCTCGTCCTCCCTACCGATACCCCGACATGTCTAGCTTGCGACGCTAACGGAAAAGTCTTTACCGACCCGATCGTGAATATCGTTGACGCGAACCCAGCTAGCGCCGAGCCACACGACGTTCGCCAGGTCTGGGTTGCGAACAAGATATTCGGAACAGAGAACTTTCGGTTCAAAGGCCGCTACGGAAAGTACGTCTTTCTGCGTGCTAGCGCTTGTCCTTGGGCTTGTTAGTTTTGTTGTCGCTGACGTGCCGTCTATACAGGTACCTGAGCTGCGATAAGTACGGCATTCTCACCGCCACTTCCGAAGCTATCTCGGATCTCGAATCGTGGACGTTAATACCGACCGCCGACACCCCAGGAACCTTTCAGATACAATCTCAGCGGGAAACATTCCTGACCATCAAGGAGCGCACTGGGGCGAATGGAATTCCCGAAGTTCGCGGGGATGCCACCGAGATCAGTTTCAATACGACCTTGAGAATCCGCATGCAAGCACGCTTCAAACCTAAACTAAAAGCTTCGAAGGAAGAGAAGGCCAGGGAGAAAATCAGTCGCAGGGAGCTTGAGGAAGCCGTAGGCAGGCGACTAGACGAAGACGAGGTCAAGACTCTGAAGAAGGCAAGACGAGAAGGCGACTACCACGAGCACCTACTAGACCTGAAGACCAAGAACAAGCACGACAAGTACGGCTGAGGCATATGGGCGGGGGCGGCGTATGGAAGGGCGTGGGTGTATTCGCTATGAATTGGGTTTCCAGGCTTTGACATGTCCGTCTTCGCCTGCGCTAAATACCACCTGCGCCTCATCGTAGAAGCAGAAACTTCGAACGATCTCCGACGAGTGCGCCCCGGGCAGGCCTACGCTGTTATCCCGGTCAAGGTCCCAACCCTGACCCTTCGTCAGGTGGACCATCTCGAACGCTTGCTGACTGCGTTGCGGGCGGTCCTTATTAGCCAAGGTAACGGCAAAGTTTCAGTGCTGGTCTCGACTTACTCATGGGTCCCCGCGCCGATCACCGCGCCGGCACCGTTAGACTTGACGAAGATGTTGGCAATATACTGGCAGCCTAGGACCTTTCTCATGTCTCCAAAGTCGGTCGTCGCCGCTCCCTTCTCGGCACCTTCGGCCATGTCGTAGAGAGCCAGCTTTTCATCGTGGGACACGGCGAACACCTCAGTGTCGTTGAGAAATGCGGCGTGGTGGATCGAGGCATCGTGGTTAAAGGTTTGAATCACAACTTCATCCTCGTCGGCTATCCGCGTGTCGCAGATGTTGACGAGGCCATCTGTCGATCCGGATAGGAGGATGTCGTGGCTGGTAGGATGGAAATTCAGCTAATCAGGGGATATTAGTGACATGTCTCCCTGTTTATAACGATATCTGAGCCGACCTCTGTGATGTCGTCACTGTGGACGTCCTGGTAGCGAAGCTTCGGCGTCGGCATTGCGCGAACGTCCCTAAGCATCTCCGTATAAGCTAAGTGAGGAGGACGCGATATAGACTATCATCCGCTCACCATATCAAGATGGAGGCTTGGTGGCCCTGCAGCTCGGTGCCAGCTACGACGGAGAACCCGGCGCTGGAGCAGGCAAGAGATAACACGGGGACTTGATTACCTATGTAACTGGTTAGAACAAAATCCTGGCAATACAAAGCCGTCGTGCGAAGATGCCGTCAACGGTCTTGGGCAAGCGAACCTGACAATCTAGCGACCTCGGCATGGCGCGGATCCCGCCTCAAGTCCCACATCGACACGCCGCCGTCCTCTCCGGCCGTGCACACGGTAGCGCCTCCAACGTCGAAGGCCTTGGCACAGGTGATGTTGCCATGGCGAGTGGAGAGGTTGAGGAGCGGGCCCGACTTGAGCGTTGTAGGATTGAATAGCAAGAGCTTCTGGTCCGACGAGATCGTGGCCGGACCTGGTAGTAAGGGGATGATGTCGAGCACGTACACCTCCTCCCTCGCTGGGATCTTATACCCGTCTACGCAGGCGAGGGGATACATAGCTTTGCTCTCTTTTTTTTTTCCGTTGGGGTGCAACTGAGTAGCCAGGCACCTGGGTATGCAATTACCTGGGCACGTAATCAATCAATCTCTCTACCTTAACACGGTACGTCAATCAAATATATGCCTGTGCCAGTATTCGGGACCGATGTCGAATATGTAGCGGTTACTTGGGCTTGCCGAAGACTGGCTACCGGGCAGATTTCGGCGCACCGCCGTGACGATGTAAGGTACCTAAGGTACAACATGCCGTATTACCTAATACGCTCATTGAAGTACCAAACCCGCCAGTGGCCAATCAGGTGCCACACCGCCCTCCTTCAGGACCCTGACGTCGATCTGGACACCTTGGCCGTCTCTTCCTGCCCTCGACATCACCCGGATTGCGGCAAGCCACGACAAGCCGCCGTCTATCCAGAGACCACCATTCTTCCCGTCTGCCGCCTTATGTTGCCTTTCTCTCTATTTTCCCCGTGCTGTCGCCTTCGTGCCTTATACTCGCGCCTCTGCTGGGGATCATGACAGCACAACGGCATCCGGCATCTTGCCCTTAGCACATCATCCCATCCCTATCATGAGGCCTTCTTTCGTCTCTGTCCTCCGTATGTTTTACTTCTGTGTCGCATTGCAGATCTGGCTCGAGATCCGAATCCTAACCTCCGTGCACGCTAACTCTGGATGTGAATCAGTGCTTCTGCGGGTTGCCGCCGTCGCATCCGGCGCGGCGCAACCGGTCGGCGCCGAGATCGATAGCGAGAGAACCACAAGTACGAACTCGGCCGTCGAAACCGGTATTGTCCAAGGCGCACATCACCAATGGGCGCCCTACCAAAGCGGTAAGCAGCGGTAGTTGTGCGGCCCTTTCCGGCTTATCTCCTTCTAACCTCTAAGTAGGCTGGGAGCTCGTCAATGAGGCCATGGCGAACTTCCAGAAGATCAGGATACCGCTTCATAAGAAGGCGAAGAAGCAAGGAGGCATCTTGGGCGTGATAGTACAGTATGCCATGAAGGCGTTGCCGAGCCTGCGAGCCAGCGCCCCTCCTCAGGAACATGTCCTCCCCGCCATCAGCGGTTTTCTTCTCGAAGGCGTCAAGCTGCTCCAGCAGTCGGCCAACCAGAACAACACCGACGCCATTTACCTCCTCGCCCAGCTGAACTTCTTTGGCAACTTTTCGCATCCGAGAAACTTCAAGGTCGCATTCGATCACTATTACCGACTCGCTTCGTACGGTAATAGTTCTGCGCAGTATATGGTGGGGTTGATGTATGCGACCGGGCTTGGCGATGCGGTAGAGCGCGATCAGGCAAAGGCGCTCTTATACCATACCTTTGCCGCCGACGCGGGACATACAAGGTCCGAAATGACCGTTGCCGCCCGCCATCTGAGCGGTGTGGGAGTGCCTAAGAACTGCGAGACCGCGAACAAATATTATAAGAGGGTAGCTGATAAAGCTATGGCCTGGTTCCGATCGGGACCTCCGGGTGGCATGTCCATAGTGCCAGAAGCACGTCGGCTTTCCGACGACGTGGGCGGTGTCTACGGAGAGGGAGCGAGTGTCGTTAGTTCCGGCATCAATGCCCTGAAAGCAAGCCCGAATTCGGATGCCTATGCCGCCATCGATGATGTCATCGAATATCTCGACTTGATGTCCCAGAAAGGTGACTTTAAGGCTTCTTTTAACCTCGGCAGGCTCTATTACGAAGGACAGAGGGGCCTGGATCGAAACGTTGACCTGGCACGACGATATTTTGCCACGGTCGCGACTATGTATTGGCGCACCAAAGATGGCCGCACCGTGGACCAGCCCAAACCTGGGTTGGATAAGTATGCCAGCAAGGCTGCTGGCTATATTGGCCGCATGTGGTTGCGCGGTGAAGGCGTTAAGCAGGACTTCAAAAATGCGCAGAAATGGTTTGAGCGAGGTATCATGCTCGGCGATGCCCAATCCCAGTGGGGCCTGGGCATCATGAACCTACACGGCCTCGGCATGCCAAAAAATGTCTCCATGGCTACAGAGTTGTTCAAGAAGTCGGCAGATCAGGATTTCAGCCTATCCCACGTCGCCCTTGGCGCTCTTCACCTCGACCAAGGGACGCCGGACGATCTGAAGATCGCAAACTCTTACTTCGAAGCGGCCGCTCGGTGGGCGAACATCGAAGCGCAATACTACCTAGCGGAAATGATGCACCACGGAGTCGGGAGGGATAAGACTTGCGGTATGGCCATGGCATACTACAAGAATGTCGCCGAACGAGCCGAACCTCTGGTGTCATCTTGGGCAGAAGCTAATCAAGCCTATGAAGACGGAGACTATGAGTTAGCTTTGCTCGACTATCTCACAGCTGCAGAGCAAGGGTACGAGAAAGCACAGAACAATGTCGCTTTCATGCTGGATCCGACGCACTCACGTCTCCCTGTTCCGTCGTGGATCAGGCGTCAACCACCAAGGCCCAGTCTCCTTCAAAATTCTGCTCTGGCCTTAATATATTGGACCAGATCCGCTATACAGTCCAACATCGACTCACTCGTGAAAATGGGAGACTATTATCTAGCTGGCATCGGCACTGACTCGGCGCTCGACAAGGCGTCCCAATGCTACCAGGGGGCCTCGGAATACTTCCAGAGCGCCCAAGCTCTGTACAACTTAGGCTGGATGCACGAGAACGGCGTTGGTCTGACTCAAGACTTCCACCTCGCCAAGAGATACTACGACCAAGCACTGGAGACTAACGAGGAGGCGTACCTCCCGGTTACCCTGAGCCTGCTGAAGCTGCGTGTCCGAAGCGCCTGGAATACCTTTACCCATGGCCGGATAAATTCCATCCAGGACGAACCGTGTAAGTAGCCATTGCCTTTCTCTGCTTTCTTTGTATCACACACATCCATCCCGCGAAAATAAACCTGTGTGCTGACGTGCGCGCTGTTGGTATTAATAGCACCCAGAAAGGATTGGTCGCTGGGCGAGTGGATCGCGAACTTTTTACAGGAGGATAACCTTTTCTACGAGGACGAGTACGGTAGTGGGTATTACGAGGATACGATCGCCGGTGGCGCGGGCGGGGAAGACGCGCTGGGCGACGACCCGCTGGACGACCTTGACGGTGTGATTGAGAGCCTGATCATCCTTGGGCTGGTTAGCGCCATCCTCTTCCTGATGTATTACCGTGCACGCCGGCAGCAGGCCCACCGCCAGGCTGAGGAGGATGCGAATGCTCGAAGACAGCAGCAGCCGCCACCCCAGCAGCAGGCTTGGTTGGGCGCCCCGTGGCGACCACAACAGCCTCTTCGAGAGCAGGGACATGGACAGGGCGGCTTGCCCCCACAGCCCGGGAACCCGGGGTTCGAGCAGTGGGCGGGGCCGGCGGGCCGCTAAGTAAGGCCATAGAATTAGTAGGCGAATAATTAGGTAGTCTAGACTGCTCGACTGCTACCTATAGATACGCAACGGTTAAGCGTCATTAGTTTATAATTTGATATAATTAAAAATGGTATTTTAAGCTTAAAGATAAGAATACTTACTTTATGTATTTCTTGTTATACTTGAGCTTTGAGGGGTAAGAAAATAAGAAAATATAGTAGTATAGTTACCATTTTCTTATTTTTCCATTTTATACTATTATAGTATAATAAGATTAGGCTATATAGCTTTCCAATAAGTACTTATATATATTTTATATTTAGATTTCTATTATTTAATTTTTATTTTAGAAGACTTATATAGTTAAGAATTCTATCTTTTTATATATGTACTTTTATTATCTTTTAAATTGAAAGTTTTTATTTTCTTAGTTGTTTTTTTAAGTAATTAATTAGTTAATTAACTCATTATAGTAAAAGAAAACAGCTTAAGTATACTATATAAGCTCCGTATAAGTAATAATCTATTTTACTATATAAATTATAAAAGAGAATTTAAAAACTTTTAATATAAAAGTATGTTTAAAGAAAAAAATAAATAAGGTAAACGTTTATTATAAACTTGAGATAATGTCTCTCTTCTATTACCTTATTTCAAGATTATATTATTAGTTAATTAATTACTAGACGTAAAAATTCTAATGGTTTTGAGAAGTGTTTTCTTTTTGTTCTTTTTATAATTTTATAGTAACTAACTACTTATTCTTTGAAAAAAAAATTTTTTTCCACTAAGCTGAATTAAGGCTCTGGTACATACGCCAACTCTACTGTGAGGGCTTTGTAAAGATAAAACTAGCGGTTGTTGCACACAGCATTGAGCTGTCTGCACTGAACTTGCCGAGGGCATGAGGCGGGATTGGTAGGGCTCTCTCCTCTTTCTGCCCTCCTCCTCTGCCACCCCAAAATTTATTTATTCGCACACGTCTTTCGGTGTCTAATTTCCCGCAATGTCACATCCAGAAATCGAAGTCTGGAGGAACCATGAGCGGGAGTTTCGAATCTACCCAGACAGATTCTATAAACGAAGCTTTCGGCCCGATGAATATCAGCTCGATATTCAGAACAAACCATACGTCCCGCCTTTGGGACCCGAACGGATTCGAAACGAAGCTGCCTGCCTACAGTTTATTCGGCAAACAACGAACATCCCCGTACCGGACGTCCTTGAAGCATACGAAGAAGACGGGTCCTTTGTACTTGTTACAAGACTCCTGTCGGGTGTCCAAATGAGCAAACTGCCATCTGAAGATCAAGCTGTAGTGATGAAAGAGGTGGACTCCTATCTTCAAATATTGCGAAAGCTTCAATCGAATCATATAGGCGGCCCTTCTGGAATTGTCTGCCCTCCACAAAGAGCAACTCAATATTTTCCAAAGGACACGGTTTGGTCGATTAGCACTACGCCAGAGACTGATCTGGTGTTCTGTCATTGCGATTTATCACAATCAAATATTATTGTCGATCCTATAACATTGAAGATCGAGGGTATTATTGATTGGGAGTACGGAGGCTACTGGCCTGCCTTCTTCGAGACTCCATATTTCCGCGATCCAAGGCCTTCGGGGGCGCAGTTCAGGACTCGTTCTGAGAATAACCAGCTTGTGGACTTTCTCAGAAATGGAATGTCAAAGAGCAAGGTAACATGAGATGTATTGAACAGGAGCAGCGTGGGCACGCTGTAATGGAGGCACGAAAAGGGTAATCCAACTGCCAACAACTGGCCCAGTGCCGATCGAACTAGATCGCAGCTGTAAACAGCTGATCAGTTAATAGGTCAGCTGAAAACGGCAGCTGGGAAAGGACTAGAAAGAGAAGGGCAACGAAGATAGCGAGAAAAGGCATGGCAAGAAACAAGTGAATAGAGCTGTAACTAGTAATAACTATAGGTTTAAGTCTAACTGTGGCCATCTAAGGAAAGGGTGAACAGTTAATGGAATTACAGCTATCTACGTGGCCTTTTGGAGCCGTTTTTACGTGCCTTTTATCTCCCGATTAGCCCTCGCTAGGGCAGGGCTTACCCTATGGCTATACGTAACCGATTGCGTACTTACGCGCCTATACGCCTTCTTAGCTTAGGTAAGGACATCGTTAGGCTCTTAAATAACGTAAGGCCTTAATTCCGTAGTATTTTCCTCCCTTATCGCTCTATTTACCTACCTATTTCGTTTAAGGCTATTACGGGTCCTTTAGATATAGTAACTTAATAAACCTCTAGTATTCCTTCGCCTTTAAAGGCTTCGTAAGCCTATTAGCCGCGTTTTTAGCTAATGGTACGTATCTTAGCTTAATATGCCCCTCTTTTATCTCTTGCCTTACGTAGTAGTAGTCCTTTCGGATATACCGCTTTTATTTATTTATCGCGGTTTCCTTTACTAACGTATTCGCCGTCGTATTATCGTATCGTAAGGTAATAAGGCCTACGGGTATTACGCCTAATTCCGTAAGGAAATTACGTATTTACGCGGCATTTACTACCGCCGTCGATAAGGCTATATATTCGGCCTTTCCCGAGCTTCGCGCGACTACCGACTAAAGCTTTGATATTTATACGATCGGAACTCCTACTATAAAGAATACGTAACTATTTATTAACTTAGCTATAGAGATATCTCCCGCGTAATTCGAGTTTACGTAACCGTAAAGACCTATTTCGTTATATTTTCTATAAGGGTAATTTTCGTTTAATTACCGATACCGGATCCCTCGGCTTACCGTTCCCTTAAAATATCGTATTACGCGTTTAATCCTTATTAGATACTCTTATAAGAGGTTATTTATAAAGCGCGCTTAGGTCGAGGCTACGTAACTAATATTAGGCCTCGTAATATATACCGGAAAGTTCGCTTTTCTTATTAGCGAGGTATACTTTTAAACCTCTCGTAGGTCGGCTTTATCGTTAGCCTTTTTCGGTACGACCGCGTCCCGATTCTTCGGGTTATACGGTAACGGGTATAGCTTCGTATCGCCGTAATTAAGCTCCTTTAGAGCCTTTTCCGTATATTATTATTAATCGAGCCGGACGTCTCCCGTAGGAGACGATCGTTTTATCCGGACCCCGAGAAACTAATTAACGTTTCTTAAATTAGTTACCTTAACCTTCTCTTTAATTATATTCGCGAGCTTATAGAGTCGTTCCTCTTTAGGTTCGAATAATAGGAAATCGTTTACATACTGTAGTGGTGCGGTAAGACATGCCCTCTTGATATATTACGTAACACGCTACGATAGGCCTTATGCCTATATAGAGTAACCATAGCTCCCGTAAGTACGTAATATGCTATACTTATTATTTAGTTTATTACTTAGCTAGATTGCTATCTTTCTTATTTTTGCCTTAATTAAAGATTCGTTTTTATTATTAGATTCGTCGTTCTCCGATTAGTATATTTATCTTAGTTATAGGCGCTTAAGTTACTTCGTCGTACCGCTATAGCCGAATAAGTAACTTTTACGTTTTGCTCCTTTTCTTTCCTTACTTCTTATGCCTTCGGGCTAGCGATTATTATATTTCTACGACTAAGAGGTATAGCTAAGATACGATAACTACATTAGATTCCTTACCTTTCGATTAATATAGCGATATTAGTTTTATTTATCTTAGACTATCGTACGTACTATAGTCTCCGATAAAGTATACTTTCGAGTAAACCTATCCGGGTCTCTAGTATCGCGTACGCTTTATTCCTCCTTAGTAGCGATTATTACGGGACTCGATTCCTTAACCTTGAGTTTACGGAGTTTCTATTACGTTACTAGGATTTAAAGGATACCGATCGCCGTCGGCGCCGCCATTTAACCCGCGAAGTAGTCCGCGTTTTACGTTAAATAAAGTATCCCGCCTTATGGTTATTTATCTATTATAGGGAGGTACGTATAAGCCCGGGAACTTTTACTACGATACCATAGCCGCTAGGATATTACCTAGCCCTTAATACCTATAACGTTATTAAGCTATCGATATTACGATATAATACGACGATTAAACCGCGTTTATATCGATTAGGATATCCTTCGTATGGTTATTTATCTATTATACGGAGGAACCCGTAAAACCCGGAGAACTTTCGTCGTAATACTACCGCTATTAGAGATAGTGCTTAGCCTTCGATACTAACCGCTTTCCCGAACCGCTAATAATATAATATATCTCGTACGAGTAAATAAAGCTTATAGCGATTAAGGTAACCCCCTTATAATTATCTATCTATTATATAAACGAAACGTACGAACGCCTTAGTATAAATTACGATAACCTATACGACCCGCTACTTCCTTATTAATACTAAGGACGGATAAAGGCTAATAGTAATTATACTTTAACCGATCTTACGATAGCTTCTTTTTCCCTTTAAACCTATTAATCGATATAAATTAAATATATAGATACTAATAACTTATTATACTAGAGGTATTTTAGGATACCTAGGCGTAGCGACTCGACGATATAGTATACGATATGATATAGATATTTATATTAATAATATAAATAAGATTAATAAACTAATAGTTACTAGTAACCGATAGTTTTAAAGAGAACTAGGAATTAATATTAATAGGACTACGTAGATATAAATGATTAGGGAAACGAAATTAAAGTCGAGTTAATAGGTATACCTATATATAGGCTGGCCTTATATTACTAATTAATAATTAATATAGCGAGAAGTGCTAACATAGGCGTAAAACGACGCCTAGCGGTAATACCGTTAATATTATTAAATAGCCTTCGTTAGGTCGAGACCGGCTTATAGCTATAACCAGTATTGTATTTAGCGCGATCCTTTACTCGGGATTTATCCTTTATACGTATTACCTTAACGAAGGTTATACGTTAGGAGTTCTAGACCTTAATAAGAGGGATTATCGTCGATTTATTTATAATAATTAAACTATTAGTCTAGGGAATACGTATCGTACTTTAATTAGGCGTTAGCCGATTAGAAAAGCTCGTATAATACCCGGACCCTATCGATCGGGATAATATAATAAATAATAATATACCTATACTAAAGGAAAAGTATTAAAATATAGATAATAGCTATCTTACCTTTACCTTTATATTAGATAATAAGACCTTTATTATCCTCCTTTCTATTTTATACCTCGTACCGTTAGACTAGACGGAATCCGTAGCTAGGAAACGGAGTAAATCGCCGTTAGGACCCGAAGTAATAAAGATTAAATTACTAGTAAAGACCTTAAGAGTCGATACTAGTTTTCCGCCCTTATATCCGTCCGAGGAGGAGGACGACGGTAAAACTCCTACTTAGCTACCCCTTACCCGCGGCTCTATACTTATCCCGCTAATCCTTATGGTATTATCTTAGAATAGTAATAACGGAGTCTTTAGTAGCTAAAATATACCGGTAGTTACCCCGATTATCGTAATACTAGCCATTAGATTTCCTAACCCTACCGATTACTTTAGGCTTAAGTTTAATAAATATAACGTAACCTAGTAACTAGAAAGGGTAGATCGATTATTTAACCGCTACCGTATAAGCGACGACGATAAGATTAAGAAGATCGGCGAATAGATTACGACTAAGACCATTAGGGAGCGCGTTAACGACGTTACGAAGGATTAAACGATCTAAAGAGTTATCGTTATAGCCCTAAAGTACCGTTTTAGGATTACCGATAGACTAGGCTAAGCTAACGTTAAACGTAAATTCGTATAGCTAGAACGAAGTAACGTAATTAACGATTTTAAGGCGATCTTTACGTATCTTATGAACTATAAACGTCTTTCTAAGCTCGTAAACGATAACGAAAAGCTTCCCTAGAAAGTAGGATACCTAACCGATAAACTCCGGATATTTCTAATTATAAAGTTCTATAAGACGGGAGATTATAATTATAATAAGATCGGAAATATCGATTACCGGACTCTTTATACCTAGCTTTATAAGTAAGCGGAACGTCGTATAATAATATAAATTACCGATAAAGCCTAAGCCGAAGAACGACGATAGTAAAAAACGGTAACTTTCGAAGAACCCGAGAAGCCTATAATGTAAATAATTTAACGATTAACGACTCCTAACCTCTAAATACCTCTACTACCGCCTCCCTCGTAGCCTAAACCCTCTTACGGCTACCTAAGTACTAGCTAGAAAGCTAGTATATAAGCCTTTTACGACCGACTTAACGCTTTAAAAATAAAGATAACTTCGTAGAACTACCGTTAAAAGAATAGCTCTTATAGCCTTAGGGATACGTACGGCGCCGATTAATAATATTAATAAGAAAACCCGTTCCTAATAAACGCGGTTCGGAACTTAAGTCTTTATAACCTATAAACTAACGGAAAGACCTTAGTAAGCTTTAGACGTAATACTATACTAAACTACCGAAACATACGTAGTAAGATTTTATTAACCTAAACGAATAACTATAGGAAATTCGAATATTAATTTTATAGTACTTTCGATCGGCTTTACGACTATAGCCGCTACCCGCTATTAATAGATATAACCTAGAATCGGTTCTACTATAGGAATAATAAGCGATTATATTACCTCGAGAACGGAAACCCGGATAAGCTAGAGTTAACGCTAATTCTAGGATCGATTATTACCTAAGCTAAGCGTAAAGGAAAACCGATCGCTTATTATATCCTATTTTACGTATACTAAAGTAAGGAATCTTTAGAGTAAGTACGTGAGATAATATATTACTACCTAGCCGGAAAGCTAAAGCTTATACCTCTTAACTTACGATACTTTAAGAACGCGGAAGTAGTATTAAAATAAGAAGAAATACTAAGAGCTATATCGGAAATTAACGTTATTTAAATAATCGAACGCGAATATAGCTACGAATTATACGAAACGAGGATCTTAGGTTATAATTAAACTAAGGGTTTTATCGATAACGAAGGTATCTATTATTATAAGGGTATCATTAAAACGGACCTAGTCGAAGTTAACGTAATTAAGCGAGCTAAAGGTTCTAACGGCGAATATATCGA